GCTACCTGTCAGCTACACTATATAAATGACATAGTTCTCTGGATTTCTACTACAGTGGGATTACTATTTGGCTACCCATTTTATTTATTTCTAAGTCTATTGGTTTTTTATATACGATCAAAACCTTTACTAGATTAATCACTCAGCTACCGTTCATTCTTCTTGCCCTTATATGGGAAGAAAAGATACAACGGGCTGATACATTTCTTGGACATTGTTGCCAATTTGTGAATCTACAGCATTTTTATCATTTCCACAGAGTCCTGCAACCACTATTGTTGATTCAATAGGCACTTAACTCTTACACCCTTAAACCGCAGGTGGCGGTCATTTCTGCAGTGACACAGTGGTTTTGGTAACCATTTCAGATCTCATTGCTCAACTTTTTTAGCTACACACCAGGGTGCATTGGTGCTCACCTATTAAGTTGTTTTTTACCTACTCATTTTCCTATCTGCCCGCCCACACCTCTCACGCCTCCCCCTGCTGCCAGTCCCTACATTGGCTTCCAGTTAGATATAGGGCTCAATTTAAGATTCTGGTGCTTGCTTACAAGTCCCTACATAATGCTGCTCCAACCTACCTATCCTCCCTAATACACAGATACGTTCCGTCCAGGCCCCTGCGCTCTGCCGAAGGCCTACGTCTATCATCTGTCCGCACTCCCACCTCTAATGCTCGCCTTCAAGACTTCTCCAGGGCTCCACCTTTTCTGCGGAACTCCCTTCCCTTCTCTGTTAGACTTTCACCCAGTCTCCACTCCTTCAAAAAAATCTTTGAAAACACACTTCTTCAGGAAAAGCATACAATTAAAACTGTTAGCGGGTTTTCATTCTCCCCGTGCCCCCCCCCCCCATGACTCCTTTCCTGCAACTGTCAAAAATAACCTAAGTTCTCAGTGATTCCTTTTCTAGCAACCTATTTCATTACCCCTACTCATACCTTTTGTGTCCCTATACCTAATTCCCTCTAGCATGTAAGCTCATTGAGCAGGGCCCTCAACCCCTCTGTTCCTGTGCGTCCATTTGTCTGGTTACAATTATGTGTGCAAGCATATGCTCTGAGAAGCATTTGCTTGGAGTACAGAGAGGACGTCAGTGATGCAGTGTGATGTTGGGACGGAATGTGGAAGATCTTCACCTAGCACTGGATTCTAGGTAAGTTTAAAGCTAACTTTATTGTTTGGTTTTTTTTTTAACTAATAAGGGAGGTCCTATTAAATAGTGCCCATCTGGACACCATAGAGAAGAAAAAAGTGTTTGCAAAAAGGAATGGAGTAATCCTTCAATTGGCAGAAATTCAGAGTAAAAGCAAAGTCGGACTCAAATTACAGGGAACAGCAAGCAGAGCTGACTTGGGGAATTTTTCAAGTTCAACTGATGTAACTTAAAATGTAAAATTCACAAAATAACCCTATTAGTTAGAATATTAATACACGAAAAAATATGCAGGTTTTCCCATCAAGTTCTAATTAGATAATAGAGGTGTTATAATTAGCTCTTCAATGGAAATTAAACAATGTAAGCAATATGTGATAAACAGCTGATCTAATCTGAATACCTGCCATGTAGACTTCCATCCATATCCGAGTTCAGTGTAATTAAAGGAACACTATGTACAAACATGTATTCTCAATGCTATAGTGTTCTACTCCATATGTAGATTCAGGACCCCTAAATTTAATCAAATAAACCGTTTTACTTGCCCTTACTCACTCAATTCAGCCACCCTCTCACGTCTTCTTGGACGCTGTCTCCTCTTCATCTTCTTTTCCAATGAGAAATGAGGCGCACATGCACTGCAAGACCAATGCTCGTCCATTCAAAGGCTTCTCACAGGCAAGAATTGAGTTCATTGTTGACACAGTTATAGCATTGAAAGTATCCTTCCTCACAGCATCTAGAGGTGTGTTTAGCCCTGCAATGAAAACATTGCCAAATCTACCAACCTCCAATATTTTATATTGCAGGACTAAAACAACAGGCCCACTGCACCCAGACTACTTCATTGAGATAAAATGGTCTTGGTGCCTATAGGAAAACTGTCACCATTGTTTATTATTACTGACAATAAAAGATTACCTGTAATATAGCCTCCATGTGTGCTATTTTGGACTGCATACAGATACACAAATACTTGATTTAGTGCATCTCTCGGCTTTGTGGGCAACCATATTTCAGTTCTCTTTTATCAAAATGTTGTGTTCTGAAAACTGGTGCAAGGTACAAAAGGTGGAACAATTATTGTGGAAAATTTAACTGATAACCAAAAAGCTGATAGAAAATATTTGGTTTTAATGTTTTATTTAAAAACTAGGGGGAAAAAGGAGAAAGTTAGAGAAAATCTCCTTCCATTCCTGATTACGAAATTTATATTTATACGAGGTACAGTGGATATACAAAATACACTACATTAGTATACAAGAAGAGGTTAGTAGGTCCCTACCCAAAGGAGCTCACAATCTATACTCAGGGCCAGCGCCACCATTAGGCGAACTAGGCAATGGGGGGCGCCCACCGGGATGTATGGGGCCGGAGCGCTGGGCGAGCGGCTCTTTAGCCACCCCTAGCGCCGGGCCGATCCTCAAGGCGCCTGAAGGTGGGGGCGCCGAGAGGAGCCCTATCACAGGGATGGCCAGGAGGTGGCCATCTTGTTACCTCAGGGCTCCCCAGATGCTGTGCTACAGTAAGGCAGAGCAGGCACCTGCTTACCTTGATGGCAGGTGCCTGCTCTGCCAAAAAATGCCAGTGACCAGGAGGAAAAGGGGACGGAGCAGGCAGGCGGCGAGGGAGGCTCTTCTTGCAGCCTCTTATTTTTCCCTTGCACACCCTCTGTGATGCCGGGAGCCGAATATGAAGTAATTCTGGCCCCGGCATACTAAATAGCAGGCGGGAGAAGTGAGAGGCTACCTCACACTGGAGGTGAGTGTTTGACTGTCAGTGTGTGTGTGTGTGTCTGTCAGTAAGTGCCTGTGTGTGTGTGTCTCTCTCTCAGTGAGTGAGTGTATGTATGTCAGTGAGGGTGTGTGTGTGTCTGTCTGTCATTGAGTGAGTGTATGTATGTCAGTGAGTGTGTGTGTGTATCTGTCAGTGAGTGAGTGTATGCCAGTCAGTGTATGTGTGTGTGTCTGTCAGTGAGTGAGTGTGTGTGTGTCTGTCTGTCAATGAGTGGGTGTGGGTGTCTGTGAGTTAATGTATGTCTGTCTGTTAGTGAGTGTCTGTGTGTGTGTGTGTGTGAGTGTGTGTCTGTCAGTGAGTGTGTGTGTGTCTGTCAGTAAGTGAGTGTGTGTGTCTGCAAGTGTGTGTCTGTCAGTGAGTGAGTGACATGAGGGGGCGGCAAAATGGATCTTTGCCTAGGGCAGCAGAAATCCTTGCACCGGCCCTGTCTATACCTCAAATAAAAATAAAATACAGAGATCCTTTTCTGGACAGATCACACAAAGTACAAATCATGCTGAGCCACACCACCCCTAATGTGTTTCACACCAGCTGGTGGCAACTCACAGATTCACACCTTTTGCAGTGAAATGCGTCGGACGTCTCCCAGCTACAGACAGGTCACTAGTAGCAGTTAGCTTAGCAATGATGTAACGATCATGATGAATTAATCTCCAACTGTCATCGAGACATAAAGAGAGTGAGAGATAATTACTCAATTAAACATTTATATATTAATAGAGTGCCGTTGAAGTTATACACAATGTGGGGTATCAGGAAGGAGTCAGCACACATCAGGTTCCTCAGTATTGTATAATGTGGGAATTATTATATTACATTTTGTAATTTTGGTAATTTCACCACAGCTTGACAGAAAATAGCAGATGCCTTTATATACTCAAAGAATACATTTATGGTCTACGCATGATGGGATTTGCTGTCCAAAAATCGACTACACTGCTAGCAGTGGTTCTATAGTCAAAGTAACTGACATGACACCCCTTCCTTGTTTCTGGCCAAGAGTGTAAGGTGGTTTTATGGCTGAGCCTGACGGGAGTTTCTATTTTGAGGTTGGCCAAATGGCACTGCATTTGGAATAGCAGTCCAGCAGACACAGGGTTAATTCTTACCTTACATGATGGCAGTCATAATTAGGCGCTGGCACCCCAATGTTTTTTTGGTGGGGGTTCTGCTCATAAATATCTGGGGTGCCATGGTTATCCCTCACTGCCCTATGATGATTCTGCCTCAGATTTGCTGATCCCTTAGATTGCAAGCTCTTTAGAACAGGGCACTCTTCTCTTCTTGCTTCTATTGACCATTATTTCTTTCAGTCACCGGCTTTAAAGCTCCTTTGTAAATATAATCAATCTTTGCTTATCCCACTTTTATATCTCAATAAATGGCAATGGAATTCATATCATCCAGCATGTCAAGGGTTACAGAGAGCACAGATACAGTGACACGATCTATTTTAACACACAATCCCTCTTGCAACAAAGAGAGACCCTCCTCCCCCCCCCCCCCCCCCACAACTCTATTCATAACCCTAATTCTAAACAAGGCTGTCAGCACAGCCTTATGGGTAATGTAGTTGAATATGCCCTGTGGTGCCAAGAATGGCCATTACTGCTATACAGAGTAACTGATTAATAAGATACAAATTGAGTAAACCCTAAAACGGTGTGTGCAGATTATAAAATGTATTCTATCATGAATTTATAATTAAATATCTTTTCTGTTTCGTTATTTTACACAAGCACTAGCAATTCTATTAAAATATTTATTATTATTATTACTTTGCTATTATTATTATTATTATTTATCATTATTATTATTAGGGAACAAGTCAGTTATAATAATACATCTTGTGGTTATTTTGTTTAGAAAAAAAAACATTAAAAAAACGGGGGGAAAACAATGCACTGAAGGGGCTGCAGCAAATAAAGGGTTAACAGAAATAGTGGGGGTAGTTCTCTGTGAACCCCCATTTCAGGGCAGAAATCCCCAGTTCAGAGCCAGAGCTCTATCTATCTCTCCCTCTATTCCATGTCTGCTCTTAGCCAGTGATGTCAGCCCTGCCTAAAATAGTGAGGGATAGACTGCAAATCCACAGCTAGAAGCCTAAAACCCTCCAATCCTGCTCCAGTCAGCCGCAGGTCAGCACACACACAGCTCCTACAACAGGACACAGCAAGGGATCAAAGGCTATCTGCAGGTCTGCCTCCCTGAGCCATCAGCCAGAGCCCAGTCTCCACCAGGGGTGGCACTGCTGGCCCTTCTCACTTCAGGACTGAGTGCAGGAGAAATCCTGAACTGGAAGCAGGTGCAGCATCTCATTCCACTCTCATTATTTGGGGGGAGATCCTGAGGATTACTGGGGGGAATTCTATGTCACAAGTGAAGGGCTTCCTTGGCATCAACTGAAGTGACCCAGACCTAGACAGCTCGTAGAGGACTCCAACATGACATCCACTGAAGGGTAAAGAATTCCTACCTTATCCCAGCTAGCAATGCTTGTTCTGGCAATCACTATCTCTCTCTCATTGTATCCATCTATCTCTCTATCTGTGTATCTATCTATCTATCTATGTATCTATCTGTGTGTGTATCTATCTGTCTATCTATCTATCTATCTATCTATCTATCTATCTCACTGTCTGCATGTCTGTCTGTCTGTATGTTTGTCTGTCTGGCTATTCTAACTATTCTTTCTATCTATCATCTATCCATTTTATTCCATAAATTGAGAATTGTTCCATTCACAGACAAGGTACCATATAAACAAAGAGATGCATGTGTTTGTTTATACTGCTTCTGTTATCTGGTAAATGGCAACATTGTATCTCTCTCAGTTCATCCAGCTAATGCTTTCTCTCAGCTGGGGTGATGGGGATCCCCTAAATGTGAAACTGCTCTGACTTGTGAGTTTCAGCAGAGCACAAAGCCCATGGTACTAAAAGGGAGCAGGATGCTAATATGATTTTGTTATGGTTTTGGACAGCTGTTCAGCATTGTTTTTAACAACAGACAAAAGCCTTCCAGCAGTGCAGGGCTCAGTCCCTAGACTTGGCTCTCTGATCCTTGATCTCTCAGTCTGGATGCTGAGAATCCTGTTTGAGATTTTGGTCAGGTTTTTTAAACCAGTAGCGGATGCTTGTCACATTTTCTTTCCTGTATCAGTCAATGCCAGGACCACTTGGACGAAGTCTAGCAATCTCCATCTTAATGCCCCTTTGTCTATTCTTTTGCTCTGACATCTAAGGGGTAAACAAGCTTTGTGCAAAAAAAAAAAAAGCAAAACATCTTCTGTTCCTCCATTCTAAAAAATAAGCCTTTCAACATCAAGGACCATCAATTATTTTAAATAAGGAACTCTCATAGCAAAACAAACAACCAAATCATCAATTTGATAGCAGTAAAATAAATATATATTTTTTTCATTTTGCTACATGTCTTTTTTCCCTTCTGAATCACCCAGCGCAGATACATCATATAACCCTTTATACAAGAATTTGCAATTACTTAATGCTTTTTACAACCTATACCACTGGCATTCAAACTCATTCATTGTCACCGAGCAGAGATTCCTCTGGAGTATAACCCACAGATTGTACTTAGATTAAACTTTACTATTAAAATGACAATGGTTCAATTACTTTTTTATCAACGGATTGAACTGATCCCAAGGGATTTTCCTCCAGCCACAGTGAAGGGCCAAAGATGATTTGATTTTAAAGAATCGTTGATGAGACTAGGTGTGAATGCGTGTGATTTATTTATTTAATCACAACTCATTTCCAAGTCTATCAAGTGATTTGAAAGTCCATGGGGCGATTGGTCAGCACGAAATCTCTGCTACGAAACATATGCACCCCTGACGATTGTGTGATGGAGAAAAATGCACTTATATAAATATAACTGAATTTGCAATCAGAGGTGTTGAACTGTGAACTTTCCAAATGCTGTTGGACTACAAGTCCCATGATTCTCTTGCAGTCTGGACGTCCATTCATTATGGCACTTGTAGTCCAATAGAGATGCAAACACAGACCCAATTTAGCTACAAACCAATAATAGTCTTAGGTGTGCAAGCATTGTCTGCAGATTTTGTTTGTTTTCTAATATGTGGTAACCCCAATTATATGCAATTTTGTTCTATTTTTTTCATAGAAGTAGATTTAAAAAAAAAAATCTATGTTATGTGAAAATTAAAGGATCGTATTCAGTAAATCGAGAATTGTGGTGAACTGACAATGGGAATGCAAATTTTAGAGACAAAATAAATTTAAAAAAAATCCTAAATTGTGTTTCTGCTACCATTTTGAAAATTTTGGCCTATATTTTGGAAGTATCATGTCACTTCCCCACAGGTCCCGGTTACATATAATAAACCCCAATGTTTATTTCCCTTCAATATGTTCGGCTATATTATATATATATATATATATATACCTGAGCTGAATTCTGTCCTTTGGTATCATATATAATGCAGTACCTTTGGCCTGAAGAAATTCTTCAGTTGCTATAGTAACAGCCTTGGAAATATCCAAAGTCCAACATTGTTACAGTTTATATTGTAAGATTGTTGCTTTATTCTTTAGAATGTTCCATGTTGTGCGATTGTAGAAAGGAATAATTATCCCAAATTCTGTGTTTTGGGGCCGAAAGATAAGGGAAAGGATTGTGTGTGTGTGAAGATCAGTCAGACCTAATGAGAAGATTATAAATACATTCACTGTCAAACCTCATATTGAATGGAAATTCATCCTAAAATGGAACAGTCCACGCACCATAACCACTACAGCCGCCTTTCAGTGTAAGTAGTCAAAACGTTTTGGAACAGTTAAACAACTTACCTTGGATCCGCCAATAAAATCTTAATTATACTTTAACTTACCTTTTTCTGACAGCAACCTACCTCCTACTATGAAGTCATTACGTTTGATGACTTTTGCTCAATGAAATGCTTTTTCCGGACACACCGGACACAAACAGCTATATTGATGGTCCACCAGTCCGATGCTTCTGTGTGAGAAGCATTGAATCCATAGAGAAGCATTGGGGGGACACAGAGTCGCAAGTTGCAAGTGAACGTCAGAAATTATTTAATCGTTTTTGAGTCCAATGCCTCTATTGGATGCCTGAATGACTACCACTAGTAGTATGGGGTTTATAAAAAGACAAAAGTGCATTTTCTCAGAAGAGGCACTATTTTCAAATGCTGCAAGACTGCTGGGGCAGGATCTGTATCCCAAAATCATTTAATTAAGAAGTGGTTGTGGTGTTTAGACTGTCCCTTTAACAGCTAGTTGTTCAATAGCCAAACCCTGCAATATTATGAATTAATAATCTGTTAGCCTTCCAAAATTCTCACCTTAGCGGGAGCCGATAGGTGGACTTCCTAATAATATACTGATATAGGAAGATTAGAGGAAACTCATTTTTAGCATGGTGTGCAGCTTTTATGCACAAATTCTACTTTTTAAAGTCTCAATGGCCATAATAACCATTTAGCTAAAAAGATAATGAGATTTCTAGCTCTGGTTTATTGTACTCCATCCAGTGCGAGCTATGTATTAACTGAATATTCTTAAGACAGCAGTTGGTCTGTCTAACAGCTGGGAATGAGGGCAGTTGCTTAGAGGAGGGACTGACCTGCGCTCAGTGTTTGTGATGCCATCAGAAATGAACGAGGGAATAAAATACAACAGAGTTTAATTACTCAGTGGAGAATTGTGGTGAATTAAAAATTCAGACCAAAACAATCAATCTGTCAGTCTCGTCTAGAGCGATGGTGTAAATCTATATTATTTTATGGTTTTTGTGGTGAAGATGTGTTGCAGACATTGCTTGTGATTTAGGATATATGTTCCAGAACTCTCCACCATTCCATGCAAAATCCATGGAGGTGTTGGTCCTTGTCATTTTCTGGGTTATTCACTAAGGTGAAAATTCTAAGTGAAATTCAGAGGTGGGTGAAAGCATGGCTGACATGAGTTCAGCGATTATGGTCTTACATTTTTCATTTCCTTTGAATTTGCTTTAATAAAATCCATACATTGAATAGCAATAATTCAGTCAATATTGTGTCAATTTTCCTCAGTGTGGCAAAGTATCCCGCCAAAAACTGGGGGACATGCTTGTTAAGACACATTTTTCCTGGGCGCAGTGGGTTCTTTGACAAACAAAGCAGTTGAGACCCAGGCTGTATAGTGTAGGGCCAGTGATCACGTGGGTTTGATTTGTAAGTCCTGGCACACTTGATGGGCACCGTGGTTTAAGAAGCAGATACTATGGCAAACAATCTTCAGCTTTTTCTACAGCACTAAGTGTCTGGGGATTTTGTTGGCACTTACTCAATTGCGGCATGCTTTTTGCTACCAGGAAAAGTCAGTGGAGGACATCCATGCTTTTTTTGAGCAATCTGCACCATTGGCATAAGAAATCAGTGAAAAATGTGTGCAGAAGAAAATTGCAATCCCACTTATTCCATGACATGGAGACACCACTAACTCTAAATACCATTTTGCACAGAAAAAGCATCCAATCAACTTTTGTACCGTTATTTCTTGATCCATACATTTTGCAACTGACTTTAAATTGTTCTAATAGATGCTAAAATAGCCAAGAAGTGACGATAGCTGAGCTGAAGAGCTCCAAATTCACTATTTTAGCCTAAATGCAAGCCTCCCAACAGTCCCAAATAAGGCAGGACGGTCTCAATGCCCCTTGTGGCTATGTTGGCATTTCTTAAACATTATTGGATATTTACATATACAGTTATTTAATACAACAGTTAAATCTCTTTACAAGATAATATTACTGGAAGACAACAGGCCTTCCAGCAGACATGTCCCGATTTTGGTGGGACAGTCTCTATTTCTGAGTCCTGTCCCTGTTATTTTTCAAAGTAACAATGCCCTCTGCATGGTCAGCCCTTCATGGGATTGGTCTGTGTGATTGCCAGTCAGCTTGGCATGCATTTGGATAGTGCCAGTGACACAGTTTGTTTATATTGTAATAAAACATGTTACAGCTTGGCCATTATCAGGTCAGTTCTTCCTGTGGATACTCTCTAGTCTAGTTGTCCTATAGAGACTATGGGTTATACATAATTATGTTAGTATTAAAATTTAATATATATTATGACGTCACCGTTTTTTCTATTTGAAGCTGCAATCTTTTGATGTATGTGAATAAAATCAGTACAGCAGGATGAAAGGCATGGGATCTTTATACATGATGACAGGGGTAGCTTGAGATCCATTCTTTAAAACGCGATTAAAAAATAAATTGACATTAAAAAAAACTTTGAATTTATGCAGCTTAAAGTCTCAGAGTTATTCACTAATGTGTGAATTATTCAGGAATTCAAAGTGAATTTCACATTTAAGACCAAAGTAGCGAATCTGAAAATAGGATGGACAAAGAGACTCTGTCTAATTTGGCTATGTTGGCCTACATTATGAAATTCACTTTGCAATCCCACCAATTCTCACTTTAGTGAACAAGCCTGCAGGATGGCTGAACCCACTGATTAAAAGGAATTACCCTGTAAGGAAGGGTATGGGGCTTTGTATGAGGAATTCCATATTTTTAAAATAGTAAATAGGTCCTGAATGTTACACAATGGCAGGCCTCCCAACCATCTCAATTTAGTTCCCTGGTCTCCCACTTTTGGTGATACAAGGGAACTGACCCAAACAAGCATGGCATCAGTGTTCATGCTATATTAAGTACACCAGGACCCTGCAGGGAGCACTGTTTAAGTGCTCCCTGCAGGGCCTGCCCTCAGCGGGCTGGCCTTAGATGATACAAAGTCCCATGGTGGGCTGGCCTTAGATGATAGACAGACCCTCGATGGGCTGGCCTTAGATGATAGACAGGCCCTTGGTGGACTGACCTTAGATGATAGAGAGGCCCCTTGATGGGCTGGCCTTAGATGATAGACAGGTCCTCAGTGGACTGGCCTTAGATGATAGACAGTCACTTGGTGGACTGACCTTAGATGATAGACAGGTTCTCGATGGGCTGACCTTAGATGATAGGCAGGCCCTCGATGGGCTGGCCTTAGATGATAGACAGACCCTCGCTGGGCTAGCTTTAAATGATAGACAGACCCTCAGTGGTCTGGCTTTAGATAATAGACAGGACCTCAGTGGGCTAGCCTTAGATGATAGACAGGCCGTCGGTGGGCTGACCTTAGATGATAGACAGGCCCTCGGTGGGCTGGCCTTAGATGATAGCCAGGCAGTCTGGCATAAATTCACACCAGGCTAAACTGCCAGTAATTTGGCAGACCCAGTCCCCTTTCTGGGTGGGTCTGCAGAGCAAGTGACACGACCATGTTCCCTTTACCCCCTTCCTACCAGCGTCCCTCTTTTCTGTCAAATGTCATCCCAAAGCTGGAAAACACCAGCATTCCACAAGGTTGGGCAGAGCTGCTTGCTATCATCTGTCCAGCCCTGTATATTGTAGTGGTTGTGTTTATGGTGCTAAGAGGGTGAGTGCTGTCCCACAATGTTTTGTCCAAAATGTAGCTAATTAAAGAATAACTTAGCTTATGTTTGCATCAGTTTGACCATTTGAATTTTAATTTGCTACAAATCGAAGTTGAGTGAAACATCAGTGCTGAAAACGGACAGAGAGCTCAGCAACTATTCAATGTCATCCACTACTCAATGAGCAGATTAACCATCACCCCAGTCTGTCCATGGCTAAACCCCAAGTTACTTACCCAGCAAGTCGTATCATTATTATTATTATGATTATTATTTATATTTATATCGCGCCAACAAATTCCGTAGCGCTTTACAATGGGTGGACTAACAAACATGTAATTGTAACCAGACAAGTTTAACGCACAGGAACAGAGGGATTGAAGGCCCTGCTCAATGAGGTTACATGCTAGAGGGAGTTGGGTAAAGTGACACAAAAGGTAAGGGAAGTATTAGGGAAGTAGATTGGTATAAGAGTATTCAATGAAGACTTAGTGTGGTTTTTTTTGAGCCATTTACAGTTTAATTGATATGCTTTTGTGAAAAAGTGTGGAGACTGGATGAGCGTCTAACGGAAAAGGAAAGGGAGTTCCACAGGAAGGGTGCAGCCCTAGAGATTATCCAAGGTGTGTGCAGGCTGGTAATGCACATTTTAGAGCAATTGAGAACTGCCATTAAATTATTCTTACCAGAGCAATGTCTGATCACTGACCGTAGTTCAAACTGTAGCCTTATTTTGATTGGCTGAAAACAACAAGCAATTCGAACTCATCTTTTATCATGCCTTTTCTAAAACAAAGATATTTTCACAGCAGTAAAGTACATAATAGACATGATCAATAATGTTTGCACACACTTTTAATGATAAAATGATATCATTATATTAATGCAGAACTGATCCTTTAAGGCAGTAATCCCACCAAAGTTATTCACTATAATGAGAACTGAAAGTGAATTCACAGTGAATTTCAAATTTAAGGCCAAAGTAGCTGAATTGGAAGCATAAGGGACTTAGGGAAAATTTCCAGTTTAGCTATTTTGCCTTGAATTTGTTTTGAACTTTAACTTTAATGGAGAATGCTGTGTATTTATATTCAGGGCTAATGAGCGGACCACCTCGAGGCAGTGTGGACATTGATCTTGAGTAATCTGCCTTCTAAGTTACTTTTCGGGTTGTGATGTTGTGGAGTCATTTTAATGGACTTACCTCCAGTTGTGTGACTTTACAAAGCTATAGCTATGAGGTATTCATTGGCTTCAACCCAGGAACATTTAATTGACGAGTGATTCTCAGAACTTTAAAAAGTGTATACTGCTCTGCATAGTCCGTAAAGTATGTATGGACTGTTTATAAAACATACCGCATTGTTTTACTTGCTATAAGAAACATTTGTTACCAAACTGGAGTTGTATTGTTTTTCCTACCATTCATGTTTACATTTTATTAACCAAAATGTCACATACAGACTATGTTCCTTTAGCATACCTAGGGACTTGCAATTTGCAATATGGGGTTTCCCTGAACCTCATAATATTATTAACCCTATGAGCAAGAACTAGCAACCTCAAACATTTTGTGGTTAATTCACAAAAATACTGAATTGTAGTGAATTAAAAACGGATATAAAAATTGAGACAGCAAAGGCTGATTTAGAAAAAAAAATCCAACTCTGCCATGGTTACTACTTAGCCCTATTAACAGAAATTTGACAAAATCGATTGAAAAACCCTTACATCTGCAAACTATGACTTCAATAATGATCGGTTGGATAAGAAGGTGGATCAGCACCAAATGAGACATGACCTCTCAGCATATGTCTAATAAAAAGTGAAGTGTGTTGGGCTGACAAAAAAGTAGGTAAAATTAACCTAGATGGAAAATGAACCATTTCCCCACCCCCCAACTCTGCAAGTTTGGCTAAACATTTGTAACTTGACTTCCAAATGACCAAATTCATTGTTTAGTGGGTAGCCCACGTAGAGTGCCTGAGTTAGCCAAACTTCAATGCGACAATAATGTCTGTTCTGTCAGAATTATCATTTATAAAGTTATTCTGAAGTAGAGGTGAAGGAAATACCTTTCAAAATCACCCGGGTTCAACCAGGGATTTCCTGAGTTAACTGAAAAAAAAGACATAGAAACTCCAATGTAATTCTATCACTGCGGAATATGAAGGAAGTGCAAGGTACCACGTGGCATTGAATCCTGAGATTGGTAAGAAAGCACTGAGGGCCCTGCAATATATTTCACATTTGTATATCAGTAGTTTTTTAATTTTCTACAGGTTTGCTTGTTGTTTTTAATTGTCAAAACACAACCACTTTATTTTGTTTTGTTTATTGTGTACTGTGTCAATGTCTTTCTTGCATATACTGTATATTGTCTCTGTGTCTCTCTTGTGTGTGCATAATTGTCTAGTTTCTCCAAAGTTTATATGGTGGCAATGTCTTCCTATGTTGATACTTCGGTAAAGTGTCTTCTGTTTATATTTGGTCAGTGTCTGTCCTGTCTATATAATGTGTTAGTGTCTTCTGTCTATATACTGTTTCGATATCTTTCCTGTCTATATACAGTGTCAGTGCCCATCAGTCTCTGTCCTCTCTACATACTGTGCCTTACTGTGTCCTCTCTACATAATGTCTCCTGTCTATATACTGTGTCTTTACTGTCTATACACTGTCAATATCTTTCCTGTATTTATACAGTGTCAGTATCCATCAGTCTCTGTCCTCTCTACATACTGTGCCTTACTGTGTACTCTCTACATACTGTCTCCTGTCTATATACTGTGTCTTTACTGTCTATACACTGTGTCAATATCTTTCCTGTCTATATACAGTATCAGTATCCATCAGTCTCTGTCCTCTCTACATACTGTGCCATACTTTCTCGTGTCTGTGCCTTTACTGTCTCTATACTGTGTCAGTGTATTTCCTGTATATATATTGTGTCAATGTCTTCTGTTTATACCCTGTGTCAGTGTCTATCCTATCTTTATACTGTGTGTGTCTTTCATGTCTATACAGTGTGTCAGGGTCTCTCCTGTCTATATACCGTGACAGTGTCTTCTTTTTATATTGTGTCAGTGTCTCCCCTTCCTGTATACTGTGTCAGTGTCTCGCCTGTATATATACTGTATCAGTGTCTAATGTCTATATATAGTATGTGTGTCTTTCCTGTCTATATACTGTGTCAATGTCTCTCCTCTATACATACTGTGCCAGTGTCTCTCCTGCCTATATACTGTGTATGTGTCTTTACTGTCTATATACTGTGTCAATGTCTCTCCCATCTATATACTGTGCCAGTGTCCCTCCTGCCTGTATACTCTTCTGTATTTATACTGTATCAGTGTCTTTCCTGTCTATATACTGTGCCAGTGTCTTTCCTGTCTATATACTGTCAGTGTATTCTCTCTATATACTGTGTCAGTGTATATCCTGTCTATATACTGTGTCATTGTCTCTCCTGTCTATATACTGTCAGTGCATTTCCTGTCTATATACTGTGTCAGTGTATTCTCTCTCTATACTTAGTCAGTGTATTTCCTGTCTATATACTGTGCCAGTGTCTTTCCTGTCTATATACTGTCAGTGTATTCTCTCTATATACTGTGTCAGTGTATTTCCTGTCTGTATACCGTGTCACTGTCTCTCCTGTCTATATACTGTGCCCGTGTCTTTCCTGTCTATATACTGTCAGTGTATTCTCTCTATATACTGTGTCAGTGTATTTCCTGTCTGTATACTGTGTCATTGTCTCTCCTGTCTATATACTGTGCCATTGTCTTTCCTGTCTATATACTGTCAGTGTATTCTCTCTATATATTGTGTCAGTGTATTTCCTGTCTGTATACCGTGTCACTGTCTCTCCTGTCTATATACTGTGTCAGTGTATTTCCTGTCTATATACTGTGTCACTGTCTCTCCTGTCAATATACTGTCAGTGCATTTCCTGTCTATATACTGTCAGTGTATTCTCTCTATATACTGTGTCAGTGTATTTCCTGTCTGTATACTGTGTCACTGTCTCTCCTGTCTATATACGGTGTCAGTGTATTTTTCTGTCTTTCATGGACAATTGCTGTTTCTTTATGTAAATGTATTGAGTTCATTATGTGACCATCTAGGGATGTAACATTTTTGTATTTGCCCTTCTGTCACTGGCCTCCCGATCTGTACTCCTTCCTTCTGTCCCTGCCTTCTGGGTCCCTGTGCCTTCTGTTCATATCCCACCCAGGTCTTTCCGACACTTCTCCCTATTTCCCCACGCTTGCCGTCTGTTGCTCCTGTCTTTGCTCTCTGAGGCCTCATAGCCGCTAACTGTGTCTGTTTTATCTGAATGTTCTAAGTATATCTATCACTGCTTCCCAGCCATGGCAAGGACTAGTGCAAATTATTTATAGACCCATGTATCTTTAACACCTGTCGATGAACCAAAAAACCAACTTCATTTCACTTGGCATCACCAGAGTCCAGCTTCTCTTATGGAGATTTGGATATTTGTGAGGACAATCACAGCTGCGTCATATTATGAATATGTCTAACACAGCTGATTCACCCCAATATTCCATAACAATACCCAGATAGAGAGACAGTCCCCTCCCCCTTCTCTGTTATTGCAGCCAGCCAATGAGAGATCTGCGGTAAAAGGTCCGAAGTACCATATGCAAGAAAGTTTTTGACATTTTTTTTTTTTTTTTTAATAATGCTGAAAACAAGGTAGCAGAAATGTGTTGCATGAAAAATTGAACGATAACCGTGATAATAAATGTTCCTTTTATTTAACAAGTGTGTTTCTTTTTTAAATTTTTTATTTTTGCAGTGCATATAACTGATACATACAGGCATGAGGTGCCCCAAAAGCAGTCCTCAGGCTTTACTTCGTTTTCCATACGGGACAGGTGAATGACATGCACAATTTTATATTATAAGCAGGCTTAAAGGTAGTCAGGTGTACTGACATACTGATGAAACGGTGACATGGAAAACATTGTATATTAGTGGTTCAGAAACAGGCTTAAACTTCCATTATGTCACATAGATAAGAAATTAGATTACAGGATTAGAAAAACATAGGGTACAGGTTAAAGATTCATGTTGGTAAGCTCGCTGTGTGATTGTGTGAGTGTTTTGTTTGGTCTGGAGGCTGAGATTTCCACGGGTTCCAGGGTCCAGGGCTCAGAGTGTCGATGAATGGTGCCAGTCCCTGTGCCAGCATCTGTTATAGGCTCAGGTGGTGCTCGTGTGTGGGTGTTTTCAGAGCTGATGGTTGCAAGTATGCTAGTGTATGCCTGCTGTGCGCTGTCGTTGAGTTGAGCAGTGAAAGGGTGCCAGTTAGTCAGGTGTGTTTGGTGTAGTTTGGCAGGTGTATAGTGGTGCTCAAGGACAGGTGTGGTTAAATTATGGCACTTCAGGTTGGGGTTCAAGTCCCGGGTCAGCCGACCCCTCTGCATGGTGGTAGGCTTAGGTGGCATAGTGCGTTTGGAGGGCAGAGTTCATGTGGGTTCCCCCGAGTGCCCTGAGCCGTCATGAAGGCCTGCATCCTCTGGTCTCGAACTAGGGATCTCTCGTGGGAGGCCAAGTTCTGCCCTTGTGGGGGGCTGCAGCTTGTCCCGATAGGGTGACTCTCTTTATGTCGTTGGGTCAGCTGCTTTTGTTCCCCTTGTGGTCTTGAGCCCAGGTGGGCCCTTCGTGTGAGACTGGGAGCTTGTTTTATAGGGATTGCCCAGGGGGGATGTGCTCTTCGCCCGCCCTACTTCGTCCCGCTTACTTGTTGTTGGATTCTGCAAGTTTATCCTGGAGGCAGTCGGTGAGTGCCTGCCCAGTTTGCAGTGAGGGCGCCCTGTCTCCCTTTCGGCGTGCACATGTCTGGAAGGCGTCGGCCATCTTGTAGTGAGCCGCCCCACTTGCACTGCGCTGTAAGGCTGGTGCTGAAGCCGTGTGGCAGCCCTGGGTTGTCGCCCGTGGGGACCGGGATAACCCCCACTGGTCCATAGGGGAGGGGGACAGCGATACACCATCCGGAGACCTGGGGGAGCATCCGTCTGGCCCCAGCTCAAGCTCGGGTAGGCCTCAAGCCTTCGTCTGGAAACTCTGATGCCGTGTCGGGTCGAAAGTGGTACCATCGTGATCAGCACTGGCTTGTGAGTGGTTTGGTAACCATTGTGGGTCTGTGCCCTTTTGTGGCTTGGGTTTAGCTTCAGTTTAGCCGCTCAGACGCAGGAGCTCAGGCAAAGCATGTCTGATCCGGCCCTAACAAGTGTGTTTCTCACATTTTTTTTTTGTTCCTAAGTTTGGGGAGATCCATGAGTGTCATGCCTGACCAAATGGAAATCCAGCCCCAAACATGTGACCTTAAGTAGATTTAGCATCAACTGGTTAGAGATAGAAATATCTCTTACTGTTAGTGCTGGTTAATCTTGGCATGACAGCCCAGAGGCTCATGGGAAATGTAGTCTCCAAACATTTGCATTTCCAAGATCATCAGTCACTGGATGGTAAATTAAGTGGGACGGTCTTTTCTTCTATTAGAGTAACAATCCATAAGCCTGTAGTTGCCATTTTTTATGTGTGAAATTTCCCCTGTCTGCATTGCTGACTCTCCGAGATGGATTCTGGGTAGATGTCAATGAAATCTGCTATTTACTACAACTCTCACAATGCTCTGTCAACACAATAAGGGTGTGATGTGACGTTACCTCAGTGCATATCTGATATGTTTCTGATTTCTAGTGAAACGTGTGTTCAGGGTTCTGGGGATGATATTTAAACACAATGCAGAAGGACAAGTATTTCTAAATGTCTTCAGAATACACACTTCGCCGATATGTATTTTTCATATTACATTAGATTTAATGGCTAGAGTTAGTGTGAGTGTTAAAGCAGCTCTGCCGTCCCCATATCCAAAATGAATATTTCAGAAAATAAAATTCTTTATGAAATTCCAACACAGTCAAAAGATACACTACGACAAAGTAAGGTTTACTTGCTCTCAGTATTTTTCCAACGCTTGACAAGTTTAAAGGGACACTAAAGTCACCAAACAACTTTAGCTTAAAGGAACACCATTGGATCAGGAACACAAACATGTATTCCTGACCCTATAGTGTTAAAACTACAATTTAGGTGGCTTGCCTTCCCTTAGCCCCTTAGAAAGCGTTAAAACGCTCGCCCACGATCCACCTCTTTGGCTGACATCATCAGAATTGATGATCTCCGCCAAAATTGGCTGAGATTGCCAAGAAGGCGGGGTAGGGGTAGGGCCAAACGCCTGCCAGGTCAATCAGCATCTCCTCATGCAGAGGATGGCGACACTGAATGTCAGTCACATTGTTCAGCACTATCCTAGGAAGCACCTCCAATGGCCATTTAAGGAGCTTTAATGTAAAAACTGCCTTTTCTCTGAAAAGAAAGTGTTTACTGCAAAAACCCTGAAGGGAATGATTATACTCACCAGAATAAATACAATAGACCATAGTTGTTCTGGTGACTATAGTGTCCTTTTAATTAAGTAATTTTAGTGTATAGATAATGCCCCTGCAGTCTCACTGTGCAATTATCTGCAATTGAGGAGTTAAGTCACTTTGTTTCTGTTTATGCAGCCATAGCCATACCTCCCCTGGCTGTGACTGACACAGCCTGAATGAAAACAAAATGGTTTCATTCTCAATCAGATGATTTTAAAAGTTTTTATCTCCAGCTCTGTAAATTGAACTTTACTCACACAAAATAGGCTCCTGCAATTTCTAGCAAGCTATTAGCAGAGCAGAAAATAAGAAATTCTAAATTAAATTTGCCATACAGAAAGTATAAACATTAGATGTCTCTTTACAGGAAGTGTTTAGTAAGGCTGTGCAAGTTACGTGCAAGGAGGTGGGACTGGGGCTGCATAAACAATGTGATTTAACTCCTAAATGGCAGAGAATTTAGCAGTGAGACTGCAGAGGCATTATCTATACACCATAGATTCCCAGCATGGACAACTCAGTGGTTCACACTTACAAAGTCAATAAAATAAACAATACACAAGATCCAGCACACTCTCCTATCTACTAAACAGCAACTTCAATATTGACAGATTGTATTAGTTTTTTTAAAAGTTTTTTCTAGGGGTTTTTTAAAAAACACCTAATCTAGGCAAAAAATAATGGGGATTTAGTTACATTATATGATCATACATTGCATTAGCCTTCCACAACGTCAATGTACCCCATCTTTGGCAGGTCCTACTCTAACAGTCTAATGTTTACTCTTTTGTGAATAACTCACTTACTTGGGGGGAAAAATTCCATCAGAGGCTCTCTGCAGTACAAGGCCAAATAGGGACCTGAGGTGAGGCACCTGTAACAGGGAGGGCTGCAAAACCAAGGAGTTGGCTAAACTCCCAAATATATATTTATACATATATATATATGAAACATGGGGGGTGGTTGCACTCTTACAAAGTCAATAGAAGAAGCCCTATACCTACTTGAAAGTTAGTTTAATGTACAGTATTTTTCCTGGTTAAATAGTTAGATATTATTATTCCTTTTTCCTTCAAAGAAACATTAGTTTCCGTGTCCATAATGGTCACTTGGGCCAAAATTCTCTTAAAAGGTTTTGCAGAATTTTCCTTTGAAAAAAAGAACATTTATTGTATGGAAAGAAAAATTCCCCGCAATGTCTTAATTGGGCTTAACCAACCATTCTGTTATACAGGACCCCTGCCATTCACTAATCAATTATAATTTGTCTTGATAACACACGGGCACATTCTGGTATATCCAACAGAGGGCAGTGCATGCTAAAGTTTCTAAAACTTTTCAGATCGTTGATAGTACAAATGCATCAATACTGTGTTTGTTGGTGCTGATAGCCTTACAGTGAAGGAGGATAATACATAATAAGACCATCACAGTAAAATACTTTCAAATGGTTTGTTACATGAGTTACTTAAAAAAAACAAGACACAGTTTATGGATGTGAACTAATAAAATAAATATTTAATTAATTTTATAACATGGAAAATATTGCAAACATGCCTTTATATAGTTTTTGTCTTAGAATGTAATGTGGTTCATAACCAAATTGTAAAAAGTACGCAATAATTGATCAGAATTTTTTTTTAACTTGGTTATTCCCACAGATTGGCTTTTTTCATTCATTTATTCTTTTAAATTATTTTTATGGATGCCGTTGCAAGCAGGTACATTCATATACTTCACCCATAAGAATAGCGTTAGGTTAGCGTATGGTCAGACATACATTACTGTTACAGTTATAAAGATTCCCTAGTAAACTGATTGTCACTAACAGTGCCAGAACGAGTGGTTGGAGAGAAGCCAAATCCTCAGTCTAAATCTATATCAAATGTCCTGGCACGCTCAGTCTTGTTAAGTCGAGAAGGATAGAGCACCCGATACTTGCTGTTACAGAAGAAGCCTCTGAAGAACACCACAGACTAGAGTAGTTGGTCACCAGGTGGCCACTTACTGCTAGTCCTAGACATTGCAATAAACATCACTATTAACATTTATATAGCACCAATATATCACACAGCGCGTTACAATTATAGAATGGGGATATTAGAGAAGTTTCCTGGTTCGAAGGCTGTGATGTTAAAATTGCTCTAACTAGCCAATATATAGTATGCAAGTAAATTAGGCACATTTTAGGTCATGCTGAGTGTTGGAAGAGAGGACCATAAAGTGTGGGATCATGTCCAATATTGGCACCCCTAGGTGGTACAACTCTCATAAACCTGTATTCACTGGGAGTGGGCACCTGGTGATATTGTTAAAGTCACCCAGGATCTTACACGCATGGTGCCTTCTCCAGCTTCCCAGGTATTTGCAGGTATATTAGGTTTCATTCTGGAGTATATTTTTGCGCAGAAGTTTGCAAACAGCCTCTGCAAGACTTACTCTAGGCTGTGCATTCATCAAGAAGTGGGTATGCAGTCTACTTCCTTCTCCATGACCAACAGGTGTCATATGGAGTTGCCAAGCAAGAAGACTGACCGCTTACCCTGACAAGTACTCTGTTCACACCATGGTAGACCTCAGATCATCTGGCCCCTTCTAGAAGCTCTTATGAAGCAGTGTAAGTGTAAGAAAGTAGACACGTTAGTTCTCTCTTGGGGTTATCCACAGCATTACCTTGTCGATTGTGGAGAGGTACATTAGTTTAAGAAACCACAAAGATATGTGTTTCAATTTGCAACACAAAATCTAAAGAGAGATGCATCTGTAAGGCTCGGCAGTCAATCCCTGCACCATGCTTTGGCCTAATTTTTGCTTTTAAGGCCTCAGTTCTCTACCATTCATTATTTAGTTAATTATTTCATGTATAATCTGCAGACGGAGTTTAAAAAACCCAACGGCAAAAATTCATATATTCATTCTAAACTTAAAAAAGAAAATTAGACTGATCTGTATTGTTATTTCATCAAGACTTCAAATCAATAAGAATAAATAAATAGAAAGAGCTGAATTTATTAACAAACCGATAAATGTTTATCACAAGTGATAAAAAATGCATACCTCCCATGAAACATTGCTTGGGACAGTCTAAAGATGTACTTGCTTTGCAGTTATGGGACCTGTCCTGGTGTCCCCAAAAATAGCACACCAGAAAAGAAACTAGGGACAGCAGAACAGGAGCTTAAATTTAGGACTGACTTTCCAAATCCGGGACTGTTGGGAGCTGTTATAATGTCTCCTTTCATTTTTCCCAGACTTTTGAGTAAGCATGTGAAGTAAAAATTTATCTTTCAAGTGTATTATCTCTGAAATCCTTGTTATTGTCAAGCACCAGAATTCCAACAGGGAGTGTGTTATGCAGTATAATAATTTGCGTGAATTTTGTAGAACGCGAGGAACAAGTTGAAATGTCAACCGTGATAAACGTTTTATTATTTGTAGCAAGATCAAGAGATTGTATGTTGAGGGAGGGGGACAAACTTTATATTTCATTTATTGGAGATTCTTATCTTGCAATATCCACTGCAATCTGACAGCTACATGACATGCCTGAACTAAAAAAGACGTCATTCATGCATTCATCGAAGAGTACCAGACGCGTTTCACCCATTCAGCAGATTTCAACACATTCAGACAGTCATTCTGAACTGGTCGGATCTTGTTAATAACAACTGGACGTTTCGAGAAGTGACACTTAGTTTCCTTGCAGTGTTTTTACTGACTGTGGGGACCAGACATATATTGTTTTATTTATTTATTTTTGCAATTCATTTTCCATAAAGAGGTTTATCTAAACAGACAAGATAAACTTAAACAATCAGTAATCATATTCTTTAAAAAAAATAAAAAAAATCTAATTCTCAATACAGCTCTATGTTTTTATTTTTTATATATATATAAAAAAGGAAATGTAACTGTATTTAATCCTCATAATTTAAATGGAACGTTTAGTTTAAAAAAAATGTCCCCTTTTTTTAATGCATTTTGTAAATAATGCAATAAAAATATAGAAATAAAAAAATAAAAATAAAGAATCAAAGAAAGTGGTGCCTTTCAAATGTCCTAATGGTTCTGTGCCCAGACTGCAGATTTCAGTGCAGGCAGAACCCTTCCTCGCCGAGAAGAGGCTCCATAAATCCGGAGTTTCTCATGATTGTCTACGAAGGCTGATTGTATCCCATAAACCTCTGTCTTGCATGGGTTTATAGGACAAGTTTTTCCCTGGATCAAATATACTCAAATAAGGGCAACTGGTCTGTAAACTGATAACAGCCATAGTGCAACTAAATTATGCTTACCCATGTCTGTGAGTTTTGTGAATATGAGAGAGCGCTCAGTCCAAGCTATGCATGATGAGGGGTGTACACCCACAAAATGATCCAAATTAACACAGGCAGCCTGGTAATGAGAATTCCATCAGCCCGAGAAATGGGGGGCACCCATGACAGGAACGGTGTTAAGAGACTCAAGGGTTAAGAGTGGTTGGATAGAAACACTACATAGACTACAGTACACACAAAAAACAATTACAGTGTGCACAGACAGATAATGGCAGGTGGTGTGATACATAAAATATTTTACAAATTGGGGTCAGGAAGTTGTAATCAGATCCTGCGCTGTAACCTAGTGACGCCTCTGGTTTCACATGCAGTATTAAGTAAAGATGCTAGGATGCCTATATTTTAACTGCAATAGCCTTTACATTTAGTACTGTTCAAAAACAACCAATACTCAGCCATACGTTGAGGGTGTTTGAGGGCTGCTGACCCCAGCATTTATAGCATTGCACCTCTTAGAGTAATCAGTGCTTTTGAAAAGTCCTTTTCTACTTGTAGAAAACTACCTCCTTAAATAACTCTAAAACCATTGGGATCAGTTCCCCAGTGACATCATTGCAGTTTGTCTGCAACTGTTCACCCATCTGCATTTCTTAAAGGGTAAGTTCCAATAAACTCTAAAATAAGAGAGGTCAATGATGAGTATATGTTAATACAAATATCGGAACGCAATGACAGAAAAATAAATAGCCTACAAAAAAATTCTAGACTTATGACATCATCAAAAAAGAAAGAGAGAGAAAAAAAGAGAAAAAATTACATTTCAAACTCAAACTGCTACTTGGAAAAATCTTCTCTTAATTGTAGCTGTTTTTTTTAAATTAAAGAATGATTTGGCACAGGCTCAAAACAATAATAAAGGAGCCTAAGATATAACTTTCATTAATGTTTTTGCCTTTTTTAAATTTGTTATAGTGTTATAGTGTATATAGTTCTAAAGATAGGATTTAAAAAAAAAAAAATTGTAGAGCGTTGCTTTTAATTTATTCGGAGAGATCACGTCTAATTCTCTCATTATGTCATAGAAAACTAAAATATTAATATTTGTTCTGCAGCATTTAGCAGGTTACCTGGGAAACCCATTAGCAGTGACATTGACCCCGGGGTGATAAATAAGATCACAGCCACTAATAATTTGTTCTCATGGAGAAATGTGTTTAGCCAAATCGTTACTCCGAGGTTTGGATTGCTTATTTAACCTTCTGACCTCGGGATACGATATATTTGTAATAAATAAAAGCAGGCTCATAACTCAGGGAACTATTGAATAACAGTCACAAATGGGATATAGAGTGGATATTAGCAGGCCGTGTTCGACATAGCAATTTAAGAGTGTTCTGCTCCACACCTTGAGCAATAATAGTTAATGTTGTATTGAACATGTGGCCATGGAGGCTGGATGTTACTGTGTTACTTCCTGTGGGAGTCATAGGTCAAATAAATTGCTAACAGTTTCCGCATCTATGGATCCACACATTATTAAATAGCTGCAGGTTTTAGTAACTGTCAGATAAATTGAATGAAAATATGAAATACTATATAAAGGGTTACTCCCAGCACCATAATCACTTTGGTGTTTTGAAGTGGTCAAAGGTGCACGGAGTATGTGCAGCCTTTTACTTTGAAAAACTTCACACACAGTGGGGTGTTATTGGATTATCATTAGCCGGAACAAGAGTTCCCGGGTTGGATAAGGTCAATTCTATACAAAGTTCTGTGTATAGAATTACATTAATTTAGAAAATTGGGCAGACAAGATGGGCCGAATGGTTCTTATCTGCCGTCACATTCTATGTTTCATTGGGTGAGCCATCAGCAACCGGGTCAGCATTCGTCCGCAGCTCTGCAGAAGCCCGAAGTACTTTACCATAGCTGGAATAATCAATGTTTACCTGCAGACATTGGAAAATTGTGTGCCCCATTACTAAGAAATAAGGCCAGGGTACTCCTGGTATTATAACTACTGGTATTATTGTCACAATCATCTTGTGCCATCTCTGTGGTGTGAAAGGATCAGCGGCGATACACCTGTCTCTAAAGGGTTGTGTACATTGGGCCTGTCTCACAAACTAGTGCAGAGTCATCTTTATTTGGCCAAACTACTTGAAAATGGTTTGTTAAAAAAACCCAGGGAAACTTATTGGGAACAGCTTGTAACAATGTAGAGAAAACATGGGTTTCTATGTCTCGTTCTCCAATGCAATGCATGCCCTGGCTATGCCAGGACTCAAGTGGATTGTAATTAATGGATTGTGATATTTGGATCGTGAAATCAAAAGAAAATGAAGCGTGACATGGAAAAATAGGTTAACACAAGTTCTAGGTGATTTTCAATGTTTTATTTAATGATGTCATTTCCAGAAAGTGATAATTCCCCTTTAACCCTTGCCCTGCTAATTCGTTATGGTGAGATGAATTGAATTCCTTTGAGTGGCGAATGTAATAGACTTTCTATTAAATAATTGATCAATCTCATGCACAACCTTTCGCTCATTACTCTTAGGGAGACTTTATTGTTTTTATTTATTCTCATGTGTATTTTGCACTACACCCAGGCCCCCTTTAACCCGTGGAGGACTGGAGAAGATCAAACTGGAGACCATCAATAGGTGGGTAATAACAACATCTATTACTATTCAGCTGCTGATCTGGTTAATTCCCAGAGCATGCGCTGAAGAGCGCTTCAAGTCCCACTGGGAGAAAGGCGCTATATAAATGCTAGTTATTATTATTATTATAAATTACTCCTTATTATGACTTATAAAGCTATCAAAGTGTTTGCCGAGGGCAGTAGTGCATCATGTTAGCGTGGGCGGTTCCTATTGGATAAAGCAGCTCTCCTAGTAAGGATTCACAGAGTGTGTCTTGCTTTCCCCACTACCAAACTGAACCAGGACAAAATAACTGGAGCCATAATATCCCCAGAGACAATAAAACTTTCCAAAGCTTTTTTTTGGAGAAAAATAGCACAACATTTACAGGGTTACTCACTAAAGTGACAATTCAAAGTGAATTCAATAATAATTTCAAATTTAAAGGGACAGTATAGTCACCAGAACAACTACAGCTTAATGTAGTTGTTCTAGTGAGTATAGTCGGTCCCTGCAGTGTTTTTGCTGTAAACCAGGGCTGTCCAAACCGCGGCCCCACAGATGTTGCTGAACTACAATTCCCATGATTCTTTCAATGAAACAGATAGCCAGATAATCATGGGAGTTGTAGTTCAGCAACATCTGGGGGGCCGCAGGTTGGACAGCCCTGCTGTAAACACTGTTTACCGTGGGAAAGTACTGGATTGGCTGAGATCATCAATTCTGATGATGTCAGTCAAAGAGGGGCATCAGGGACGGGGTCAACACCACCAGACTGTAAATAAGGTACATTTTCTTACCTTTTAAGGGGGATAAAAGGGAACAAGTCACCTAAATGGTGCTTTTAACACTATGGGGTCAGGAATGCATGTTTATGTTCCTGTCCCTATAGTGTTCCTTTAAGGCCACATTAGCCAAAATGAAAGCATAGCTGACTTAGATATTTTTTTACCTTAAATTACACATTAACTTTGAATTCTTACTTTAGTAAATAATCCTGTTACTTTTTCTTATTTTTCATTGGCAGCTTTACTAACGAGATTTGTACACTTCTAGCCAATTTAACTTATTAGCTTTAATGAATTGCCTGATAAGAATCCCAATGCCATTACTGGTATTTATTTATTTAAAAACTAATTTAAAAAAAGCAAAGGACTGTATTTAAACGGTTACAGTCCTGACGTAAGTACGTCTGTGGAACCTTCAGGTGGCCTGAAAACCACTGATCTCCACTAGAGATGTCGCGAACCGTTCGCAAACTTCCCGCGAACGGCTCGCCACGGTTCGCCACGAACCGTTCGCGGCGAGCTCCGGTCAGCTGACGCATACCGGCCAATCTCCAGCAGAAGCTGCCTTCAACATGGATGCTGTCCAGGAGGTGTGAGGGTCTGGGAGGGAGGGTCTGCTGGAGATTGGCCGGGATGTGTCAGCTGACCCCGGAGCTCGCCACGAATGGTTCGTGGCGAACCGCGGCGAGCCGTTCGCGGGAAGTTCGCGACATCTCTAATCTCGACACATGAATGCATTTTGAATGGTATAAACCATCTCCCTCCCTAGTTGACACCTGGCAGAGAGTTATGGGAATTGCAATCCAACAATAGCTGTGAGGACATGGCTGAACAAACCCAATATAGAGTAATACATCTTTTACAAAGAGGAGCTCATGCAAGCCGGGATTTCTTTATATTAATTAGACTCCTGTCTCTATAATTCAGATTTCAGCTATTTTACACTGACAGCTGGCGGTCTTTTTGTGCTGAAGCTGGATTGCCATGGAAACCCTGTGCTTTCATTTACACTTTGATGACAAAACTTGTTGGAAATTATGTTATTTTATTATTGTTCATTATTGAAGCCATTAACAGAAGGTCCATTGCCATTAACAATCACAAAATGAGCACTAAATGCCCCGCAATTAGTGATGTCCCGAACGGTTCGCCGAACGGTTCGCCACGGATGGCGAACATATGCGCTGTTCGGTCCGCCCCCTATTCGTCATCATTGAGTAAACTTTGACCCTAGACCTCACAGTCAGCAGACACATTCCAGCCAATCAGCAGCAGACCCTCCCTCCCAGACCCTCCCACCTCCTGGACAGCTCACTAAGAATGCAGCTTCACAATGAATGTAAAATGGATGCTGTCCAGGAGGTGGGAGGGTCTGGGAGAGAGGGTCTGCTGCTGATTGGCTGGAATGTGTCTGCTGACTGTGAGGTACAGGGTCAAAGTTTACTCAATGATGACATAGGGGGCGGACCGAACAGCGCATATGTTCGCCGTCCGTGGCGAACCGTTCGGCGAACCATTCGGGACATCACTACCCGCAATATATTGTTTAACATTTTGTCTTTTTGTCCGTTTGAGAAAGGAATGTGTCCTTGGTGGGAATCCACCGCACACAGGATGTGACTCCAAGCTTGGAACAGTGAGAATTGCCCAGATGTGCTTACATTTTGATTGGCTATCCAAAAAGGCCAACCAGATTGAAGGAGATGACACGTCAGAATGGCCATTGCCTATAAGTGCTGATAATAAACTCTTTGAACCCAGTGACGAGCCACGGCTGTGCACGCTTGCGGTTAGCGGCTGTGCCGATCTCTGCACTTGGCTCAGTCCACAAAACTTACTAAACTGTGTATAGCTGCAGTGTGGCTCCTATCAGTTTATACAGCCATGCCACTTATCCTTTGACAACCAGAACCTCTGCTGTGGATAAACTACTTTTCCCGTAAACATCTGCAAGACGGGGTTTATTAGATAAAGCAGCCCATAAACCAGAATTCGTGATTGGTGGAACCTCTTGGTGGGGAGGGAGGAGTCAGCCTGTAGACAATCGTTTATCTTAAGTATAACTTTCAAATAAAACTGAATTGTAAGACAATTTAAATGCAAACAACAGACCTGCTGTAGTGGTTATGGTACAAATAGTTCTCCTGACACCATCCCATAGTAAGTAGTCTGTTTTTTACCAAAAATGTATGTAGAACGACCATGTGATAACACTCTAACCAACTTTTTCCAGTTAATAGGGAAATTACCTTGAACGAATCTACCAACAAATAAAGCATTCACTAGCACAAAAGGAAATGTTCCAATCAGATCTGAAATTATATTAAATTAAAAATTAGATTTTTAAAAAAAATGCAGTTTCTATTCTACTATATTGATGATTTGGGTAGTGATTCAATAAGGTTTCTTGTAGAACCTAACCTGCATAAAATTGGGTACAGCTTGTAACAGTGGCTCCCCTTGTGACAAAGCGTTTACGGTATATTTCTTAATGAGTTAGTAAGCATGGCATTGTGATTGCTTGTCACGATGAGTGATTTTCCTTAATATGTCTTATTAGATTTACAGCATCCATCCGTCCCATGAAAGAGATGAGTAAACCCCAACTTAATCATGTTGATCTGAAGCCACCAGGGGGTACTTTGTAAGGACAGGGACAGGGGACCTGACACTTTGACATATATATTGTACAACCTGCAAGAGTTCATTATAGGACAAGCTGGGACCCCTTTCCCAAAGCAGTCATTCTAAGCATAGAGAACATGACAGCTAATTACTTATGCATGATAACCATTCTAAATCTAAACAGTGACTGCGCCGCTGCATGGACAGAGATACACCATATTATCATTACTTTATGTATATTCGAATAACAAACACCTACAAGTTTACTTTTAAAAAATGATTTGAGATCCACTAACTTCAAAACTGAGTTGCATTTAAAAAAAAAAAAATTTTAACTCACATTTACTAAATAGGATGCTTTCTAATTAAAAATTGGTATATTACACAGGTGAACCTAATTTAAACTGGTAATTCCTACATAAATACTTGCACACAATATAAGAACGATGTGGCCACGTTTATGGATTTGCTTTGAAATAACCTTGCTTTTCACATTAAACTTAAAAACAACAACAAAAAAAGGTGCATTATGGGAAATATAGTCCACAATATTTGGAGTGTTGAAGGTTACCTACCCATGCCTTAGAGGGTATAACCCAGAGTAAAGACACCTCCTGTGGCTATGTGTGGAATTGCAAGTGAAATTAAAAGAGCTACAGCTGGCTGATTATTTTGTCATATCAGTGCAGACGAAGGGCAAATGTCCTTCTGTCTGTTCCTGAAAATAAAGGGATGTCTGACATCATGTCTCAAAGAAAACAAAAAAGCGTCCTTATCAGTGAAAATAAGTAACTGACATGGATTAGATGCCAAACATTGGAACACGTTATGATGTCTGATTGTGCTGTTTTGGTAAAAGTCACGTATTCTTAAGTACCCCGGTCCCTTTAAGTCACATTTATTCATCCTTTAGGAAATGTCATTCACAGAGCAGACAGTACATGCAAAAACTAACAAAATAGATGTGACAATGAGCTTAAAGGCACCCTGTTCATCCAGCGACAGGAGATCGTTTAGAATGAAATGTTACAAAACAGATGAAAGAAGTGAGAGACCAGCCTTGTAAAACTCAATGGAAATGTCATGCTGGCACTCCTCCAGGGACACCTGGTAAAGGTCTGGGCACCAAACGAGGGCTTTGCGGAAAAATTATAATAAACAGAAAACTATTCTATTCTTGGGAACCTAAAACCAAGCAGAAAATAGTCATGGTAGTTTATGTTAAAGTATTATTGAACTGGGCGACAGACCACAAATCACACCATATTGCAGAGCACATTATTCCAATTATTTGTAATAATACCCCTTAAGTGCAAGACTTGCTTTAACTTGCTTTAGTCCTTTAACTTAAAGGACCACTCTAGGCACCCAGGCCACTTCAGCTTAATGAAGTGGTCTGGGTGCCAGGTCCCTCTAGGATTAACCCTTTTTTTAATAAACATAGCAGTTTCAGAGAAACTGCTATGTTTATGTTAGGGTTAATCCAGCCTCCAAATCCTCTAGTGGCTGTCTCATTGACAGCCGCTATGCAAGCGTCCATAGGAAAGCATTATGAATGCTCTTGCCGCGCGTGCGCATTCAGCCGAAAGGGAGGAGAGGAGTCGGAGAGCTCCCCGCCCGGCGCTGGAATAAAGGTGAGTTTTAACCCTTTCCTCTCCCAAGAGCCGGGTGGGAGTGGGACCCTGAGGGTGGTAGCACCCTCAGGGCACTATAGTGCCAGGAAAACGAGTATGTTTTCCTGGCACTATAGTGGTACTTTAACTTCCCTTCTCACTGGCACTGTCCATTCACAGATTTATCTGCTGAGATTAGATGTAGTCTCTCTGCACAAAGACTGTAGGTGTTTACCTCTCTATTACTAAACAGGAGCCTAAAAGGCACACATCCTACAGGCCTTTATTCCAGCAGCATGGTAGGAGTCAGAGGAGTGAGGAGATATTTTTTTTTATTGTATATGTACAGGTCGCAGTAGCAATCTCTCGTTCAGGGGTAGGCAACTTTCAGCACTCCTTGTGTCGTGGACCACATCTCCCATGATGCTGTTACAGTCATAACAAAAAAGGAGAGGAAAAGGGGGGATATGGGTAAATTTCTCCTATGTGGGGGATAACCCCTAGTGAACAACTTCACCAAAAATACAAAACTAAAGAGAAAAAAAAAGGAAGGAGAAGAATAGGACAAACTTATCTAAATAGTCCTAATAGAGTGGATTTCCCTCTAAAAAGAGGGAAATTGAATGGGGAAAATATTATGCCTAATAACTAATTCCCCCCCAAAAAAACTTAGCTTTTAATAACAACTAACTAAAAACACAGATCATGGTTGGTACAATTACCCACCTAGACAGCTATGTGTATATATAGCCGAAAGCCAGCAACTACAGGAGCAGTCTAGAGATGATCTCACGCTGAACTTCTAACATAAGATGACAGAGCGTTAAGAGAAAGTAAATTTTATTAAAGGACACGGAGGCTCATATTATGCTTATCTCTTTCTTTATTATACCTCAGCAGCAAAGAGAAGGTATAAACATTCATAGAAAAAAGTTTTAACAGGTTCTCCAAGGGTTAACCCAACATCATACCCTTAACCAATAGGAACAGTCCCTCTATCTATAACTATTCATGTGACCTCTCCTCTTCCTCTTTCTTTGCTGCTGCCTCAGCTAAGTACCATCTAATTTTAGCTCTCCTCAGAGCACCATTTTGATTTTATACTGTACTTGTTTTGTTTCTGTATCTTTAAGTTTGATGTCTTAATGTTTGTGTGGGTTACTTAGCCGGCTCTGAGAGCCGGCGCCTGTCTGCCTTAGGCAGATAGACGTTTTGTTCATTGGGGTTTCCCTCTCCCCGCCCCCCCCCCCTGCGGCGGTTACCCCCTCCCACACCTTACCGGGTAGTTTATTACCCGTTCTTCGTTCCTCTGTAGCCGCGGCGGCCGTTTCGCGTCGCGAGCGCTCTGAATCCAGAGCCCGCTCGCGCATGCGCGATAGCGGCCGCTCGGCACTGCGGCCATTGCAGGTAGCCGGCCGGTCTTTGCCGCGCTTTTTCTCCGCGCCCGCCCTGTTCCAGAGGGCGGGCGTTCTCTCATTGGCCAGCTGCATTGGCTGGCAGCTTACCAGTGCTCCCTGGCGGCCATTCCGGGGGGAGCACTTGGTAAGCTGACAGCCTTTTTGTTTGTGCCTGCATCCTCTCACCTGCACAGTTTCTCTAGCCCACTGCCCTCAGTTGGTTTTCCTGTTAGCCCCTGCACAGAGTCACTGGGGCATTCTTTCCCTCACACATTGGTGCCAGTCTGTTACAAATTTCTTGTGTCACTTGGTAATTCAGCCATTTAGGTGTCACTGCCCCCACACCCCAGGTGCCTTTTACTACACCTTCCTGTCATGCACCATCCTAGGGACCACGGGGTTGCCACCCCCAATGATACCTGTAAGGACACCATTCCTCACGTGCCACAAATACCACGTCCATGCTCGCCACTGCGAGAAGACGTGGCATCCATGGATCAGTTAAACTCGGAGGAGTTTCACTCACTCCTGGATGCAACCATGACCAAGTCGGTCACCCAAGCTATAGTCACGGCTATGGGGGCGATGTCTGAGACCCTGACACAATCCATTAGTAATGCCCTACTGGCGTCTAGCAGCCATCCCAGCGGCCCCCGCCCCATGGCCCAGCCTGACAAACCTGTGCCCCCCAGCGGCCGTAAGGCTACGCAGAAGACCCACCATATGGGCAAACACACCTCCAAAAACAGCACGACGGACAGGATACGCCCTGTCACTACTGAGGACGTGGGGCCCCCACGCAAAAGAGCCACCCACCGGGCAAAAGCGGTGAGGACGTGGAAATGGGCAAAAGCCCAGACAGAGACATCCGACTCTGGTTCGGACATAGAGGAGGTAATGAGTGAGTCCGAGGAAATCGACTCGTTGGAATCAGGGAACTCTTCCCCTGAGCGCAACCTGGCAGTCATACCAGCTAAGGGAAAAGCGCCCACGGATGATTCCATCATCCTAGACCCCCAGGGCGAGCCCCTATTCAACCCTGACGACCTGCAGCACCCCAGGTCCACTGACTGGTTCCCAGCTGACCATGTGGCCCAATATATTGCGGCCAGAATAAGGAAGCCCCTGGATAAAACAACCAGGAATAAGTTAAGGGCAGAGTGCCCACGCCCGACGGTCCCTGATATGGCGTGCGCCACGCCAGAGGTGGACCCCAAGATTGCCCAGTTCCTGGGTAAGGCTGGCTGGAAAGCCAAGAAAGGGCTGGACTACTCCTTGCGCCACTGCCAGGATAAAGTGCTCGACTCCTTGGGCCCTAGCGCAAAGATCTTCGACTTGGTCGAAGAGACAATCTCAGGTGGCGCACCACTAGACCCCTTAGTGATCCGAGAATGGGCACAACGCTCTATCTGCCTCATCGGCAACTCAAATGCCGCACTTAGTACTGAGAGGCGAAAGGCAATTCTCATGAAAATAGACCCCAAGCTGGTCAACATGGCCATAACCGAGCCTGGACCCCAGGCAAAAGGCCTCCTTTTTGGAGACAATTTTGTAAAGGAGCTGGGCACCTACGTGAGCACATTCACAGCCCTGGATAAGGCACAAACAAATCTAAAATGGGTGTTCTCCCCGAAGCTTTTTGGAGGGGCTGGCAGGTACAGGGGCCGCCTGTCCAGCCGCCCATCACGGAGCTCCCACCGGGGCTACCGGGGCCCCACGACACCAAGAGTCCCACAGGCGGAGACCAGAACCCCAGCACCTTTCTTCCCGGTCAGGGGCAGATCATGGCAACCCAGAGGTCACAGGGGCGCCACATACGGCCGACGACCTTATGGTAAGTGTTTTTCCTTTTCCCCTCTCTCATACCTCGCACGTAGGGGGCAGACTTTCCAAATTTATCGGGGCATGGCACAGACTCACGTCCGATGCCTGGATTCTCGACACAGTAGCAGGGTACCACATAGAGTTCGTCTCACACCCAATCCAAACCACAATGCCACGGCGGATGGTATTCGCCCCTCAGGACAGGGAACTGGTGTCGAAAGAAATCATAGCACTGGCGGAGAAAGGTGCGATCTATCAGGTCGCACCCCACTCCCCAGGTTTCATGAGCAATCTGTTTCTGGTCCCCAAGAAAGGCGGTGGGGTAAGACCGGTGATCAATCTTCGCCCCCTCAATACTTTTGTTCGATATCACCACTTCAAAATGGAAGGGATTCATTGCCTGCGAGACCTTCTCAGGCTGGGGGATTGGATGGTCAAATTAGACCTCCAAGATGCATATCTCACCATCCCCATTGCAAAGGAGTGTCAGCATCTCCTACAATTCAGCTGGGACTCCCAGACCTGGAGGTTTCAGTGCCTTCCGTTTGGCCTATCGTCAGCGCCATGGTGCTTTACAAAACTGCTGAAGCCAGTGGTTGCGCTGCTGCGCAGCAGGGGCGTCCGCATGATCATATATCTGGACGATATGCTGATCATGGCCCAAGACACCCTACTGCTACAACAACATTTACATTGGACAGTAACTTTACTACGGAACCTAGGATTCCTAATCAATTGGGAGAAGTCGGTACTAACCCCCTCCCAGTCCTTAGAATTCCTAGGGTTCGAAATAGGGTCGGTCTTAGGGACCCTAAGCCTGCCATCCACAAAGATGAAAATCATCAAGAAGGAGATCCGCAGAACATTGGCTCGACCAACACTTACGGTCAGACAACTAGCCAGGATAATTGGACTCCTTTCCGCTTCCATACAAGCGATCTTCCCAGGGCCTCTACACTACAGGGCCCTACAGCGACTAAAAGCCGCGCAACTGCGCTCAGGACACTCCTACTCAGACTCTGTGCCACTCGACCACACAGCCAAGGAGGAGCTCAGGTGGTGGCTGCAGCACATGGAAGCGTGGAACGGCAGAGCAATCTTCGGCAACAACCCAGATTGCGTAATAGAATCAGATGCCAGCACACGGGCCTGGGAGCGCGCTGTGGACATACCTCCACGGGCGGAAAATGGTCCCAAGCAGAAAGGACACTACATATCAACTGCCTGGAATTAATGGCGGGTTCGTTTGCACTGAAGAGCCTCCTGGGTCCCGCAACACATTGTTCCATCATCCTGAGAATGGACAATGTCTCAGCTGTCCAGTACATCAACCGCCTCGGCGGCACCAAGTCCAAAATTTTAGCAGACTTAGCCACAGAATTTTGGCAGTTTTGCTTAGAACGCAGCATCGCAGTACGAGCCGAATACATCCCGGGACTTTCGAACACCGTGGCAGATTGGAACTCCAGACATCTGCAGGATACCAGCGATTGGCACCTGAACCGAAAGGCGTTCCTACGTTTGCACGCTTTGTGGGGTCCGATGTATATAGACCTGTTTGCGTCTCGGTTGAATACGCAACTCCCGGAATTCTTCAGCTGGAGACCGGACCCAGACGCGTTAGCTACGGACGCATTCCTACAACCATGGCCGAACAAACTACTATACGCGTTCCCACCGTTCGCCCTACTGGCACGAACGCTGGTGCACCTCGACCGCACACGGACGTCCCTAGTCCTCATAGCTCCATTCTGGACTGCACAACCTTGGTTCCCTTTACTCATGGAGAGGTCCATAGATCTTCCCAGAATGCTGCCCGAGGATCCACATCTCCTCTCAGACCCAGATGGGAATCCACACCCTCTGATGGCGCAGGGACAACTCAGGTTGTTAGCGTGGCTCCTTTCCGGGGTCCCTGGGTCGTGCCAAACGTTCCGCAAACAACTCTCGAACTCCTGGCGGGAGCCTGGGCTCCGGGAACACGACGATCCTACTCTAAAGCTTGGAACATCTGGAGTAGTTGGTGCATGGAACAACACGTGGATCCCGTATGTGCCCCTGTAAACCAACTGTTGTGTTTCATTACACACCTATACGACCAAGGACTTGCATATCGGACCATCAATGTATACAGGTCAGCGATCTCGGCGGGACACAATGGTTTCCAAGGATTTCCAGCAGGCAAGCATCTGCTGGTATGCAAGCTTTTACGCGGTATTCGATTGGCAAGACCACCGCGACCCCGATATAGTACGGTATGGGACGTGAATGTGGTCTTAAATTTTTTGGAACTATGGCCACAGAACTCGGACCTCACATTGAAACAACTTTCAGCGAAACTGGCCATGCTCTTATGCCTAATATCCTGGAAAAGAGTCTCGGATGTCCGGGCATTGGACGTCGACGCACGCACGTTCAGTCCAACGGGAGTAACTTTCAACATATCCAGACGTACAAAATCAGCGACAACATCAGTGTCATATCCGGCATTCCCGCACAACCAAAAACTGTGCCCGATTGCCTGCCTCAAGGAATACGAAATACGGACACAGGCATTTCGAAACTCGGGACACCACGAACTATTTCTGGCCGTCAATTCGCCACACCAGCCAGTATCTTCCATAACGATAGCCCGATGGGTGAAGTGGATAATGGCTTCTGCAAACATTGATACTTCAGTATATGGGGCACACTCCACTAGAGGAGCTATGGCATCTAAAGTATTCAACTTGGGATGCAGACTGGAAGATTTGTTACGGACGGCAGATTGGTCTCATGAATCCACATTTAAGGAATATTACTTTCACCCTACAGACCACGTAGCATCAAGAGTCATTGCACAGCTTTGAACTAGCATAATATGAGCCTCCGTGTCCTTTAATAAAATTACCAGATTTTACTAATTACATGACGTAAAGTCATGATTTTATAAAGGACACGGAGGCGAATATTGGCCCACCCGGTAAGTATCTCAGACATATATCAACGAAAGTAGAGTGACATGCCCACCCAATAAACAATAAAACAAGGGTCATTGTGGTGTCTTATTTCGTCTCGATTTAATTCGTTTTTTATTTAAGAAAACTGTACTAGTGAATCTGTAATACATCAGGCATACGCTAAGATTTCATCACTAATGTTGTGGCAAACAGTTCCTCAGACCACATTTTACCATATTTTTTCTCTATCCCCTTACAGTTTAATTCGCAATACGCGACACCCTGGATGACCAGTTGTCACCGCAGTTTACACAGACAAGTTCTTACAAGTTCGGGATATGGGAAAGTTCGACACAACGGATGAAGTGTTTCCAGTGTCTCCTCAAGTTATAATGATACAGCTTCGGCATGACCAAAGAAAGAGGAAGAGGAGAGGTCACATGAATAGTTATAGATAGAGGGACTGTTCCTATTGGTTAAGGGTATGATGTTGGGTTAACCCTTGGAGAACCTGTTAAAACTTTTTTCTATGAATGTTTATACCTTCTCTTTGCTGCTGAGGTATAATAAAGAAAGAGATAAGCATAATATTCGCCTCCGTGTCCTTTATAAAATCATGACTTTACGTCATGTAATTAGTAAAATCTGGTAATTGTGAAATACATTAACAGACCATTCTTGATACTTTGTTGTGCAAATAAGTTAGCAACAGAGTATCAGATATGAGTCTAAACAGTCCTCCCAGGATACGGTCTGATATCTAGGAAAAATACTGTCAGTGTATTTAGACAAAAATAATCGATTCCCAATAGATTTAGGTCACTTATTCTGGTAAGGACTACAGGATCGCCTAGTATTCAATCAGATACTGTATCTTGGATCTGAGATCTGGCGGGTAGCGGGGGAGAGGTTGCCGACCATAGTAAAGGAAGGGGAAGAATAATAAACAATGTGTCACTGTACTGAAGCCCTAGCAACTAGTGCCTTCGAGGGCACCCCTTAACAAAAAGCCTGATATCTCCTCACAATTGCTGACAGCACACCCACCCCAAAAATCGTATAAACGCCCTGAAATATAGATAAATAAATAAATATGCTCCTAGACTGAACACCTAAACCGGGTTCCGTATTGCCGATAATAAACCCTGTAACAATGGCAGGGATGTCAATATACACTGATGGTGCAGTGGGTAAATAGGATAACGCCAGGTACAAGCCCCTGTCGCGCGTTTCGCCACTCAAAGCTCTTCATAATGCTGGCAAAGCATCAGATTAAATGTAGTCCACAACATCTGGAGTATTGCATATATAGATGTCAGATGCTGGATTTTAGCAAATCAGCAGTAGAAGCTGTATGCATTCATTATTCTCACACAAAGGCTTATATACTAAACTGAGAATTATTATTCAGGGGATTTTACATTTCCATGCCAAGATAAATTATCTGGAAAATCTAGATAATCTCCAAATTTGGCAAAAAAAATTTTTATTATTATTTTTTGTTACATTCTTCTTGCAATTTTGTCAATTTTAGAATTTAGACATCTGTAAATAAGATTTACGGAAACGCCGTGGGCCTTTGTCCAGACACCCATACAGTAGGAAATGATCGATTTTTATTTATAGACCAAAATAAAGGTGTTTGCTTACAGACTAATATTTTGGAATCTGTCTGATGTGTAGCAAAATAAAGGACACAGTATGGTCTAAATTCTTTCCCCCAATATTTGTGTTAAAAAATTCAAGCCTAAAGTATAACATTAAAATGTGTGTATTGAACAAAAATAATTTGGTAAAGAAGGGGTTAAGCACCCTGACATTTCCTTCCCAGCAATGGAATTGCTGGCACCTACATTCAAAAATATCCTGAGACTCAACACTCCCGAGTGACTTCAATTAATTTTTTTTTTGTGTGTCCTTCTGAAATGGCTCATTGTTCCAAGGGTCTGTGTGTGTTCTTTTAGAGCTACGTAGATTTCCTGCTCTTTATGCTTGCCCGAAAATCAGCTTTTGGCACTGCGGATCCAAAGTAAACGTCCGCTTGGGTGCAAAAGAGTCTGGGTAAAAGTTTAATGTATATACCGTAACCTGAACTTAGGTTATCACAAATAGGCAGTAATTGTGTGCAAGTGGTTTTAAAGAAAGCAGTAAAACTAACAATTTATTGTATTTAGGTATTGGAAGTATTTAGAGCATTTTTAGAAAATCGACACATTTACACAGATTATGTGGTTGTTAATATTATGTAATTAAAGTTTCCTCTGTCCATTCTACCATCTTGATTCTAAAATAAATTATTCCTGGTTACTGTTGCTGATCCGTGATATCACAGTTCGTTATCTGTCCCTCCATATCTGCAGTTATCTCCAATAACCCAGCTGTTTATGTTATCAGGAAGCTTAGTAAAGATTTATGGGAATTGTAGTTTAGCTAAATGTATACATTAAAAGCCAAAAATTAAACTACAATATCCAGAAAAATGTAAAGAATAAAAAAAGTCAGGGCCGATGTATTGGCTACACAGGTGTAGATGCACAGACGAGAGCTGTGCCCTCTCCTTCTGCCTGTCAACCCGACTGTTGGTCATTGTGCCCCCCAGGCCGGTGCGTCCTAAGGGGGCAGCCTGTGCCTGTATATATATATATTGTGCATAAGAAAAGAATCCCACCTGACATGTCCCTTTAATTTTCCAGAGTTGCACTTTCATTGTCAGGCAGTTGACGTTGATACCATGTTGCATCATGTGTTTTATGTTACCGTGGTAGCCAAAGTAATATGCACCTTATATAGAAACATTCTAATTACTTAAACTGACTGAATACATTTCCACCAGCCTAGTTGGATGGCTAAGAAAACCTAGCAGACATGTAGACTTTTCTTTTTTATTTTACAATGCCATGCCCCCCCCCCCCACCCGTTTTAACACTGCAGTTGAAAACATTGACATTTTGCAGGAATGGCCACTAGAGGTGCTTGACTGGAAATAGTAGAGTACAACTTGTCTATTTCTATCAGATGGTCTTAGAGAGACCATCTAATTGGTGCAGTGTGACGTTTTGCACAAACCTCCCAATGCTTTTCTTAGTTTGATACAGGGATTCCCACCCTCCCAGCGCATACATATTGTTAAACAAAAATCTGCACACCAGTCAAGCCATAAGACTTGCTTTTCCCACAGGAATCACACATTTGCAGTGATGTTACTACTGCAAAGGATTCTGGGTGGGCATATGCAAATTAGTTTAACAAAGAATCACATTTTTGCCTCATTCCATTTTAAACCTGGATTCCTTTGGGTCTGTGTTTGCTGTATACAACAGCTTTGAAACACAACTTAGGAAAAGATGCAAAGCCAGTAAACCACTTCATGGACGGCTGTTTCATTGTTAATGCAAATCCTCAGCATGAGGTTGGTTACTGGTTTCCTTTATGAAGATGCATCTTGATAAAGACTGCTAGACAGTCAAAACGTTGATCGAACTTATGCTATTGTAAATACAATCATCTGAATTGAATTAAAAAAAATCCACAGAGTGCTCTAATTTCTTGGTTAATACATATCACGCTGGGACAGCACCTTATAGAATGTAAGCTTGTTTCAGCAGGGTCCTCTTCAACCTATCGTTCCTGTAAGATTTTTGTAATTGTCCTATTTGTAGTTAAATCCCCCCTCTCATAATATTGTAAAGCGCTACGGAATCTGTTGGCGCTATATAAATGGCAATAATAATAATAATATTAAAATTGTATTATTTTGTTCATATGGGATGAGTGCCAGAAACAGCTATTTTTGTATATATACATTTATATTTTTTATAGTAGGAGCAGAGACTGGCCTATTCACTAAAGTGAGAATTCGAGGTGGATTCAAAGTAAATTTCAAATTTAAGGTAAAAATATCTAAACTGGAAAAATTATCTAAGTCAGCTACTCCGCCCTTAAATTTGAAATTAATTTTGAATTCACTTTCGATTCTCACTTTTGTAAATAAACCCTGAATGTGATAAATGCCCCTTGAAGCAGGCATTCTTAAAAATATTTGCAATAAACTTAAACCTATTCCAGCTAAATAAAAATGGACCCAGGTAGCCAAAACCATTATCAGCATCAGAGCTAACTGTGAAATGACACTGCAGGCCACATTTCAGATAATTTTTTAAAATTCTGGGTAATAGCTGTAATCGCAGTACGATTGTGTGATTGTGTGACACGTGTCTAAATTCTGCTATTTGAAATATGTAGGCCAGTGTATGCTGATTTATTGTTTTTTTGGGGGGGACCAGTCTAAAAATTGTACGGTTAATGTCTGGGAATGTATCACTGCGCAACATTTTTTTAATATAAATGAATAAATAAATTGTTGAGGACTTGATAACCATGCAGTTTCCCAACAACTTTGTCCCATGGAAAGCAGATAGATCTGCCAGTCTACTCTAGACCATATATATGTAGCCTTTCAAAGCAGAAGATATATTGTCAACTCTTATTGACAACATGGAGCGCAGAGTCTATAAATTAAATTTTACAAAGTCTGGAAAGAGTTAACACCGCTGGGATTGGCCATGTAATGATAATATGATTTTGGTTATTTAACCAGGAAGAACATGTAGTTTTTGCTAGTTTATTAGTATCTCAATGGAGCTGGATGATGTTAGTCAACTCAATAACACTTGTGTTGTTGACCTTGGAATGATGAAAGGCAGCACTGACTGGAATAAAAGATGCTTTAAAAATAATATCAGGAAATATTACGTTACTGAGAGGGTAGTGGATGCATGGAATAGCCTTCCAGCTGAAGTGGTAGAGGTTAATATTAAAGGAGTTTAAGCATGCGTGGGATAGGCGTAAGGCTATCCTAACTATAAGCTAAGGCATGGGACTAATAAAAGCATTTAGAAAATTGGGCAGACTAGATGGGCCGAATGGTTCTTATCTGCCGTCACATTCTATGTTTCTATGTGGGGCACCGAGGAACTGAAGCAAGACAGTGGGACTAAATCCTAAAATCTGGACTGTCTCGCCAAACACAAGGCTGTTGGGAGGTGCGTTATTAAGATTTGATTTTGCAAAAAAAATATGGAGTGTCTCTTTAAATCATCTACAAGGTAGCATTTTCAATGAATATCATTTTTGATTTATGTATTATTAATCATAATCTTATTCAGGAGAAGATCTACAAGGTATATAATAACTAAACTGGAATTTAGTTGTTAAAACTAGAGAATGGCATGAAAGAGGAATATTTCTAAATTCAGGCTGGCTGGGGGTGCTGAGAATTGTTGTTTGACAAGTAAATATCTGCTGAAGATAAGTCTTTTTGGTTGATTAGTGTTAAATAAACCTCCCCAGGGTCTGTTTGTTCTCGTCTTTTTGGAGCACTGATTGGGTTAAGACATCGAAGTCAAGCCCTTATTTCTCAGAGTATTAAATTCACTTCTTTCTAATTAGTTCATCAGCCAAAATGCCACAGGCTGTATTTTAACTTACAGATCGAAAAAACACCTTCAGGGATCAACTCCTACTGCCTTGCTCAAGGTGTGGATAGATCTTTAACCTGCTGCTAAATCTGGACTTTTTGGGAAACGAGATTACTTTACGGAAACCATTGTACAGGTCCGGGGTGTACTTTGTATAAAGTGATTTAAAGGGACACTATAGTCACCTGGACAACTTTAGCTTAATGAAGCAGTTTTGGTGTATAGAACATGCCCCTGCTGCCTCACTGCTCAATCCTCTGCCATTTAGGAGTTAAATCCCTTTGTTTATGAACCCTAGTCACACCTCCCTGCATGTGACTTGCACAGCCTTCCATAAACACTTCCTGTAAAGAGAGCCCTATTTAGGCTTTCTTTATTGCAAGTTCTGTTTAATTAAGATTTTCTTATCCCCTGCTATGTTAATAGCTTGCTAGACCCTGCAAGAGCCTCCTATATGTGATTACAGTTCGATTTAGAGATTGAGATACAATTATTTAAGGTAAATTACATCTGTTTGAAAGTGAAACCAGTTTTTTCCTCCTAAATGGCAGTGAATTGAGCAGTGAAATTGCAGGGGAATGATCTATACACTAAAACTGCTTTATTTAGCTAAAGTCGTTTAGGTGACTAGAGTGTTCCTTTAACTATTCGGCAGTACAAAGAGGAGCGAACACAGGGAGGGCTGTTTATGGTAAATTATGATATTTTTTTTCTTATTACTGGATATATATGTCACCACTTACTCTTGGGCAGAATGTATCATTCAAATCGTACAACGGACAGAGAAGTAAAATCAAACAAGTCAAGGACTCACTCTAAATGAGCTGTCTATATTCAATTAATTACTTTCCCTCCTAAGCATATGATCTATACATATTGCATGGTAACACTTTTCCTGTACTGTCCATTACTATGAAGAGGTGAAATACGCACGAGAAAGCATGGAGGATCTGGAGACCCTAACCTCTTTTCTGTTTTTTATCGACTACCAAAACCCAATAAAACATCCTATGACCCTACCTAGAAGAGCCGTGTATTTAGTTTATATATATTATTATTATTTAAAATATATATATTAGTTTTGTCGAATGATGAGTGAGGTACATGGCATTTGCAATACATGTTTCACCAGGTGTTTCATGTAATCCGATCCAAGCAACCAGTTTCTGTTGGCGGAGGTACAGTGGTGCCCATCCATCATTCACAATAGCATAATACAAACAATCCAATCCAGAATAAGAGAAGACTCTGCTACACCCACGACAAATATGTGTCTCAACATCAGGTAAGAGCAAAGAATTCCCCAAGGGGGTAATTACAGAAGCAGAAGATCACATTTTCCCAAAAGAACTGAACATAACCCTAGGCGAAAGAAAAAAATAGATTACAAAACAAGACATACAGCTACAGCATCTTCGGAGGTGTGATTGCACACACAGTCAGCCAGACTCGGATGTGGAAAGAGGAACACAGTGGTCTACAAACTCAACCATTGTAGGTTGACAATCGATTAAAGGAAAAGTCCATGGTGGAGCTGGCAGAGTGATTGGACTTGATCTCAGTCTTTAAATGTTTCCATAACATTATCAGTTGTCTTTGGTATCATGAGGGAGAGCCAGGTCTACAGTTCCAGGTCAGTACCAGTCTCCTTACTCCCAGATCTATAGAAATGTTTAGTAATAGTGCACTTTTTGACGTCGGTGGCTTATATGGAGAATCATCGAGGAACAACAGTTCAACGTAGACCATTAAGTTGTTTTACCTCTGGTGTGAAACTTCAATTTTCATCATGATTGGTAGACCTTTGGTTCTCATAACATCATGGGAGCTGTACTTTCAAATAAGTGGGAGAGCTAAGTGTTGTAGACCCTCCTAAGAAGGATTGCCATATGGCCTGCATTGTTCATGAGCTCTTGAAATGTAATCAATTAATAATCATGACTGCGATCTCAAAGGAATCACTGTGATTACTTTAAACGGAACTATTGCATCTGTGATTGTGCACAACCTGATAAACTAAAAGTTTGCTATCATTTTTGATATTTTTATTCGCCTGTTATCTTTTTTCTTTTTTTTAAAAAAAGGCATTGACACTTCCCAGGGATCGTAATATTACATTTCCTTATTCCCAACGTTTAACATTTAAAAAAAATCTTTATGGGGTCTAAAAGAAAGATTTAAATGTAAAAATCCACCTTGCTGTGTTTACCTCCATTTTGGAAGTGGGTGCCTCCATCTTGGCTTCCTGTCAGTCATTGTTATAAACTTGGCCATTTGCACCTGCCAGTCAGCCTAGGCCCTAGAGAGAGGAAGAGGAATTGGGGATTATATATAAAAATTATTTCACTCATTTTTTAGACTGTTTTTATTTATTCCAATATTTGTGCCAAAGTATTCCTTCCTGTGCCTCCTCCTTCATTAATTAATCCTGTTCCATTTTGACTCTTTTTTTTTTTCTGTTTCAAATGTGTCATTCCCAATGTATGAGGAAGAGGTGTAAAAATGTATTTTTTTCTGATACATTTTCTGCCACTGTCGAAGTGGTGATTTTTCTAAACAGTAACCTGCTCTCATGGTTTTCGTTCAAGGAATAAAAATAATCCTTCAGATTACAAATAAATATTTTTTTTCCTAGTAATATTAACAATTTCTCTTATTTTATAAATGAAATCTGTAGTAAAATCATCTTGAAAAAATTAGCCCATAATCCAAAAGAGAAATAAAAAGTGTCAAAAAGCTGTATTATTTTGGCACATTACAGAAATAGCGGACTGACATTTTTATACATGCTAAAATGATGCACACACAAAAAAATGGCACAAACAGGAAAGCATGGCATACTCAGATCTTACGGCCTGATTGGTGTGTGAAGATCTGTGTTCATAGGTGTGCGCAGCCTATTGTGTAAGGGTGTGTACCCTAAAGCAGAAACATATATACACATACACACACACACACACACACACTGCTGTGTGTGTGAGGGTGCTGTGTGTAGGTGCTGTGTGTGTGTGTAGGTGCTGTGTGTGAAGGCGCTGTGTGTGTGCGGGCGCTGTGTATGTGGGCACGCTGTGTGTGTGAAGGTGCTGTGTGTGTGAAGGCGCTGTGTGTGTGTGAAGGTGCTGTGTGTGTAAGGGTGCTGTTAGTGTGTGCTGTGTGTGTGTATGTGTAAGGGTGCTGTTAGTGTGTGTGTGTGTGAGGGTGCTGTGTGTGTAAGGGTGCTGTTAGTGTGTGCTTTATGTGTGTGGGTGAGGTGTGTGTGAGGGTGATGTTAGTGTGTGTATGTGTAAGGGTGCTGTTACTGTGTGCTGTGTATGTGTAAGGGTGCTGTGTGTAAGGGTGCTGTTAGTGTGTGCATGTGTGAGGGTGTTAGTGTAAGGGTGTTGTTCGTGTGTGCCGTGTGTGTGTAAGGGTGCTGTGTGTGAGGGTACTGTTAGTGTGTGTATGTGTAAGGATGCTGTTAGTGTGTGTATGTGTAAGGGTGCTGTGTGTGTAAGGGTGCTGTTAGTGTGTGCTGTGTGTGTGTATGTGTGAGGGTTCTGTGTGTGTGAGGGTTCTGTTAGTGTGTGTGTGTGCTGCGTGTGTAAGGGTGATGTATGTGTGTGTGCTGTATGTTTGTGTGTAATGTGTGGGGGCCATTTAGTTAATATCCCCCCTCCCTTCTTACCTTATGTAGGGAGGGGGGACCGTGCTCCTGTCTTCCCTGGTGGTCCAGTGGAGAGGGAACTCTAGCCCCCTATGGGGCTAAAGTTCACTCTCGCGAGATCTGAGCGTTGCCCCGGGTCCTCTCCTGCCTCCATCCCTGCCTGTGGGTCGGTGAGGAAGATCTTTGATCTCCCTCACCGGCCCACGGAGGGAGGCACATAGCGCGTGCCGCAGGGATTAGGGTGTGCCTAGGCACACCCGGCACACCACGTGCGCACGCCTATGTTTGTGTTTAACAAAGTATTGACTATCCACTGACTTCAGGTGGAACGGGTTTTCAATCACTTTTTCCCCCACCAAAACTTTCGTGGATTGTGCTCCCCAAGTAACACTAAACCTCAATAGCAAGCCAGTAACCAACCTCATGCTGATGTGTTGCATTAAAAATGAAAAAGCTTCCTGAGTTGTGTTCCAAAGCTGATGTATGCAGCAAACATAAACTCCAAGGAATTAATATATAAAGTGGAATAAATTGGGCAAAAAGATGATTTTTTGTTGAACTCGTTTGCATTTACCCAACCAGACTGTGAGATATTGCTGTGGGAAAAAAAAAAATATATATATATATACATACACACATGCACGCACACATACTGTAGTGGATCAGTCCATAAAAAGCTGCCATGGACCAGGTAGATATATTCCAAGTAATTGTTACCAGTTGTAATGTGTTACCATCAGCCATTTGTCATCCAGCTAAATGCTGAATCTGAAATGTAACTCTTTGGAATGCAGGCTATGAAAGTTTTTATCCCAGATTATTAAATGGAATAGAATGGAATATTGTTTAAACAATCACAGGTGATAAATATAACCAATCACCACTACTAAATATAAATCGTGGTACACGGCCACATATTTAGGCTTTTTCTAATCGGCTATTTTGGCCTAGATTTTAAAATTAGGTCTTCATATATAGTTTGCTCTCTATTGAAAAACCCTCCACGTTAAAGAACCTTTGGGCTCCACAACAATTTAATCACAATTAAGTTGTTATGGTGCTTGGAGGTTCTGGCAGCCATCTTACCAGAAACAGTTAAACCCATTCAGAAAAAAGCACAGCCTATTAGTGGCGCCCGGTCCGATGCTTCCTGATTGAAGCCTTCGATCCCTGAAGGAAGTTGATGGGCAGGGCTTACAGGCGTTATTTAGGGTTAAACCACTTGTTAAAGCTTTAACCCCTTATGATGGTGTCCATGAACTCCTGGAACCATAACAACTTCGCTGAGATGAGGTTTATATTGTGCCTGTTGATGAGTCACTGCCAGGGGAGGTGTGACAAATGCTGAATAAACAAACAAACATGATTTAACTCCTAAATGGGAGAGAATTGAGCAGTGAAACTTCAGAGGCGTGATCTACACACCAAAACTGATTCATTAAGCTAAAGTTGTTTTGGTGACTATAGTGTCCCTTTAAAGACACATTCAGACGTTCAAAGCTCTCTGTTTTAATACATGTTAGAATTAATCTGGCAGTCAAACATATGAACGACTCAAAACTGGACATAAAAAAAAATATTCAAAAATATATATATATATTTTTGCGTATACTATATGCAGAAATCAAAGGGATTTGATTTCTGATGTCATAATAAGTGATTATAATAGGCTAAGTCATTCAGGATTTGTAGAGAATTAAGTCAATTAATAGTATTTAGGAACATATGCAAATCATGGTAAATCTGGAAAGCCTAGAAACCACTTCTGTTAGCTGACGGTCAATTAACCAAATCTACGGTTTGTTCCATGATTAGGTAATAATTATGCGAGTGAGGAATGGTCTAAATAATAATCCTATACTAGAATGATTATGGTAGATTATAAATTTTTATTCTAAATAAACATCTGTACCGACATCCAATAACCTGGGGCATAAGCCTGTGAGATAGCTATGTGGGCTAATGCATCATCAATAGGATCTGTTTGACCATTGGGTTGCAGAGTTGACTCAGAACCTCATCATTCCGAGGCCAATAAAATGAGTACCGTTAAATTGGGTAACAGTAACAACCCCTGGATGTTGGGCTAAGGTAACATCCCCAGGATGTACTTGAAAATCAGAGTAATCTGAATGTGCCTTTCTTGGTTGAATACTTTGCTATTAATATTATGTTTATATATATATATTCATATTTTGTGTTTGTGAGATGCAAAAAATAAAATAAAATAGGAAGTAGGAATTCACACGTCTTCATCCTGCAACCGGGCACCTCCAACTTAGCTCCCTGTCAATCATATTCATAAAAAACAACAACAAGATAAGCAAGTATATAGGGCGCTGTAACGGACCGTTTTGCCCACAAGAGGATAAAAACCGTTTAGGCGATATTCCCCTTTCTCAGCTGCATAGACAGCTACTGCAAGCACCAATCTCCCGAACTGGAAACCCACAAATTCACCAACTCCCGAACTGCAAACACACGAACACTGGAAACAGCCGAACTGGAGACACACGGATAGCTGTTAGCAGACGAACAGGAAAAGCCCCCAAGCGGTTTACACTCCTGGCAATCAGTCTCTAAAAGCATACAGTAAATCCCCCCCAAAGACGAGACGACACTTCGTTTTGAGGGTCAAGCAGAATCTGGTTTACTGGGGCTAAGTGCCCGGCTTTTATGCAGGTCTCCCAACTGGTGGACACTCCCCTAGGGGACCAAATGGGAAACTGGGAAACATATTGGCTCTTAGCCAATCACATACATACACCTTTAAACACTCCCACAATTACATCACAATCCCTCCTCGTTGTCCTGGAGATAATTGGGAAGTAATCAAATTATCTCCAAAGACAGAGGCAAAACTCCATTAACCACATGGCAGTAACAATACAGTAAAAGACATAAAATTACATACAGTCACATTTATTACATAAAACATATACATTCTACATATCCCCAGATAGCTTAGATCTGAGCGCACATTACTACCGAATGGCGCTCAGATCACATACATACAGTTCAATTGCCATGGAGCCAAAGTCTTTCCCATAGTCTTTCGTTACACGAATAGGCTCCATGGCTTAGCTATCTGGGGGATGCTGTTCATCCGGCGAAACTACTGAATGAACAGTCATTCGGTTCTGCTTACCGAATGGGAAGGTAAGGAGGCTGGCGGCTCAGCGGTGTTCGCGCCAATAAGTGTCAGTTTTCAGTTCCATAGTTTGGGCGCTGAACACCGCTGGCCGTTCGGGAGGTAAAATGGCCGCTGCCATGTGTTCGGCAGACGAACAAAGGCCACCCAGCGTTCATCAATTAAGCTGCGGTTAACCGCAGCTTCTGGGCGGTCAATTGACGGCACACTCCAGATCCCAGGTGGTCGATCGTTCGGTAGTTTGTTCGGTAGATGGAATCTACCGAACACCCTGGCAGAAAGGCATGAATAAACCTTTCAGCAGGGAAAATCACAGCTCTGAACTGCTGGGCCATAATCTAAAGGGAGCAGGCGAGCAACCAGGCTTCTCCAGTGTATAGTGGTGAGGTTGGTTCCGCCACAGGCGCTATATAAATTCTCTAAAATATGGGGTACATTGATAAATATTCTGCTTAGCAGCACTTTAGAAGTGTATTAGCTCTAAAAACACTCAAGTATCAAACAACAGGAAAATAAAACTGTCTGCAAACGTTTGTGCATTGAGATTCAGATCAAAGTGCTTAATGATTATTGTCAAAATAGCAACAATCTGTGCAAATGTAAGCAAATCCCAAGTGCAACGTTCATTCATATGTGTAAGTGCTTACTGTGCCAAGTTACACACTGTATAAATTATAAATACTTATCTTGTAATACTTGGCCACAGCACGTAATTCAACATGTAAAAGAAAAACATATAGTGTAATATTGCAAATACACCAATTAAGAAGAACCAGAAATGTATATAGCACTCACAAATGTTGAGCAGGTAAGAGACTGCTTGGGCTATGTGTGCTTTTATATATATATCCAATATCCAGCTCTTGCTGCAGCAAACGATTGACAGCTGAAGTATAGTTGTACAATCTTTATTCCAATTTTAAAAGCAAAGACACGTCAACAAAACCACTATGCCTCACCAGTCCCTTGATTAAGCAGGATAACAATAACCTCGGTATTGCCAGTCGCAGTTTGTGCTCGTACCAGTGGGCGGGGTTAGTGAAGTCCTCCGTATGATGTAAACGTGTAATAGTGTAGTTACGAATGGCGTGATGACGCGTTTCACCTCTATTGACTTCCCCTGAACACCATCTGAGGAGGTTAATAGAGGTGAAAAAAAGTCTCGTCATGTCATTCGTAACTGTTTGTCTTTTACAAGTTGCATTACGTACTGTGGTCAAGTATTACAAGAGAACTATTTATACTTTATACAGTGTGTAATTGGCACAATAAGCACTGACTTTGTGAACACTTATGAATGAAAGTTACACCTTGGATTCGCAGTATATTTGCACAGATTGTTGCTATTTTTGCACCTTGTTCTGAATCTAAATGCACAAAGGTTGGCAGACACAGTTTTAAAGGCACAGCACACTTTATTTTTCTGTTGAATCGTATTTATCAGCTCTGCTCTTTGCACCTATCAGCACACAGAAAGAAGTTTAAATTTGGTAATAACCATAACAATGCTTCAATACTACTATCCGATAACCATCCTTTAAACTTGGTGCGTAATTAGCGCCCTGTTGCTGGTGAAGAACCATCCTTCTTATCCCCAGTGTTGTGTGTGGAGAGGCTGAGTGAGTGAGATATGAGTGTCTGGAACTGGCTGAGTGGAAGTAGGATGCAAATGGTTGGCTTGGTGTAATGTGTTAGGGGTTGACTGAGTGTGATGTGTGTTGAGTTTGGATGTTGGGGAGGTTTGTATAGGGAGGCAGGCAGCCCAGTTGAGAACATCATTAGAAGAGCTTGTGCGGTGCAGAAGGCACTAGGACATTGTACTAAAGGCTGGGGAAGGCAGGGCAGGCTGCCAGTGGAGAGGCCTCCACCAATTCTAGATATAGGTGTTGCTAGTTATGTGGGTCGCCACACTGGTGATGCCCTGTCAGGCCACCCTGTTCTGGTTCTCCCCTCCCAGTTGTTGTGAATTATGCATAGAGACCAAAGGCACCATGACCACTTTAAATCACTAATGTGGTCATGGTGCTTGGAGCTCCCTGCCTAATCAAGAACTTTCATACCAGACAACTGTTTTGACCTCAGTGAGGCAGTCCTGATCTATGACCACTTTGCTACCATCACAGTTTGGTTCTGCCAGGGAAGCCTTACACATTGTTATTATTATTGGTATTATTTACAATGTATTTTTACATTTGAAACCAATCTTTTTATTTGCATCCAAATTGCATTTACTTAATACCAAAAGTTTATCCTCCCTATACTATTCAGCTATATCGAATTTCACATTTTTGAGAAGGTTTTGGGCTTAGCTGAATGTTTGATTGATGAAGTTTATATTTCATTCTTGTCACTCACCATAATGTTTATAGTCATGCTATAAATGGCTTGGAACGTTTCCTACCTGGGAGAATGGAAAAGGTTCGATATAAATATGTCAGTACTGGGAAACAGAAAATGGAAGGAATGTTTAATTTTGCAGGAAAACAATCATAAATTTGGTTTTTATTCACCCAGATATTAAGCCCTATAGATTGCCCTGAACAGACCCATATTTCTTCAGGGGAAGGAGGGAGGGAAGAGAGAGAGAGAGAGAGAGAGAGAGAGAGAGAGAGAGAGAGTGTGTGTGTGTGTGTGTGTGTGTGTGTGTTAGTTAAATGGCTATGTACTACCAGTCACAATTTTAAAAATTGCCAAATATATGTTTAATTTGTCTTGTTTGTGCTTTAATTGTCTTAAACCAAGATTAAGAATATAATTGTGCTACTGTAAATAATAAAAAATGGACACAGTAAATATCACTTCTACAATACAGCATGTTAAAAAAACGAACAAAACATTAATATGTAGTTTTAAAGGGGATCTGTCATGCCTGAAACCACTCATTGCTCTTTTGAACGATCATGACATTTCATCTATACATTGTGCTAGGACGTTTGCTGACAGATGTATAGATTGAGAGTAAACCTGTTTAAAAATAGGTATTTATACACCACTTCTCGGTCAAATATTTGGCATATACTCTATGCCAACCATTTGGCTGACAAGGAGAGGACCACAGGTGGTCCTTCTGCCCTCCCAAGTATTGCAGTTACAGCGCAGATGTTGCAATGGAAACTTTGCACATGATACATTACATGTATCTTTGATTGTATTGGGGGTGATTTAAAAATTGTATTTGCCTGCATCCCCTCCTTCTCCCCCCAACCCCCACTTCCCCCGCTACCCCCTCCCCCCCTGCAGCACAGAAAGGGTTAAAAAACACTTTGTCATTTACCTGAATTCAGCGCGAGTGTCCCTCACCCAGTGCACCCAGACCACTTCAATGAGCTAAAGTGGTCTGGGTGCCTATAGTGTCCCTTTAAGGTAAATTGATTTTTCCTTAACAAGTTCACATTAATGCTTGGTTACTAATACGGCAAATAGTTTAAACTTAAAGAGTCGTGAAAAGTACTAACAACTCAATTTTTTATGTTTAAAGGTACACTATAGTCACCTGAACAACTTCAGCTTAATGAGGTTGTTCAGGTGAGAACAATAGCTCCCTGCAGCCCTTTTCATGTAAACACTGTATTTTCTGAGTTCATAAATGCCTAATTCACAGGAGGCAGGAGGCAGGAGGCACCGTGAACACGTATCCTGTATCCTGTAGTAACCCGGAGCCTGTCAGCAATCAGCCGACAGTGTGGGATCACCTGCACACAATGTCGGCTTGGGCTGACACGCTGACAGGCTAAAGGCAGAAGGCAGGAGCAGGAGGATGCAGAGATCTACTGACTTTAAACAGTAAAATAAGTACACTTATTTTAAAACTTGTGAGTGAGAGAGTGTGAGTGAGAGAGTGTGAGTGAGAGAGTGTGAGGGAGAGAGAGTGAGTGTAAGAGTGAGTAAGATTGAGAGAGTGGGTGTGAGAGTGAGTGTGAGATTGACAGAGTGAATGTGAGAGTGAGTGTGAGAGTGAGTGAGAGAGTGAGTGTGAGAGAGAGTGAGTGAGTGTGAGATTGAGAGAGTGAGTGTGTGTATGAGAGTGAGTGTGTTTGTGAGAGTGAGTGAGATTGAGAGAGTGAATGTTAGTGAGAGAGTGTGACTGTGAGAGTGTGAGTGAGTGTGTGTGAGATTGAGTGAGAGTGTGGGAGAGGGTGAGTGAGATTGAAATTGAGTGTGAGAGAGTGAGTGAGAGAAATAGATGGAAATAGATAGATAGAGATAGAAATAGATAGATAGATAGATAGTTATAAATAAATATGGATAGCAAGATATAGATATATAGAAATAGATTGATATAGAGATAGATAATTAGATAGATAATAAGATAGATAGAAATAGAAATAGAGAGATAGATAGAAAGCGATAAAAATAGATAGAAAAAGATAAATATATATAAATAGATAGATATAGATTGATAGATATAGATATATAGATGGATAGAGATAGAGTGTGTGTGTATGTTTAACAATATTTATTTAAAATCTGTGTGTTTTATTTATAGTGTTTGTATACTTACTTTGGGCTGGAGGGTTGCCATAGGAGGGGGCGGGCATAGGCATTCAATGCCGCTCTATGAAGAACCTGAATTGTGCAGCGCGAAACGCGCATACGGCTATAAAAGTTTAAAACTCACCTCATTACCAGCACCGCACGGGTCCGCCTGTTCTGGCACCGCCCCCTTTGTGACATCATCAAAATGCGTGATTTTAGCCAATCCAATGCTTTCCCATAGGGTGGGCCAAATGCCGTTTTTGCCAATCAGGACCTCCTCATAGAGATGCATGAAATCAATCCATCTCTATGAGGAAAATTCAGTGTCTCCATTCAGAGCGTAGGGATGCTGAATGTTAGGGCTGCTTTTTCGGCAGCACTGACCCAGGAAGTCCCTCCAGTGGCCATCTAAGGAGTGGCCACTTGGAGGTGTTCCTAGAGGCAATGTAAACACTGCATGAAAAAAAAGCCTATAGGGAACTATTATACTCACCAGAAGAACTACATTGAGCTATAGTTGTTCTGGTGACTATAGTGTCCATTTAATAGATTTAAATATTGTTGTTTATGCAGGCAAGGGATGTAATTCTTGTCAATGTTTGTCTTCCCCACCTCTTTATAAATATTATATGATGTTATATGAGTGCCTGTATGATCCACCATTTAATTATGGTTTATGTATTGGGTGTGAGGTAATGTGGATAGGGACTAGTCCTGAGTCTAAATAAGGTATTGCCTGCTGGTTCATTTGGGAACTGTGTGTCCTGCTTGGATTGTTCGGGCAGTCCAGTAGCTGCTTCCTGGTTGCACTATTCTCAGGTTCCAGGGACATGTTTAGAAAGAACTGAGAGCTGAAAAGAACATCTTTGTAATGATGGTGGCAAAAGCTCAGCCAGAGTGCCGCAAGTGTCTATTTAAAGGTGGTAGTTGGAGTCAGCACAAGGATAGAGTTTGATACCTTCTGGAAGAAGGAAGGACTTGATACCTGCCTGGGTGAATAAGCCCCTATGAAAGCCAGCCCAGCTGGGGTAGATATAGTCGCAGACTTGTCCCCGGGCTCAGTTAAGGTCTCTTTCTGTTGGTAGACCCACATCTCTGGTGGCCATATGTCACATTTGGTTGGTACTTGCCAAAGGATGCACAGATAAAGGGGTCGATACCTGCCTGGGAGGACATGACTGGGATAGATATAGCTGTGGCTTGACCCCTGTCTTGGAAAAGATCTCTTTTCACCTGTAGACTTCACTGTGGTGCCCAGGGACAGTTTCCTGGTGTCCCCAGATATGGGACACCAGGGAACTAAAGTGGGGTGGCGGGACAGGACCCCGATCTCAAGACTATCCCACTGAAACCAGGACCTTGCTACATGGAATGTTGGTGAATAAATGGTATAGCTACTGTTTCCATTAAAGCCATGTGTTTGAGTCCTACAAAGGCTTATAACAAGTAGAGACTTACAGAAAACTGGAAGAAATGTGATATTTGTATATATTGCACGCATTCCAGACCTCACAAGTTACAGGTTCTCAACAGGGGACTTTGTGAGGTATGGTAGGATGGGAAAACGAGTGGATGTAAGAAGTCAGTAGTATTTAGAAGACTTGTTTTGTTCTGGTGATAAAATAGTTGAGAACAGATTCTCTCTGCATCCTTAATTCCCAGCCGTGCTGTTCTTTATTTTTACTCTGCTTTTCCCAAATGTTGGAGATGGATTGGGGTCTGCCTCTGACCTACAGCAACTCATATATCTTCAGTTTTAATGCATTCCTATGGTGACATTTGTGTATTTTGGTATTTGCAAAGGGAAACAGTGGAAGGTTTATTCAGAGAGAACAAGCAGAGATTTTATAGCTTTGCGGACACATCAAGAGATTGGGACGTGTCTGCTGTAGAATGATTTAATCCTTCAAACTAAAGAATTGTGAAGGTTATGGGCATAGAAAACAGTGTATGAATGAAACTAAAGAAAACTTGATTTAAAATAATAATAATAATCTTATTCATTCCTAATGGGTTGTGATTTTTAATCAGCAAAATAAATAAAAATCTGCTAAGCCTTGTGGATTTGGCAAATTTTAATTAAAGAGACACTCTAGGCACTAAGACTACTTCATCTGTTTGAAGTGGTCTGATGCAGTGTCCCTGTCCACTTAACCCTGCAATGTAAAACATTGCCATTTTTGAGAAACTGCATTGTTTACATTGCAGGATTAAGACTGCCTCTAGCGGCTTTCTACCAGACAGGAATAATCATAAGGCTACACTAAGCGGCCACCTATGGCCCCCAAGGTGAGACGGGGCCCTGGAACCCTGGTTTTGCTTGGCCCCATTAAGCATCCATTTATGATGATTGAAAAGGGGGTCCTTAAATGGGTGACTTGCCTAAGGACCCATTGGATCCTAATTATTCTCTGGGTGGGCCACAGATAAGTTGCCAAGCCATTCACAATTGTCAGGGCACTTCCAGAGGTTTGTAGTGGTTATGGTGCTCTGATGTTCCTTCAGTGTTGATGGTGAATATTCCTTTAGTCCCCAGCCCATAAGCATGCAATTATAAATATAGCTACTCAAGACAAAATGTCTTCATAAGAGTAATCAACTCTCCCACCACCCTCGTTCCAAATATTAGTTTTTTTGTATTTATAAATCTGGGTTGTCTTTGAAAATGAAATGTCCCAAGAGAGCGTACTTCAACTTTTTCTGCAGGCAAAATGACAAACTATCATATGAAGATGTTTCATAACCTGATGTCATCTTTGCACATATATAAATATGCAATTTCTCACAAATGATAAATTATTTAAAAAATGCAGAGACATGCAATCTCATTCTATGGGCATCACTGATAATGTATTTGCGCCTTGTTAAAATTAACATGTGTTAAAGCTATGTGAAAAATGAAAACTCATTCATTGCAAATATATACATCTTTTATTAATTTTTTTTAGTCTTGCATAAACTTTAAACATATGATATTAAATGCTACACCATCTTGACTTGAGGGGATTTTACCCACATCATGCCCCAACAAAATGATCTGGGTGCATCTGCCCTTCTCACCCTCTGTAGCACCTCTGTGATGCTACACTTCATCCTTTCTCAGTCATTGAAGTCCAAGATTAATAGGTTATATTAGATATTTTTTTTTTCAAAGATAGAAAATGTTTCAGGACATGCAAAACTTGGTCAGATGTCAGTTCGGCTTGGCCGAATGTCAATTTTGAAACTGATTCAGGAGACCAAAACAAAATGCACAAAAATGGGCCGATCAATGTGTTGCAAAATATATACATAATATAATAATATGTACAGAGTGGCAAAAACTCAGAGTACGGTTTGAGGAGTCAATAGCTTTTTACTTAATAAACCAATTTCAATGATATTACAAACAATGCATGCTTAATGTATGGGGATTTGTTTGACTAGGTACGGAAGATGACCTCTTTTAAATGAGCTCCATTTGCCACCTCGCAAAGTCAGGCTAAATTGATTCCATTGTTCTTAACATTAGTTAATGTTTGAGTCTCTAACGCTGAAATTTCTTCCTGTAAGGTAACCCCGCAACAGACCGTTAATTTGGTAGGCTGTAATTGGCTCTGATGAATTATCCGTGGATTTTCTGTACCCCAGAAATGATAGTTTTGTTTATTGATGTAGCCACTTAAATGAAAATTAGATTTGCCAGATATGAGTTGTTGAATAAATTCTTTGTTTTCTCTGGCTAATTCGTCATTCCTTACCCAAAATGACCCATGATGAGTCTCCCAAGACTCAGTTATAATATGTACATGCAACAAAAAATTTTAACTACTTACAATACAAATAAGTTATTTACCTGTCAAATCCTACTCTGAATTTTGACCCAACCTGTATAAATTCACAGTACACTGATTTCATTTCCCTACCATTTGGTGAGAAAAATTAAACATTAGAGGGAGTGTGTATGTATGTGTGTGTACGTGTGTATCAGTCAGTGAGTGTGTTTGTGTGTCTATCAGTGAGTGAGTGTGTGTGTGTATGTCTGTCAGTGAGTGTGTATCTGTCAGTGAGTGTGTGTGTGTGTCTATCAGTGACTGCATGCGTGTCTGTCAGTGAGTGTGTAGCTGTGTGAATAGAGTAAGGAGCACAACCATAAATCTTTATATATATGAAAAAATCTTTATTAAATGGGTATATACTATAGGACTGTCTCTTTAAATATTATCCACAGAGGTACAAAGTCATGCTATTCAAAAGCATTTACCAGAAAAGCAATGATATAGGCAAATATAAACGCTCAATGCGTAATAAATGAATGAAAGAAATATCATGCAAACAGTCCACTATAATACTAGTATAATGAAAACCCAGACATATAAAAAAATTGCAGCAAACCATACCAAATTCAGTGAGAAGTAGGGACAGAGTCAATCAAAAAAAAAACAACGTTTCGGCTGAAAAGCCTTTGTCAAGGGAGCATGCGTAGCTGTCAGTGTGGGAGTGAAGATGTGTGTGTCAGTGTGTCAAAACAGTAAGTGTGTCTGTCAGTGAATGTGTGTCAAAACAGTAAGTATGTCTGTCAGTGTATGTGTATCTGAGAGTGTCTGTCTGTCAGTGAGTGGGTGTGTCAGTGTGTGCCTGTCAGTGAAAGTGTGTGTTGGTTAAACAGTGTGTGTGCGCCAATGACTGTGTATCTGTCCGTGAGTGTATGTCAGTGCATGTATCAAAAAAGTGCATGTTAGTCTTAATCAGGGAGAGATGCAGCCTTGAGAGGATTGGGTGGGGCACATTTAGATTGGGGGTGCCGAGTTTAGTCATACCTAGGGCAGCACAAATCCAAAATACACCGCTGCTCCCAACACTTCAGATTGACAAAGAAGGACACTTTAATTTTAGGAGTGTGAGTGGGGGTGTGGCCAGATGTTCTGAGAAATTTTAGGCGACTTACTAATAACAATTTATGCAACTAATATGTAATTTAGAACAATAACAATGTATCTTTATACACAGACTGATTTCTAAATACATTTAATGTAGTTTAACCCCTTAAGGACCAAACTTCTGGAATAAAAGGGAATCATGACATGTCACACATGTCATGTGTTCTTAAGGGGTTAAAGACATTACTGGGATAGAAAAGAGGGACAAAGGGATCTAGCCCAAAATAGGGACTGTCTCTCCTAAATAGGGACATTTGGGAGGTATGCTATTGTTAAAACTTTGCTATTTTAACCAAGCGTTTGCAATTCGGTTTCCAACTCTCTACTATTCAGTGTTTATCAAAAAACCACCTTGTGTACGTAGTCTTAGGGTAAGTCTTGCATTACTAGCAAAAGGCTAATTTTTTTTACCTTCCTTTATATATATATATATATATATATATATATATATATATATTATTATTATTTTGTACTAGAGTAAAGTGCAACGGCTGTTGTTTTTAGTAACATATCTGTCTGGGGTTAAGAGAGGGAATATTTAATCCCACTAAATAGACACCACATCCCGTATGACGGCACAGACTGCAAATGTTGCTGCATATTGTTGGATATTGAGATTTCTTGATTAAACATCCCTTACCAGATGGCATGAATCCTGTGCCCTGCTACACGTAGAAGCGAGGAGCAGCTGCGAGGTAAGACAAAAAGGCACGCGCTAAATCGTCAGACGCAAATAAAGATCCCATAACCCTGAGCACTATGTTGGTAATCTTTTCAGTATATTCCAAGATCGCCCTTACACTCAGAGACCTCGCTGTAACGGAATAGTGGAAGTAAAGAAAGGTTTCTTTCTGGCTGATACAATATCTAGTTCTCACCATATAATTCTAAATAGGATTGTAAAGGAATATTAACCCTGCGGTGACCGGTATGGCTTTTACCTGGGAGGATCAGAAGATGTGTATCACAGAGAGCTGTAATATTTATGAGCCCGAAATGCTGTATTTTATTTAATTTTTTTTTAACTACAAAAGTGGGACCTGATTTGTGACTGGAAAAGTCAAAAGAAACACTCCAAGCACCATAACCACTATAGCTCGCATTTGTGGTTGTGGTGCCAGGAGTGCACTGGCAATCTGTAAATCTGCTTTAGCAGGCCTTAGTGGTTATGGTGCTTTACGCAAACAATGGTCTTTATTCACTTACCATTATATAGGGATTCAATGAAATGTAATGTGCTTACAGGGGGCTGGCCGGGAGGCTGTCTGAGTCTGCTGTGCTTGATGACAGGTTCACATACACCCTTCAGTGGATGGGCACGTCCACTTCCCAGACGTGCGTCACTGGGGACACCCCCTTGAAGGCCTGTCTACCAGTCCCTATTACATAACCCCAATGTTGGAGGTATGTGTGACAGTAGAGGGAGGTCCAGTAGGTGCAGCAGGTATACAGTGTATGTATATCATATTTATAGAGCGCTAACAGGTGTACTCAGCACTTTACAGGTTACATTACAGTAGAGGGACGTGCAGTAATTACAGAAAGTATACAGTGTATGTATATCATATTTATATGGCGCTAACAGGTGTACTCAGCACTTTACAGGTTACATTACAGTAGAGGGAGGTCCAGTAAGTGCAGCAGGTATACAGTGTATGTATATCATATTTATATAGCACTAACAAGTGTACTCAGAACTTTACAGGTTACATTACAGTAGAGGGAGGTGCAGTAATTACAGAAAGTATACAGTGTATGTATATTTTATTTAAATAGCACTATCAGGTGGACTCAGCACTTAACAGGTTATATTACAGTAGAGGGAGGCACAGTAGCTATACAGTATATGTATATTTTATTTATATAGCGCTAACAGGTGTACTCAGCGCTTTACAGGTTACATTACAGTAGAGGGAGGTACAGTAAGTGCAGTAGGTATACAGTGTATGTATATTTTATTTATATAGCGCTAACAGGTGTACTCAGCACTTTACAGGTTACATTATAGTAGAGGGAGGTACAGTAAGTGCAGTAGGTATACAGTATATGTATATTTTATTTATATAGTGCTAACAGGTGTTCTCAGCACTTTACAGGTTACATTACAGTAGAGGGAGGTGCAGTAGGTATACAGTGTTTGTGTATTTTATTTATATAGCGCTAACAGGTGTACTCAGCACTTTACAGGTTACATTACAATAGGGGAAGGTACAGTGTCAGTAAGTGCAGTAGGTATACAGTGTATGTATATTTTATTTATATAGCACTAATAGGTGTACTCAGCACTTTACAGATTACATTAAAGTAGAGGAAATACAGTAAGTACAGTAGTTATGGGAAGGGGGTGCTGGATTACCTGCCCCTATGGCACAACCCCACTAATTACATATCTGTGTGATAAATACATAAATGCATGTTTATTTTTAAATAATAAAGGTGTGTAGCAAAGATATTCCCATTCTGTAACCATTGCCATTAATCTTGATAACCCCAAATAAAATGCGTTTGGTACTAAGATTACCGCCTATCACCCAGGGGATCAAGGTGTCTTGTATTATATTAGGGATGGCGTTTGTCTCATCCCGGCGCTCATTGCTATTTCCCAGACAAGTCTCTTTTATTTGTTAATAGAACAGTGACCCTCCATTAGCCTCTGTTGGCTGTGTAATTCATAATAACTCGAATCAGCTCCCTAAAGCTGCTCATTCATACACAGGAGACAGCAATGAATTCCGTTCATTCTAGCAGAAGAAGACTTGGAGAGGAATTGTATTCAGGCAGAAAAAAGAAACATGGAATATAAACAGCTACTTATATATAATTTTCTTTCTATTTTTCATAAATAACATTTAATGTAAATCTATTAAAAAAAATAAATAAAACCAAAACAAAACTTAATGTGTTAGTAACTATAAACATTTTTTTTATACAGACTTAACGTTAATGGTTAAATAAAGCATATATATAGTTTTGAGTCTAAAGTACCATTTAAGAGGTTTGCCTATTAATAAGAAGGTTGTAGACAGCTGAGAATTGATGTTTTTGCTTAAGTTTTTTCACAAAATATAGACCTTGATCACAATCTATTGCTTGATAAATATCATGTTAGCCAGTGCTACCAGTGAGCCTTTAATGATATTGATACCATCACAATCACACATTTTATGGGGGGTGGCGGTTTGCTGCATTTTAAGTTTGGAAAAAAGGGCTATATACTTCACGTTAATCAGTCCATATTAAATGAATCTGTAGTGACAGATATAGGCTTGCAATTTTCTAACCATCTGGCTTCACACATTTTATGCAATTAAGTGTTTCTTCCCTTAATACTATTAAAAGCCCATATTTGTATTTCCATTATCTCTGTCTCCTGCTGAGAGCATCAATCAGTAGTTGCTACACTTGCTGCAAGATACTCAACTATCCTGCATAGTCCTATTTGGGGAGCACAGACTTGCTGCCTAAAGCAGATGAAAAGTCCCCAACACTTTATGTTGGCTTTGTTTAAATAAAACCTCTCTGTTCTCTGTCTCCATTCTCAGACTGCCTGTCCGAAGCTGCTGCAAGAAGTAATTCTAGTTGTTTATCTCTCTCTCTAACTGTGCTGCTGCTGGTGCTGCTCTCACACAGAGCCTGTCCCTCCTCCCAACTTCCCCTTTCTCTTAGGCTGAATTCAAGCAGTAGAGACACCCAAAAAAAGGGTTTCCCTGATAACACAGCCTTCTGATTTCTATACTGATCGGCACAAGTTTCACATAGACAGAACTGACCGGTGGGAAGGGGAATGGCTGTTTTATAAACTCTGATTTTAGAGAAATCTAAACGTTTGCTAGCAATATTGCAGAACAATGTACAGCTGAAGTTTGATTCCCTGTCATTTACAATGAAGTAGTATTTTACATTACCCTTTAATTATCCATTTTTTATCTGTGTGGAGAGGAGACCTGACGTGAGATGGAAACTCAAAACTGCTTACTGCCACGAATTGGTCAGTTTTGTGTTAACAACGAATCAGAACTGTACTGACCATCTGTCTCAACAACTGTCCCAATTGTCCTCAGCTCTCTTTATACACATTTGCATTATGACAACAGTGCCAGGGCAGTGCATAAATGAACACAAAATGGGATATATACATATAGGTTTTGTTATAATAATGTCCAAACAAGGTCAGACATGACATAACAGTGCAGTAATATAGCGTGAGCTGAACCTTTGTTATTATTATTATTATTATTATTATTATTATTGCCATTTATATAGCGCCAACAGATTCCTTGGCGCTTTACAATATTATAAGAGAGGGGATTTAGCTATATATAGGACAATTACAAGAAAACTTAAAGGAACAATAGGTTGAAGAGGACCCTGCTCAAACAAGCTTACAGTCTATAGGAGGTGGGGTGTAAAACACAATAGGACAGGGAATAGCAACCAAAATAGGCGGGAGTGAAGAGTTGAAGGAGTGAATAGAGTGCTGCCCTCTAGGAGAGAGCAAGAGACAGGTATGTGAGGTAGAGGTTACTCTAGGTGGATATATCTTATAGTTAGGATAGCCTTATGCCCATCCGATGCATGCTTAAACTCCCTCACTGTGTTAATCTATACCACTTCAGCTGGAAGGCTATTCCATGCATCCACTAACCTCTCAGTAAAGGTACCATCTTTGTATGATGTCATCATACGCCATTAGTGAGCACACCACATTATGCCACCTGAACATGCACCAACTGCAGACATTTTTTAAATATACGATCGTAAATAACTTTATTTTATTCCTGAAACTATAGCAGTTTTTTATTTTGCCAAATATTCTTAAAAAGTTACAAAAACAATGCACAAAATATCAAATATTTGGGCTGTGGATATGTTGCTATATTTCAATATGACCAATTTTTTTTGAGAGAAATTCAACTAAGTCTTACTTCTGAAGAAAAAGAGAGGCATAGAGATCTCAACATGGTCCCTCATTATTTCGTTACTTTGCACACTCTTTGCATTTACCAAACATTGGTAGGTATACCTCTCATCGGCGCACAATTCGCACATTAGTATGGGGTACCTGGCCAGATAACATACATCTCTCATGCTAACCATTAGCAAATGCTTTTTTTTGGAGGGGGGAGGAGGTGTAGAGGGGTTTGGGGAGCAATCTTTGCTTCTAAGAAAGAATATTTGAATATTTTACTATATAAAACCTTCACTTTCCTCTTAACCTGCAGTATAATTTATAAATAACAACAGCAATTTGTATATAACAACAGAGCCTTTTTATTCTTGGGATCAGTAAATCGAACTACAATTCCTTTTAGCGCACATTTTCTTTTCTATTTAAGGCACACCTGGCGTTTTTGTTTTTCTGACCGTAATCATTTTCTAATCTGCTGCGTTGTCAAAAGAGCTGACAGTCACAGCGTTTCCACAAAATGACACCTCCGTCTATAAATAGAACAACTGACAGAAGCTATAAATGTCCTAACGAATTTTTCCGTTTCCATGGTAATCGCTGAAATGCATGACAGATGTTATGTGCATACAAATTAAATTAAGCAAAATAACTCAAACTGTTGTTTTCTGGGCGAAATCTGTGTTTACAGGTCAGCTGTGTCCCTGCATTTCTTTATTAAATAAATATTTGAGGCTTGTTTGATGTATAATATATTTTTACAGTGTTTTCTATACATTTTTACTTCCCATAACTTTACCAAAGATGTGCTCTGGTTTTATTCTCATTATATACATTTACGTATGTCTTTCCCGTTAGTATTACTTATGCTTAACTCTCCACAAACTCTTCTATTTTATGACAGCTGCTAATTAGACTGTCAGATTGCATTAATTAACCGTGATGCCATATTCCACTTTCTGATTGTGTTTTGTTTAGATCACATCATTAATTACTTTATCCTGGGGAAAGAACCCTCATGTTGCATTGCAAATTGGGATTGGTTAAAGGCCCATAATTACTAAGTGGTTGCAACCATACAATATGCCTAACGTCATGGCACAATGAAAAAAGTGGGAATCTCTGTCACTAGGTGGCAAGTTTGTAATTCATGTTTTACATAGGGTCAGTAGGTAAAGGGTTTATCGATAGTGGGAAAGTCTTAATCAGTCCAATACTAGGGCCGGTACATCTCCTGTCCAATACCAGGGCCGGTAAATACCAGGGCTGGTATACCTCCTGTCAAATACCAGGGCCAGTACAATACCAGGGCTGGTACATCTCCTGTCCAATACCAGGGCCGGTATACCTCCTGTCCAATACAAGGGGCGGTACAATACCAGGGCTGGTACATCTCCTGTCCAATACCAGGGCCGGTAAATACCAGAGCCGGTACACCTCCTGTCCAATACCAGGGCCGGTACAATACCAGGGCCGGTACATCTCCTGTCCAATACCAGGGCCGGTACAATACCAGGGCCGGTGCATCTCCTGTACCAATTGGCACAGAATTCTAATTGCTTTTAAAGAAACCAGAGCATCATATGAAAGAAATTTTAACACAAGTTATTGGCAATTTCCATGTTACATTTTCCTATAGTCTGTAAGCTCGTTTGAGCAGGGCCATCTTCAACCTATCGTTTCTATAAGTTTTCTTGTAATTGTTCTATTTATGGTTAAATCCCCCCTCTAATAATATTGTAAAGCACTACAGAATCTGTTGGCGGTACATAAATGGCAATAATAATAATAATTTGTTTTGTTTTTACTTTTTGTTTTTTTGTTGTTATTTTTTTATCAAGTTGGGCAGATACAAAGATTCCTCCGAAATCCAGTATCTTGCATACTATTAACATGAAAGAGGCACAATTCAGCTAATTACAGTTTACGAAAGCTTTTAATTTTCTGTACCCTGATAGGCTCTGGTGGGGGGAGCTGCGGGGATTCAAGTTATTTAAATGTTTAGATGACTCACTTAGCGTACAAGTAAATTAGCATTGCCATGTTACTATTTTAATAAGAGATGCAATTCAAAAACAAACATAAAAAAAAAACTGTATACTTCAGGGCTGTTTAAAATAAAAATACAGAGTAAACTCGTTAAACTGTCCAATTTATATATTTTCATGTCTATTTGTATACATTTTTTTGAGAGGGGTTTTGTCATCTAACTCAGTGACGTCTTTCTCTGGCACTCCAAATATTTTTAAACTATATTTCCCGTAGGGGCGGGGCCTGACCGCCGGCGGGATCAGACGTGCTCTGTCTGAGCTCCCGCTCCAGGGTCCGAAAATCGGAGCTAGCTGGAGGCCAATCCGGAATAATGACCTATGAAGGTGACCACACTGACCCCCCAGCCACTGGGGTACGCGGAGACACCGCCCAAGCACCGACAGCAACCCGACAGGGGCCCAGAGCGCACTGGAGCTTGAGCCGGGACGAGACGGCCGCTCTCCCGGGTCTCCGGCCGGCGTCTCGCTTCCCCCCCCCCCTCTGGACCGGGGGGGTCATCCCGGTCTGTCAGGGTGCCGGCCATCACACCAGGCCGGGCCTGAGCAGCTGTCCTGGCGCGCTATACCCACCGGACAGAGCCCCTCAGGAGGGCCGCAAGATGGCCGCCACGCGCCAACCAAGTACGCGAACGCCCAGCTTAGCCGAGAGGATCGAACCTGGGCAAAGAGCCAACAGGGACTTAGCCCCAAAGCATCGGGCGCACCAAGAGTCCCCACAGCAACCGACGAAACACTCACCTCTCAGGCGGATTCTCGCCCAGCGGCAGCCCGGGGCTCCAGTAGTGAGGAAAGCACCAAAATGGCGGAGAGTAAAGCGGCATACACCGCACCAGCGGCAACAGACACCACGTGAACGGACATCACCGATTCTTAAGCCTGTCGACACACCAGTAATAGTGGAGGTGATACCGTCCCCGGTGAGCGGCTTTGCCCTGCAGCCCACTCTGAAGCAAGCGCCCCACCGTACCAGCGCTGGTCCTAGGCAGCATAGCAACACCAATATCTAAGGACACGTAGAGCTGGGGCCATGCCTAACTAAAACCTCACGGGACACTAACAACACACAGATCAGGACCCTGACCCACAATCAGCGAGCATCCAGCTCATAAGTTTTATTGTTCTTTTTCTAACGAGCCTTCTTTTTCTTTTATTTTCTGGTTGGTTTTGTTATGTTTTGCTTCTCCTATCTACACTGTTATGCTTGTCATCCCTCACGACATTCACTGACTTAGGAAACAGGCAGTTAACACTAATGTCAAGCGTATGATAAACCATGTCTCTCTAGGCTTACAATTGTGACCGTAACACTGCGAGCTTGTCTGTTTGAAAATGCATAAGAAATCTCCTTGCTCAGGGCATATAATTCTTGATCTAAGCTTGTATAATCTGATGAATCTTATAATTACTCAACACACTGTCAGCCAGCTAAGCTTAATGTATCTACCATTATTATTTCTATACCTCATGACTTAGACTAGCCAGCCATGTTTATTATACAAAAAGAAAAATGTGCAACTTACTTGTGCCATGATTATGCCTATAATGTAAAGCGAATGTGTGCTGTTGTGGCACGTTAAACATGTTTGTCAATCACTTGCACAGAAAAAATAAAGAATTTAAAAAAATAAAAATAAAAAAAAACTATATTTCCCGTGATGCATCATAGGAATTGTAGCTGAGAAAAATTTGATGGGCTATGTATAGTCATCAATGATCTAGCTAGTATTGAAATACAATTCACGTAAACCCTTAATTTTTTGTATTTATTTTTTTATTATTATGAATGGCTATGGTTTATGATAGTGATGGTTAATCTTAAAAGTTCAGATGTTTTCACTATTTTAACAGGATGATCAGCTAGCCTCCAGACTATTGTACTAGTCATGCTAGCCACTTCTTTGCTGTAATCTGGATACAATGTAGTCCAGCAGTAAGCATTTTTCTACGCATCCCCAACTAAGGCTTCAATTCAATAATATTGAATAAGCTTTTCAAATGATTTCTTATTTTTGGATACATTTTTTAAATATTTTTTTGTTCAAAATATATATATAAAAAAAATCTATTTATCATCTATCCGTCTGCCTGTCTATCTATCTAATATCGACATAAAAAATATTTTTTTATACTATTAAAACATTTTTAAAGTTTTTCCACAAATATAAAATCGTTTGAAAAATGTATCCACCAATATTAATTCGAGGCCTAAATCCATAACGCGGTAGGTGATAAAAAACTAAGGTATTTAACGGATATCTTCTTGTGTGATGCTGTAACGTGGTTAATCTTCTTTCTTCTCAGTGCCAACAACACGCCCAAGCAGGTGGAAGTTCGAATGCACGAAAGCCACATAACGTCGGAAGAAACAAACCCCAGGTCGCCATGTCTGCGAATATGGGACAAACTGCGGGGGAACCTCCTGCTTACTCTCACAGTATTGGGTAAGTGTAATACATTCTTTGTTTCTTCTGTGTTTCTTCTGTTGATTTATATATACGAGGCAAAAATGTGATTCTTTGTTAAACTAATTTGCATATGCCCACCCAGAATACTTTGCGGTTGTAACATCGCTGCAGTTATGAGATTTCTGTGGGAAAAGCAAGGCTTATGGCTTGACTGGTGTGAAGATTTTTGTTTAACATTGTATTAATTATCCTCAGACTTCAGGTGGAAGGGGTTTTCAATCACAATCTTTCCTCACCATAACCTTTTTTTTGCTTCCCAAGCACTACCAAGCCTCAATAAGCAAACCAGTAACCAACCTCATGCTGACGAGTTGCCTTAACAATGAAACAGCTGTCCATGAGTGGTTCACTGGTTTTGCATCTTTTCCTATATTGTGTTCCAATCAGTTGTATACAGCAAACACAGATTAAAAGGAATCCAGGTTTAAAATGGAATGAGGCAAAAATTTGATTCTTTGTTAAACTAATTTGCATATGCCCACCCAGAATCCTTTGCGCTTGTAACATTGCTGCAGTTATGGGATTTCTGTGGGAAAAGCAAGTCTTATGGCTTGACTGGTGTGCAGATTTTTGTTTAATATTGTATTAATTATCTTTTGTATATATATATATATATATATATATATATATATATAGTCTTGGGCCAAAGGCTTGATACATTAATATACATCTATATTAATGAAAAGTACTAATACGCAATCTGACTTACGGTTTCTTCAGGTTAATTCTTAGTTACTGATACATAATAAAACAACAAAGGATGTTACATGATCATGGATGTTCGACAGCAGATGGTAATTGCTGGACTCCTGAAGGGAGAGTTACATCGTTACATCGAGAGAGAGACAGAGAGACCTTGTGTCCCTTTGTTCAGTTGCTATATAGAAGTGCCCATACTGATGTCAGAGTATAAATCTAGCCATATAAGGACAAGACCCCAAATCCACATTCCAGAGTTCTCATCCAAGAAAACCCTGTGACTTATTGATATCATCTGTTACTTATGTCAATCCATACATCCATACATAATCAATAGAAACATGGAATATGCAATATTCTACAGTAGGTTATGGACATTGTGGCTTTGACGTGTGTTTTATGTCCTAAATAATAATAATTACCATCACTCCTTGTGTAGATACTATACATTTTATAAATTCTATACTAAACATTACAATAAATATTAACTAAAAGGAAGGAGGTACAAGCAAACCTAGAGGGCACAATAAATCTACATAGTATCCCAATGGGTTTCTAGTACTGTAGCAGCAACCCATAAACTAATTAAATATAAGTTTTAATTGAGAATATTAAAAAAGGAAAGCAGGGTCGCTAAATAGAAATAAATTGTAGAAAAACAGAGGGGAAAAGGCACAGTGGAGATATTTGCCAGAAAGGTGTCACCCCTATCGGGTAATGGCACCGGTGGTGCAGGGATTTTAAGGGGTAAAAGTGTAACCAGAATATATATGCTGAAAGTATAGCCCCCCAACTCCTACCACCCAGTACCACCGTTGTAGCAAAATCCCCAACCCCTCGGTTCTGAACTAATGTAGCCAGAAATTCAAAGTGGCTAACTGTCTAAATCTCGATAAAAACAAAGAGGGTGGCTAAACTAGGAGAAAGGTAACAGCTGCAGCATCGTCCCTGTCTAACTCCTCCACCCTCAACTAATCTTCTTGTTTTGTTTCAAAGTGATCTAATTTGATGGCATCTAATAAAATGACTTGAAAGCCAATCTAATAACAGATCCAAATATCAACTTTTCATAAAACACTCACACAATCTACAGGAGAAAATCAATGTAATGTCTCTTTAAATGGCAGAATTTTCCGTCGGGGATTTTAGTCAATCAAAAGTAAATTGGGGGAGACCTACAGCTAACTTGCAATTTCGTACAACTTGCCTATTTTATCCTAAATTTATGGAATTTAATTCTCAGTTCTTCAGAATTCACTGTTTATTGAATCAACCCTTAATTTTAATTTGGTTTCATAAAATGTAGAAATTGGACTATTTCTCCTGGGAACTCCCACTAGAGAGCATTGTGATCTTTTCAGACATACTGAGAAGAACTGCATGTAAATACATATTTCCTTTACATTCTTTTCATCTATTGGGCCATTGCTGTTTTGCACTAAGGAATAAATCATTTTTATATTTGATGTCTTTGTTTATCTGCAATTTCTCTATTAGTCATTTAGCCCACAAGCACATATAACAAACAGGTTTTTAAAGTACTCTTAGGAAGTACATGTCACACTCTTTATAAATATAGTAACTCCTCATTTGGATGGGCCAGGAAGGTCATTCATCCTAAAGGGACTGTCCTGGCTGTAACTTGCCCTGATAGGTTTAAAGCATACTTTATCTGACAGGGCAAATACCTATTCTTTGGTGGCTTCTTAACAATGTATTTTTGTTGAAGTTTAATATTGAAATTCTTCACAATTTTGACTCACCCTTTCATAGGGTTAATCTGGGTTAATCAATAATTCTGGTAAACTGAAATCGACCCACAAAGGTAGCCCAAAATAGCTACATTGGAAAATGAGTTAAAGGGACACTCCAGGCACCCAGACCACTTCTGCCCATTGGAGTGGTCTTGGTGCCAACTGTAATTATTGCAGTTTTCATAACCTTGCAGGGTTAACTCCTCCTCTAGTGGCTGTCTACAAGACAGCCACTAGAAGGCACTTCCTGCTTCATAGCACAGGTTTTCTCTGCTAGAGCGTTGCTGGACGTCCTCATGCTGTGTGAGGACCTCCAGTGTCGCTCAATTTCTCATAGGAAAGCATTGAAAAGCATTTTCAATGCTTTCCTATGGAGAGCTCTAATGCGCATGCCACGCATGCTCATTAGGTCTCCTCAGCCGGCGGGTGGGATCAGTCTCCCCCGGCTGACGTGATGAAGGGGAGGGACATCGGCGGGGGTCTCAGGTAAGTCTCTGAAGGGGTTTTCACCCCTTCAGCAACCGGGGATGGATGGTGGGAGGGAGAGGGGACCTGCAGTGCCAGGAAAACAGTTTTTTCCTGGCACTGGAGAGTCCCTTTAAACTGTTTTTTTCAACTTCTAACTTCACTGTTAAAGGGATTCTATATGCATCAAAACAGCTTTAGCTTTAAAGGGACACTGTAGGCAACCAGACCACTTCAATGAACTTGCAAAGTTTACATTGCAGCACTAAGTCTGCCCTCAGTGGCTGTCTACAAGACAGCCACTAGAGGGCTTCCGAAATCCAAACAGACTTGTGGTCCGTTATCTGACGCTGGAGGTCCTCATGCTCTGCATGAGGACCTCCAGCGTCAGATTTTTCCCCGTAGGAAAGCATTCATTCAGTGCTTTCCTATGGGGAGGTCTAATGTGCATTAGACCCCACCCGCCCCCTCCTCCGTCCCGTAGCAAAGCAGGGGCATGATTTAGCTTCATTAAGCTAAAGTTGTTTTGGTGCCTATAGTATCACTATAGCTGACTGTTTTGACCACATTTTGCAATTCAGGTTCTCAATGCACCCCAAACCAACCTTTCCTTATGACACATATAGCTAACATTGACTGTGTTATTTATTTATTTATAAAATATTTTACCAGGAAAGATACATTGAGATTTCTCTCGTTTTCAAGTATGTCCTGGGTCCACAAATCATTGCATTGTTTCCAAGAGACTGAACCAGACTTAGCTGGCTGTGCGTCATGGGAGATATCCACATTATTCTGGACTATGAACACTGAGCATCATGACAATAGCCTACCAAATGAAAGTGCCAACAATTATCCATTGATTATTTGGCCGATAATATAGGCTGTGGATGATAGGAAATGGACTGTGAAGCATGTCAAACATTGACACCCCAGAAGTTGCGGACTAAGATTTCTTATCCATACATGAGGATATTTATATTAGGATTTAGAACGTGACTATGCCGAGACGATCTGTTTATTTTGCCTGCATGTTAAGAATACACACGACTGCAAATATTATTTGTCGAGCTGTCTGGCGTTTTCTGAATGATATTTGCATATTAGTGTCAAAGAATGTATGCATATTTATATTTAGGTTCTGCTCCTTTACTTTAACTTGAATATACGTATATACATATGCTAGATGCATTCTTGATGTTTAAAGATAGAAGTCAAATGTATTCTTCTGAAGGGACACAATTTATGGCACTGGCATAGAGCAGACATTATGTCCTCATTAAATTAGAGGGGCAAAAGTTTAAAAATAATATCAGGAAGTATTACTTTACTGAGAGGGTAGTGGATGCATGGAATAGCCTTCCAGCTGAAGTGGTAGAGGATAACACAGTAAAGGAGTTTAAACATGCATGGGATAGGCATAAGGCTATCCTAACTATAAGATAAGTCCAGGGACTAATGAAAGTATTTTTTAAAAAATTGGGCAGACTAGATGGGCCTAATGGTCACATTCTATGTTTCTATGTTTCATTTAAAAAACAAAAAAATCTAAGTTTTCAAAACGGACACTACAGGCCAGTTGGCTTAATGTTTTTAGTGAGAAAAATATTTAAAGTGACTCTCTAAGCAACAAAACAACTTTAGCTTAAAACCTCTGCAGCCTCGCTGCTCAATTATTTGCCATATAGTAGTTAAATCAAATTGTTTATGCAGCCGTAGCCACTCATCCCCTGGCTGTCAGTCACACAACCTCTCTACACACTTCCTAAAATAGTTACATTTTTTTGCATTCCTTATTGCACAGTGTGTTTAAGTTAGAATTTCTCATATTTCCTGCTCTGTTGATAGTCTGTTAAAGCTTGTAAAAGCTTCATGAATGTGATTAAAATTCAATATATATATAAAAGTTAAACCATTTCTTTCATACAGGCTGTGTAAGTCATTGCCAGGATAGGGCTGCATAAACAGTAATATTTAACTCCTAAATGGCAGAGAATTGAGCAGTGAGTGCAGGGGCATGATCTTTAACCAAAACTAAGCTAAAGTTGTTTTGGTTCTTAGAGAATCTCTTCAACTATTAGAAGGTGATATTGAGAAATACTTTGGGTCAATATATTGATGGATAATGTCATGCTTTATTGTATTCTGTGAGGACGTGAGCAATAATATAGATCATGGGTTTGTAGTAATCTCTTGAAAATTTTATTTTCGTGGGAAATGATTAGCAAAAGTCTAAAAGGAAGTGCCTGAAGGCACAAAAATTATAAAGCTCCTTCTTTACGTTATTCTCCCATCTTTTTGTATTTTGGAATAAAAGTTGCAGCTTTGTACTGATTCGGTTGTATTTTTAGTGTTGCCACATGGGGTACGGCAGTTGCTTGCTATTTTTGAAAAAATATTGTTCACAGAGTGAATGTTATTGATAAACTTTGCAAAAATTGCAAAACATTTTAGGTATCTGTCCTAGGTCCATAATTTGTTTAGAAATCTTGCCGGGAGGGTGTCGGAATGTCACTGACCAGTTTTTATAGTAGATAGAAATTTAAATAATAAAGGCAGTAGAGTAGAAACTTTGGAGACTGGTAAAGTAAGTGGCATTTTTTATTTAATATAGATAAATACAAATATTTGCATTTTGGTAATAAAATTAATTCATCATCTATATGGCAGTTATTGACGAATTTGGAAAATACTTAAGTAAGATTTGAGAATATTTTTAGATAAAAGTCTTGGTAATACACTGTGTAGTATATTTTTCAAAGCCAGCAAAGAACTTATAAAATGCATATTAAGTCATGGAAAGAAAACATAATTATGCCTTTTTAGCAGTTCACTTTTGTAAAATGCAGTGTAATTGTAGGCAAACATCTCAGGAAAACATCTTGAAAGAGGAGATACAGATGTGGAATAAAAAAAAACTGATAAGGGGAATGGACGATCTCATTTGAAAAGAAAGGCTACGAAAGTCGATTGTTTACATTAGAAAAAATGATGACTTAAAAGGGATAGATATTTTAGAGAAGCTTATACAGTCAAACTCAATACATGCGTTTCAAAATATCACATCGCAATTTAGCAAAATTGAAGCTTAATAATAATTTGTTTTTATTTAGTTTGTTTGTGCCCTCTTCTGAATCAACTGCATGTACCATGTTACTATGATGTGGAATAATTCTTTCTCGGACTCAAACACATAAACTATCCTATATGTTATATTAAAACAGCTGACATTACATACTGTTCCGACAGGTGTTATTCTTGGAGCAGTGTTTGGAGGGGTCCTCCGACTCGCATCTCCAATCCATCCTGACATTGTTATGGTGATTGCCTTTCCGGGAGATATACTCATGAGGATGTTAAAGATGTTGATCCTACCCTTGATCATTTCCAGTTTAATCACAGGTATGGCTTAATGTCACAATAAATGTATTATTAGCACAAGCAAAGTCAAGCAGATCATTGGGTAATGACTTTAAATGACAAACAATGCAAGTTAAAATTCACAGAAATCCACAATTCATAGGAAAGAAATATTTAATCTTCATTGGGTGCTGGAAGTCTATATCAACACTCCTTTTAAAAAAAATTATTTTATTAAATAATATTTTTAAAAAATGTAATTATTAATTTGTTATATTTTTTTTATAAAAAGCACTGTATAACCAAGTTTTACTAATCTGTAAACCTTCCATAGGACATGATGGTCGGTAATAAATAACAGATCTCAATAGTATGCCCCATTACGTGAATTGTCAGAATGTCAAAGTGAATAAAAAATTTTAGGGCGATGTAACGAGTTCAGTGTAGATAATCGCGAAAGGTGACAAGAATACAATGTTATAAGTAAAGGAACTAAATGGTTAACTGATTTACTGGTTAACTGATTTGCTTGAAAAATATATATTTCTAAGACAAAAGGGGGTATTTCTAATGGAATACTATCCCATAGAAAGACTAACAGGAGGCAGAAGAATGCTACAATATTTTCCTTTCCGTTCCAATCTGTCTTTCTCCGCTCACAATTATCTAGACTAAACCCATTCCAGTCTATTTTCTACAAATACTGTAATTGATGGATCAAGCCAGATTCGCTTTGTAATGTCACATTTTTAGAGTTCTGTCTGAAGCTTTGGCGGTTTTCCTGCCACTTAGCGGAATTGAAGCAGGCGAACATCTGTGTAAGTTCTGTCACACATGCTGCTAATCACAGAAAAGATACGAAAGAGTGAATCTGACACTCACCAGCAATTAAAAAAACGAACGCAATGAGTATGTGAAGCAGATGAAAACATCTGTACTCTGCTCATCAGCGCACAATGAAATCCCCTCGTGACTGCTGGAATTCAGCAATATATTAATCTGCTAAATAAAAGCATGAGCGCATAGAACGGATGCTTAAGAGATTCTGTAACCCGTGATATTCCGGGGGAACACGCAGTGAATGTATAAATTTAAAGAATTATTGTGGCACAATGGATCACGTGAGCAGAGAATCGCTGAGATTTTTCTCATGATCTGAAGACTGAATGACATTTTTTTGTGAATATTTAGAATAATGGATAAACGTATTTTGTTTATCACTTACAGATAGTGCGGTCTATGGATTCTTGTTTATTTGAGTCTCCATTGACATAATGCATATCGGTTCCTTCTCCCATATGGGTTCCTTCTTCCATTTTCCTATTTCATGATGTTGAACGTACATGAAAAATAAATCAGTGGACGCATTAAATATACAGTTTCAGATGTTTCTAAGCTATGTATAAACACCGATCTCAAGTGAGAAATGTGTGTATTTGATTAGACAAAATACACCATGGACACAATGAAAATATCCCCAAATGGTGTAGTGTGAGCATTATCTTCAGACGCACTTATGCTGCACTCAGGGAACTAGGATCCTGCAGAGAGTACTGAAACAGTGCTCCCTGCAAGTCCCGCCCTCAATGGGCTGGCCTACTTGATTGGTCACGTGATTGCATCCCTGGCCCAACCTCTTTACTCCCTCCCACCAGCCTACCGCTTATCGGGACACCAACGTTGGTTAATACGACATAAGGTGCTCTGGTTCGTGTGAAGAACAAGTACTCGGACCTGTAATTTGAAGCAGCATAGAAACTCTATAAAACGAATATAACGTTTAATCAGAGAAGAACTAGGTTTATAGTACCCCAGATAGCCCTTGTTCCTGTATGTTTGGTGCCATTTTGAAATCACAACAGTTTAAGTGGTAATTGAATACCTGATTCACAGGCTTGTCTACCCAACATTTCAGATTGCTAGAGGTGGCACCCCTGGGCACATGACAGGACATTAACAATAACAGAGTTATTAATGATAGTGCAACAACTACAAGGTCAAAATAGCAAACTAGCAAAATAGTGGAAAAATTATCTAAGGCAGCTATACTTTCATTTCGGATTCTCTAAGCTTACATTTGAAACTCACTTTGAATGCTAACGTTTGTTAAATCCTGTCTGTGTTACACTGCTTTTTACCTATTTTAGCTCTTTAATTGAGATACTCGTCTCAACAAGCCTTAAAAAAAGAAAAACATGAACTCCTTTCTAAATATTAAATTCTCTTCCGTCTTCCTTAGGACTGTCTGGATTGGATGCCAAGTCTAGTGGTCGTCTTGGTACAAGGGCAATGGTTTATTATATGGTCACTACTATTATAGCTGCTATTTTGGGGGTTATCCTAGTCTTGGCCATTCATCCTGGTGACCCCAAACTAAAGCAACAGCTTGGAAAAGGACAAGAAAACGACGAGGTCTCCAGTCTTGATGCTTTCCTGGATCTGATCCGGAATCTTTTCCCTGAGAATCTTGTTCAGGCTTGCTTCCAGCAGGTAAGACATTTGAGCATAATGGAAAGAAGGTTCACCAGTGACGTTGTGCAGGAGAGACTTACATATGGGGTAACCCATTTACTCTGACAACGAAATTACACGAATGTCTTCCAAAATCACAGGATAATCATCATTCACATGCACATTCTCTTTTAAAGGGACACTATTGTCACCAGAACCACTACACCTTAATGTATTGGTTCTGGTGTCCATAGCAAGTCCCTGCAGGCTGAGCACTGTAAACGCTGCCTATTCAGGGAAAAGGCAGTATTTACATTAATGGCTACTAGCACTGCTAATGGCAGTCACTCAGACTGCCACTAGAGGTGCTTCCTATCTGCACTGACATTTAGCTGAAACCTTCCTATAGAGATGGATTGGTTCATCAATGTATCTCTATGAGAGGATGTTGACTGGTGCAGCTCTGCATTTTGTCGCACATGCGCGATAGCCTTCCAATAGTTTCCTATGGAAAAGCATTCACAAGTAGAGATGTCGCGAACCGTCCGAGAACATCTCGCGAACGGTTCGCCGCGGTTCGCCACGAGCTGTTCGCGGCGAACTCCGGTCAGCTGACACGTCCCGGCCAATCTCCAGCAGACCCTCCCTCCCAGACCCTCCTACTTCCTGGACAGCATCCATGTTTCAACATGGATGCTGTCCAGCAAGTAGGAGGGTCTTCCTGGACAGCAACATGGATGCTGTCCAGGAAGTAGGAGGGTCTGGGAGGGAGGGTCTGCTGGAGATTGGCCGGGACGTGTCAGCTGACCGGAGTTCGCCGCGAACAGCTCTTGGCGAACCGTGGCGAACCGTTCGCGAGATGTTCACGGACGGTTCGCGGACGGTTCGCGACATCTCTATTCACAAGGCTGATAATTTAAAGATTGATGATCTCAGTAATGGAGGCGGAGCCAGCCACAGCGAGACCGGATTGACAGTGGAGAAAAGGTAGATAAAATAAACTTTTTACTCCACAGAAAAGGGGGCCGGGGTCTTAACTAGCCACTCCAGCACTATAATGTCAGGAATACATGTTTATATTCCTGACACTATAGTGTTCCCTTAAGTTGTTTTTTTCTATAAAAAATTCATTTTCATTTTTAAAGAGAAAGCAATATGAAAATTAAACCCTTCCACTACAAGATGTGCGATCAAAGCTCTCCTATGCTAGTTATATTCTTACTTTGCATTTAAAGAGGGCAGTCTACAGGGTGCTTTGGATCTAAAAACAAATTAATTAATTGTAAAAGCAGACACAAGAAGCATCAATAAACTTTTGTGAAAAAGTTGATGCAAACCAGCAGGGGGCAATGTTATAAAGATAATCTTAAAATATTTTTTGTCAGTTGACAATTTAAGCAAGGCGTGGATCCCCAGGGTACCCATTATTATTATTATTTATATAGCGCCAGCAAATTCCATAGCACTGTACAATGGGGGGACTAACAGACACGCAATTGTAACCAGACAAATGGATGCATAGGAACAGAGGGGTTGAGGGCCCTGCTCAATGAGCTTACATGCCATTCTATTTCTTTGTCATTTTTAGTCTTCACAAAATAATTTTTTTTTTTTTTTAAATGGCAGTTTAACTCAAGTATGTTTTAAGTGAGATTTTTTCACTTTCTATTTATTTCCTGCACAAACATATTTTAGTATTTTCAGATACTTCTCAACATTCTAGGGACCACCAGGAAGGCATCTGTGGACCACCTGTGCCAGTCACATCACAGCCTCAAAATGTTTTAAGTCACCATTGAAGTGACTATATATAAGTGAGGTTATCTGAATGGCGTTAAAAGTTGGGAGAAGTGGTCTTGAAGAATTTTTCAAGTTTGGCTATTTTGACTCTAAATTTGGAATTAAAGGGACACTATTGGCACTATTGGCACCCAGACCACTTTAGCTCAATGGAGTGGTCTGGGTGCAAGGTCCCCCAGGTTTTAACCCTTCAGATATAAACATAGTAGTTTCAGAGAAACTGCTAAGTTTACATTGCAGGGTTAATCCAACCTCTAGTGGTTGTCTTTCTGACAGCCGCTAGAGGCGATTCTGCGACGCTGGATGCGAAATTCGCATCTAGTGTGCAGAACGTCCATAGGAAAGCATTGAGAAATGATTTGCTATGGACTGTTTGAATGCGCGCTCGGCTCTTGCTCCACTCGGGAGCTGACGTCGGCGGGGGAGGAGAGATCACCAGCGCCGAGGGAGTCCGATGCTGGATTAAGGTAAGTTGCTAAAGGGGTTTTAACCCATTCAGCGCCAAGGGTGGGGGACCCTGAGGGGGGGGTCCTAAGGATGCTATAGTGTCAGGAAAACATATTGAATCACTTGATCTGTGAATAAAATCAACAATTAATGACTGTCCCCTAAGCCAATGGCAAAATTACTGCCGGTGCAGCTGGTGAGTTTAAATCAAGGCCCGCAAGCTGAGATGCAGCAATCCGGTGGCCCACGTTATTAGGGCCACCCACTGGTAATCTTTCAACAGGGGCACGGTCAGGTGCTGTGACCCTTTGTGTGTGTTTTGGTGTGTGTGCAGGGCAATGTCTGTGCATACATCCCAGCAATAAATGCCAACTCTACATACAAACACATTCCAACACAAACACTACACACAAGCACGGAACTGCTTTCAAATAGCAACAGTACATAAATAACACAGTGGCATTCAAATGAAGTTCCACACAAATACATACATACATGCACATACACATACTTTATAAAAACATGCTTACATTCAAACAGAAACAGTGCTCACATATACAACTCTGCAAGGATGGTCACGTGCATTTTGAGAGTTTAATCACCTCTTTTCCTGGTGCCATTGACGGAACTCAAAATTACGAAACAAACTCATGCATTGTCGGTTTCGTCTGTGCAACGTTTCAGAGCTATTCAAGATCTGCCGATCCCCAAAGTTCAGAAGAACACAATTTGTTTGAAACTGAATTTAAAACAACAATGAAAATGCTCAGAATCAGAATCCATGTTCTAATTATGGGTCTTTTGAGGTGTCTAGTCTGTACTGAGAATGGCCGGTCTGCTCTTTGTCACGTGTCTTGCTGGCATCGTCTCTCCTGCTAACTTACCTGCTCATGTTATCATATCTTTATTTTTTTTAGATTCAAACCGTTACTAAGAAGGTCACTGTTGAAACTCGCATCGAGGAACCTACAAACGTGACCGACTCTGTCTTCTCCCTAATGAACGACACCGTAGTTGTGGCACAGGAAGAAATTAAAAAGAAGTTGGAATTTAAAGATGGAATGAATGTTCTAGGTACATTCCATCTGTATATGTTAAACTGATTTTGGTTGTGTCTAAAGCAGGCTGTCAGTCAAGCGCTCTGAGACTTTACAATTACAATATCTCCCAATCTCCCATGTAATGTCTGCTTTGTTGCTCAATCCATCAGTTATTTGTATCAGTAACAAAGGTGATACCTCAAGATTTTACTTTTTTTTTTATTTTTGCCCACAGGATTGATCGGTTTCTTCATTGCTTTTGGCATTGTCATGGGGAAGATGGGGGAGCAGGCCAAGCTGATGGTGGAATTCTTCAGTATCTTGAATGAGATTGTGATGAAGCTTGTGACTCTGATAATGTGGTAGGTTGAATTTGTTTCCAATGGTTTCCCAGCAATAACGTTTTTTTAAATTCAAATTAAACCAAGACAATTAAACTAATTTCATGAGAAAGTATTGTAGTTCCAGGATGTTTCTGTTATGTTTTGGAATTAATGTATCGTCCTGTTCCTTTGAGATTCCTGCCAATGTTCCACTGTCTGATGTTATAGATCATGTAAGTATCAGGTAGGTGGATGAAATAAAATGCAAAACACCAAAGTAGACATTTAAACTACCATGCCTGCTTCTACATTCTACACTTTTTATTTCGTTGTAGTTTGATATGTGTTCTGTTCTAAAGTTCATGCATACATGGACAGATTTTCTTTGTAAAGTCATAAATTTTTAAAGGGCATTTGAAATACGGGCAGGAACCTAGGCGGGTTAAGGTTACCAATGGCCCTAGGAAGAGTGCAAGATTGGGGCACCATCCTAGAGCCCTGGGCTCTGATTCTGTTAGTTGTGTTTGTTTGAGTGCTGTGTGTGAGAGTGTTTGTAGTGTTGAGTGTTGTGTTTGTGTTAAAAAGGGTGAGAGCAGTATGGGCAGGAGGCTGAGCGTGTGGTTTTGTGCTGGTTGAGTGTTCTTTGTGTCTGTGTGTGAAGGGAGTCTTGAATGAGGCGCAGTGGTTTGTGTGTATATGTTTCCCCCCGCTCCCATCTTTTCGTGGTAGCCCAGTGGTGGGTGTGCTGGATTCCTGCTGTTCCACTGGATGGTAAGCTGTCTTTCTGGTAGTTCAGTGGAGAGTGAGCTGGATCCATGGGGAACCATTGTGGAACTCGGAGTTACTGATAAGCACCAGTAGACCACAAGGGCACTCTTAAAGTGGTCTATACCTGATATTGGTACAGACCATAGAGCCCCCTAAACTAAGTGAGGGGGGACAGGGCTGATTAGGGAGATCTTTTATTCCCCTGCCGGCTCGAGGGAGCCAGAACTAACAGGCCTGGATAGGGGCCCACTGGGCCCCAAACTGAGCCCAGGTTGTTGACTGCTTTTGTTGCCTAATTGGTAATCTGGCTGTGGGCAGTAAATTAAAATATATTAATAAAAGGAAAATATATATATATTTGTTTGTGTTTGGTTTGGTATTTGGAGGTACAGTGAGAATTTGCAGTTAAGTATTGGGAAACAAGAAGATGCACTGTGAGGCTTTGGAGGGCAAGGTCGGAGGCTCAGGGCAGTTGAGTTAAGTAAACTGCAATTGAGATGTTGGAAGGCGTGTCAGTTGCAGAAGAAGGTTAGGGTCCAGTTACATGAGCCATGAGAACATTCAGGTTGAGGCCAGCTACAGTGGACATTTGGGGTATGATCTACACTATGAGATTTTGTAGGGGTTTCAGTTACAGAAGGATGAGGTCTAAGCTGATAAACCTTTGAGAAGTTGCAGGCTTAGGTCAGTTCCAGAAGACAGGTAAAATTCAGGGAGCTGCTAATGTTTGAAAGTAGGCTGGGGGGAGAAATATATATGGTAGGAATTTGTGTGAGCATTTCATAATGAAAGTGTGCAACTAGTAACTCAGACTGGCCCATATCCAAGGCAGAAGTATTTTAGTTTAAGACACGATATTAGATGCCAGTTAATGTTCAGCTTCCTGTTTCCTTCTTAAAATTCTCACTTTGGTTGATGTAAAAACCACAAACCTACGTTGGGGAAGATAATGAACAGCTAGTGGAAAACTGGAAAAGAGGCAGGTGGATTGTAGCCACAATTTCAGTAAAAATATAACAAACTGGTTCTTATTCATTCTATGGTGTCCTTAGCAGGGAAATAAACAATAAAATCTTTTTACCTAACGAAACGAATTCTACACCTACGGATAATAATAACAAAGTATTTAACGGAATTTATTCTAGTAATTTATTTTATATTTCATCTTCTTACTTCAAGTGCTGTGCTGTTTCAACCCATAAACTGGCAAATGTGGAGTGTTGAGTTGTTACACTACTGCAGGGCTCCCCGAGGGGTACCAATGTTCTAAAGAAAGTCTATTTAAAGTGAGTGTGATGGAGAAGGTTACAAACACCTGTTAGTCAGTAAAGTGTTCCCTATAAATTCTGGGGAGGATTTAATTTGTGAAATACAGTACTGTCTGGTATATGTACAGGAGTGTAGCGTCTGCCATAGCCATAGCGCCCAGAGGAATCCTTGATTTGTATCAGACCAATCAAGCCAAGGGACAGCACCAGGCGTATGATGGTACCAGAACTACAGCAGGCTCTAGTGGTAATGATGATACCTAGAGCGTCCCTTAAATTATTTAGAAAACATTATACATGATCCATTTTCTATTTAATGTGCAATATTATAAGAAATAATGTCTGCACTAACGTTAACTTTATTGTGTTTACATTTTTTAATTTTGTTATTTAGAAAAAGTGGAAAAAAAAACAGCTTTTATTTCCTAGGTAACTGTTAGTGCTCAAAATCTATTTTCTCTATCCTGTAAAGTGGGCTGGAAAGCTACGGACTACTCAGAAAATCAGATTTAAATCACACGCTCTCTATTTCCTTGTGTTTTTCCTTTTACCAATTGTGACTGAGGATTTGAAAGTTGAAATGCAATTCAAAATGGCCGCCCATCTTACAGATCTTTAAGTAGTAATTCCAGTTAATCGCAGTATAAATTGGTTAATTGCAGTATAAATTGGTTTGATAAAATAATGTTAATCTGTTAGGAGTATTGCTTCAAAAGAGATTTGTGGAGAGAACGTTTAATGGCAGTGCATCTTTAAAAGGACACTCAAAGTACCGAAATCACTTAATCTTAACAAAGTGATTTGAATGGTTATACCCTGCCCCATGCAACCTTGTAGATGCCAACTGAGTCATTTCCGAGAAATGCCCATAGTTTATTTTTAAAATCCCACCTCTAGTGGCTATAGCTAGGCAATTTGAACTAAAAGAGTTTCAATGACTAAATCTATTTTATGTTCAGTGTGAGCATGCAAAGTATGCTGACACTGGGTATGCGTGCATGCGCAGTAAGTCCTTTGTGCTTCTCTATGAGGGGCATTTCATTGGACAAAGAGTGGGATTGGATCAGGCTGCCTTGAGGAGTCTGTTTTGAAAAAATAAATATTTTTAAAGGGGCAGCATGGATTTAACCCAATAAAGCATCAGAGCAGAGAAAAACATGTATATATATATATATTTTTTTTTATTTTTTATTTTTTTTCTTATTAGTGTTCCTTTAAGAACATTCTTACTGGTAGAATACTCTGCAAGAACAATAGCTTCCCGCTGTGTCAGTAATTGGCTGTTTGTTTGTTTTCCCTTCTGCAAGAACATCTGTTTCTTTGTTGTTTCGGAGTTTGATGTTTAGTCTCTGATACTTTCATCATGAATCTTAAGCATTTACTTCAGTCTAACACTTTGGCACCAAGTATAATAATTTCCAGTTTAGCTTTCATTGAGAATAATCAGCACTGTGGCTGAGCTCAAAGGAATTGCATATTATTAAAAAACATAACATTTTTCCCTTTGTGGGTTTCTGATGATGCACAAGTTACCCATCATGATTTTGTGTATAGTATTTACTCTTTGTTAATCAGCTGAGTTCAGAACTGTCTGTAAAATACTGCAGGGAGGGTGATGTTGAAAGGGGGTATTGCACAGATCACCTCAGTGCCGGTCTGTCTGAGATTAGTTAGAGTTGCACTCTTGAGGGCAGATCGTGTCTTCTATCCCCCCAGTGCACAGACAGTGACTTCATCTCTGGAATACCTATCCCGAAGTAATGAACTTATAGCAACCACTGAAATAGATGTCATCCAGGAATGCAACTCCCACTAATCTTGGACAGCAGGGGAAATGTATGAGCTAACATTAAACAACTCACCCTAATCCTAACACTTACTCTAACCATATTGTTAGCACGAATTACCACTCTAACTTCAGTTCATATATAAAGTAATAGTAAATATACGTAATGGTAAATAATAGCTATTTAGGTGCCAGCAGTCTTGAATTTGCTGGTGCAGTCCCACATTTTGGGGCACTGTCCCAGGAAATATAGATCCCAGGGACCGGTCCCACATTTTGAAATCTGCCAACAGATTTTAAAATGCAGGAGCTAACTGGGTACTAGCACCACGGACCACTTCTGCAGAGCTCCATACATGGTCTGCTTGGGGAGTGGTGGTAGGTTGTCATGCTTGCCACGCTTTTAGGGGCAGACGTCCTTGACCAGATGTCCAGACCTACCTGAACACTTGCTTTCATCTGTGCACACCTCTGTTCCATGTTGTCAGGCATGCATTAGTGGAAAAAATAATGCCAGCTTAAGATTCTGGAGACATTTATAAACCACTCAAACTCCAGCCTTGTGGGTCATTACGATGTCTACAGAACCCCTTTATGTATGTATATATGTATGTGTCTATCTATAAGAGTTTTTTATTTTTTATTTTTCTAAATGAACGGGGTGACCAGATAGCAGAATGGGCAATAACGCTAAAACATAGTGTTGCATTTTGTTTGATAATGTAAGGCACATTATGGAGGAATCTGACTTTTGGTTGAGTGAAAATGGTGAGTCGAATGCATTCTATTCATCAATACATCGTGACATTAAAATGAAAGTAAATATACGTATGTGCTTTCTTCCCTAGGTACTCTCCACTCGGTATTGCTTGCCTCATCTGTGGGAAAATCATCGCCATCAAGGATTTGGAGCTTGTGGCCAGGCAACTGGGAATGTACATGTTAACAGTCATTATAGGTCTAATCATTCACGGAGCCATCTTTCTGCCGTTAATTTATTTCGCAATAACTAGGAAGAGCCCCTTCCCTTTCTTGGCTGGAATTTTCCAGGCTTGGATCACAGCGCTGGGAACAGCTTCCAGGTATTTCCTCCACTGTTTCGCGATTGAGATTACTCACGCCAGCCCAAACATCTTCTGCTACCGCATTTAAAAAAATTGTTTGTTTTTCCCCACCATATGTATAAGCATTCTTCTTCCAGAATGTAATGCAAATCAGATGGCTGTTTTTTTCAGACATCAAGCAGGGACACATAGAAAATGTATATAGCTGCAAGCCTCATAAGTAAAGACAAATCTTGGAGAAATATTTCATCATGACATTCCTTTAAAATTGATCAGCAGGCAAGGATGGATCCTGTTCATAAACGTTCTCCGTAAACAGTGAGCCCTTTGTAAAAAGGGGAAAACTAGGGCAACATTCTAAATGTGTAGCAGGAATCCTCAACATTCCATTAGGTCCCACTGGGATTGTCGCAACTCTTGGGAATTTGTTCCACATTTAATCATTCTAAATGATACTCAATATCTCCTGAACCAAGTAAAATGAAATGGGTTCTGTAAATCACTGTATAGGAGACACAAAACTGGATATATGGAAAAATCAATATAATCTAAGAATACCTTGGAATAAATATAATTCCAAATATCCGTATCTTGTATACCATTCTATAGATCAGGGGTAGGCAACCTCCGGCAGTCCAGATGTTGTGCACTACATCTACCCTGATGATTTGCCAACATTTTGGCTGTAAGACCAGTATGAGTAGTGTGCTGAAGGTTGCCTACCCCTGCTATAGATACCTTAGAGCACGAAAACGTTTATTTAGACATAAAATCAGTTTTCTTAGACTAGAATAAGAGGCTTCTGGTGAGAGAGGTGTCTGTGTGAAGCTGCAGTCAATTTATCCTAGCAGTGCCGTTTCGGGAACTTAGAAAGTAGGTATTTTACATTTTACGTTTTTTTATTTTATAATTGTTAATTTTTTTATGTATATAATGCATTGCCTTTAAAGAAACAGTAAAACATTAGGAATACAAATCTGTCTTCTTAACGCTTTAGTATCCCTGTCCCTTCTTTGGCACTGCATACATTTTCTCCTACCGCAATGTCCCGTAGGAGGCATGGCCTCCTTCGGTGTGGTCCAATCTAATGCTCCCTGCGACTTGCGTGTCTTAGCTTCAATAGGGAAGCACTGAATCTAGTGTCTCTAGTGACTGTCAAGAAGACCACCACGAGAGGTGGTTTTAATTAACCCTGCAAGAATGTTTTACATTGCAGGATAGGGACCCCTGCACGAGGACAACTTAAATAAGATGAAAAGGTCTGATTTCAGTGGCCCTTTAAGTGCTTGTATATGACAATGCCTAATGTTTGTCAAATTCTGGATTCCAAATATGCAAATGGCATCTGTCAATGTAGATTCTAATTTCAAAACAAGCTAATTGCCGTGTAAGCAGAAAGGACATTCCCACTGATATTTGGCTCGCAATATATCAGAAGCTCCCGGCTAACGATTATGCTAAACTATGCTAAATAATTAGCTGATTCGGCACTTTTCACCACATCTCTGCGACTGTTTACAGCACATCTATCAATCTAGAAAATGATCTCCCTTATAAGACGTAATGAGGAGATTTAGCAACATGCCCTGATCACCTAAGTGCTGCACGGTTTTAAAAATTGAGCTATCACCATGGAAACCAGTGTATAGGTAAGTTCCATTGGTGATCACTGCACTTTTCCAACTCTGCAACGCTTTTCTGATCATCTTTGATAAATCTTCCCCCAAAATCTTCACCATAAAAAGATTTAACCATCATGAGTCTGGGACTGTCTACCCCTAGAGGGACAGAACATTTCTTTTTGTATAGGTTTAGATGCAAGGCTTGCTTTTTCCCCCTTTTATTACTTACACGTTGGTTTCCACTTTTGTTTTTCTTTTCCTGTTAACACTTGACCTGTGTTGTGTAATTACTGAACCTGTTAACTGAATCACTTTATAACAATAACTGGTACCATTGCCAAAAAACAAATTAATTAAAGTTTATGATTATGGTAGCAAAAAATACAGCCCTGAAACGTGTGTGCAACATGTTTCTTGAGTTTTTGTTGCTTTTTAAAGGGACATTATTTTGATTAATGAGTGGTTTTAGTGTATAGGGCATGACAAAAACAACTTTAGCTTAATGAAGCAGTTTTGGTGTATAGAACATGCCCCTGCAGTCTCACTGCTCAATTCTCTGCCATTCAGGAGTTAAATCACTTTGTTTGTAGAGCCCTAGTCACACCTTCCCTGAACTCCCTACAAACCTCCAGAAAAGGAGCTCAAATGTTTTAACTTCCCGTACTGCCCACTGTGTTTATTTAGAAGTTCGTATCTCCTCTTGCTCTATTAATTGCTTGCTAGGGCCTCATGTGTGATTATAGTATAGTTGGCAGAGCAGGAGATTAGAAATGCTAAATTAAGCACACTGTGCTGTAAAATAAAAACTTGAGTCACACCAGGGGAGGTGTAAGTAGGGGTGCATAAACAGAATTATTATTTTTTTACAACAGTGAAGGCATCATGGGAAATGTAGTCCATAAATATCCAGGATACCACATTTAGTCATTACTGAAATAACATCATAAAAAAGGAGTTTATTGCACTGATTCCTCAAGATTAAACTGTTCCAATAGCATTATTATCTGGTGATTAGAGAGTGAAATTTACACTTAAAAAAAGTCCTGTATCTTCATACAAAATAAAATACTCTTAATCCATACTGGGGAGAAACTTAAATAGCCACAGAGGGAATAAGGAAACCCAATACAGCAAATACCTCTATCCACCACACAAGACGGGGGACATTCTTGCAGAGATCAGTGTGACCTTTTGCCATTAGATGATAGTATTTTGTAACTTGTGAAAGGCATTGGAAGTCCAAACTTAGTTCAGAAATGTTAGTACATACCTGGGTCTACCAACTGCAAAAACAAAACTAATTAATAATAACCAGTGGCCTGTGACTGAGCTAAGTATATCATCAATGCAGAGAAAAGACGGAGATTTGGAACACGTGGCACATGCCTGCTTTCTATACAGCTGATCTGTGGAACTCCCTACCCTTCTCCGTAAGACTTTCACCCAGTCTCCACTCATTCAAAAAATCATTGAAAACTCACTTCTTCAAGAAAGCATATCAATTAAACTGTTAGCAGGCTTTATCCCCCACCTTCCATGACTCCTCTCCTGCAACTGTCAAAAATTACCTACCGAGTTCTCAGTGAATACTTTTCTAACAACCTCCTTCGTACCCCTACTTCTACCCTTTGTGTCACTATACCCCACTCCCTCTAGAATGTAAGCTCAATGAGCAGGGCCCTCGACCCCTCTGTTCCTGTAAGTCCAGTTGTCTGGTTACAATTACATGTATGTTAGTCCACCCATTGTACAGCGCTACGGAATTTGCTGGCGCTAAATAAATAATAAAATAATAATAATAATAATAAACTGACATTCTCTGGGCATTCTACATATAAACAATGTAAAAGAACAAACAAATAACCACTTGCATGAATATATAACATAATGCAATTTAAAATAATATTGGTCATTGGCACTTAACCAGGTGAATTGAATGTATCCCTGATAATTGGGGAGTATGTCAATTTAGCCACTGGAAACAATGCAAAACTGGATGCTTATATTTAGCTCTCAGATCTACAGTAGTTTCCAACTATTGGGAGTTTAGTTTATTTGGCAGTAATGTAAGGCTCGACCTCAAACCTTCCATGTGCTGTCACAGTAGAACCTAGTTTTTTTTACTTCTTTTTCCTCCCAGTAGTAATGACTAGATTACTAGCACAATGCTCATCAAGCCCGGAGAATGTTTTTGTAAGCTAGTAGTTCCCAACCTTTTTGGACCAAGGCACACATTTATATTTAGTCTATGAAACCCACCAGTCCAGGTCATGGCTGTGCTTGGGTTCCTTAGTACTCTACCAGTCAGAAATAGGCATTTATAGTTTGCCTACTCCATTAAAGTAAATTTATTTTAATTCATGGCTCCTGTCTCTTCTAGTGCGGGCACTCTGCCAGTGACTTTCCGTTGCTTGGAGGAGAACTTGGGTATTGACAAGAGAGTGACAAGATTTGTACTCCCAGTTGGAGCTACCATCAACATGGACGGGACAGCCCTCTATGAAGCGGTTGCCGCCATCTTCATTGCCCAGATGAATGGAGTGATCTTAGATGGAGGACAGATTGTGACAGTGAGGTAAGTTTCTGGAAGTGACCGCAAAAGAACGACACACTTAGAGTGCATGATTGTTGTGTTTTTTTGTTTTTTTTTGCTGGTGTTGTTTACCTTTTTTCTACTTTTTCATAGAAAGTATATATAGTATAATAAAACTATCAATACATAATCATGTAAGAAAAATCGAAGAAATTAGTTCAAACCCACTTATTATGGACTGCTACATTTGTAGTGTAGTGTTACGACTAAAGCTATTGTGTTCGGTCTATGTTTGTTAATCAATGTTATAGCTCTTGAAGGAATGATTAAACCTGGGCTGTGTTCAAATCTCCAAAGCTTGATTTCTGCATCCTCTTGGGTGGGCTACTGATACATTCACTCTCTCTTGCACCTATTTCTTTCAAGCCTGACAGCCACACTGGCTAGTGTTGGAGCAGCGAGCATTCCCAGCGCCGGCCTGGTGACTATGCTTCTCATCCTGACTGCGGTGGGACTGCCCACTCAGGACATCAGCCTTCTTGTTGCCGTGGACTGGCTCTTGTAAGTACCTACTGACATTATCACGTGTGCGCTTGACGCAACAGAAAATAAGTCATATGGTGTACTACAGGGAAGTTACCTATAGGTTCCAAGATATTAATAAACTACACTTCTCCAACTGTTAATAAACTACAATTTCCATAATGCTACTGTTACAAAAGGGTCGTGGGAGTTTTATTTCTTGAACAGATAATTTATGTTAATTGTAGAATGGAACCCAGTCATTCCACGATAATATGATACTGACCCCAATATTATTACATAGAATTATATTGTAATATAGACTTACAGTATACAGAGAGTATAGCTAGTTTGACTTGGCTTTATTATTCTTATTATTATTACTGGCATTTATAAAGTGCCAACAAATTCCGCAGCGCTGATCTCCAACCTTATCTCCTGACATGTAGCTGGGGAGGTGTTACGTTTAGTGAGATATCAGCTGCAGCTAATATGCTGCACTGAAATGAGTCTGTAAGTAGGAATTAATCACAAGTACAATTGATAAGGTGTTATAGTGTTGAAAAAGCTACCACTCACTATTGTTAGTGACATTTTAGATATTAGTGGCCTGCTGGTAAAGTTTGGGAGAAAGGACACACAACTAGAACATGCCTTTCTCAGTAGTGGTGCTGTCGTAAATACCAACATTTATACAAAATACAGATTATGGAACAGCGCACACCAGGGGTCAAGTCCTGGGGAAAAAGTGTGGGAGCTCACCAAAGATCCACCCCCCACCCAAAAGCATCTTCACCTGTGTACCTCTTAACCCGCCTTTTGTTTCTTATCCCTTTTTTTAAATGTCTTACCCCCTTTAGTGTATCTTATCCCCTATTTTTCCCTATTGTGTGTCTTGCACCTCCCTTGTGTATCTCTTACAACCCTCATTTGTGTGTCTTACTCCCCCACAGCCCCTTTGTGTGTCTCCTTCTCTCCCAATCCCTTTGTTTCTTTTACCCTTACCATCTCCTTTGTGTGTTTCTCTTTTACCATCTTTCCCCCCCTTCCCTGTCCCATAGTGTTCTTTCCCCCCTCTCCCATTGTGTTCTTTCCCCCCCACTCCTGTGCCATAGTATTCTTCCACCCCCTCGTCCCATAGTGTTCTCCTTACCACCCCCACTCACCCTGTCCCATAGTGTTCTCCTTACCCCCCTCCCTGTCCATAGTGTTCTTTCCCCACTCCCCTGTCCCATAGTATTCTCCCACCCCGTCCCATAGTGTTATTCCCCCCTCCCCTGTCCCATAGTGTTCTTCCCGTCCCATAGTGTCTCCCCTCCCCTGTTCCATAGTGTTCGTCCCCCCTACCTCTGTCCCATAGTGTTCTTCCACCCCCATCCCATAGTGTTCTCCTGACCACCCCCTCCCCCTGTCCCAATGTGTTCTCCTTACCACGCCCCTCCCCCATCCCATAGTGTTCTCCTTACCAGCCCCTCCCCTGGTCCCATAGTGTTCTTTCTTACCAACCCCCTCTCAGTGAGCACTCCCTTTTAGTCAGGCCGGGTACAGGAAATTTAAGTTTCTGGACAGCGATGGGCACTGCTCCGCTCGACCAACTGCTGATTGTTGCGCATGTGTGATAGTCTCTCAATGCTTTCCAGTGGGAAGTTGGATGATCTTAGCAAGTATGGGCTGGGGAGGTAAAGGGAGGCCAGGGAACTAAACAGCTATTTAGACCCATAGTGTCTGGAATACACAATTGTATTTCTGACACTATAGTATTCCTTTAAGCTTCGCCAACATTTGCCAGGGTAACAGGGTAGCTCCTTTAAGGCTAGCATTAGCAGAGACTTGGGCTGCTTATAGGGGAAAGTTTTTAGGTTTAGACAGGTGAAGATGGAACATTGTTGCTATAGGCCATTATCACATAGTTAGAATGCCTCGATATAAATGGGCAGATACCACAGGATCATAGCAGACCTACAGATAATATAATGTGTGCATTGCATTTTTAGCTCTAAAAATACCTTTACCAAATATCTTTAAAAAAATTAGAGTTGCAAAATTGGTATTTTGAGGTACTTTCACACAGTAGAAAGCCCTGACCTCTTTTCAATCACTTCTTCAAGGGACCGCATGAGGACTTCTGTCAATGTAGTGGGAGATTCCTTCGGAGCCGGCATTGTCTACCATCTGTCGAAAGCTGAACTTGAAAGTCTGGATAAACAGCACGCACAGCACGAAATGGAAATGGCCAAGACACAATCAATTTACGACGACATGAAGAATCACAGAGAGAATAATTCCAACCAGTGCATTTATGCAGCCCACAATTCAGTGGTAGTAGATGACTGCAAGGTACCATTCACTTTCATGGATATCGAGACCTGTATATAGACTGCATGCTCGTTCCTTGCATCTCTGCATGTACTGTAATATTCTGTTGTATTTTTGTAGTGTGGTTACAAGTACAACAGCCAATATCACCCCCAACGTATTGATCAATAGTTCTGGAGGATCGCGCATTTTGCCACCAGTGTTATTCAGCTTCATAATGCTACAGTGTATCATAGAATTGTTTCAAGACGTCTGCAAGGTGCAAAGAATCTTGGTAGTGACACCACACAGATACTAAAGGGCAATAAATTCTGAAATCAAATTCACCAAAAAACAGTTTGAAGTAGAATTACTGGTTCATGTAAAGGGTCTTAGTATTATGTGCACCCAATTAAATTAATTATATATATATATATATATATATATATATATATATTGCATAGTACGATTATTTTCTAAGTCTTTCACTTAGTTGTGTTTTTTCCCTAATGTGTTCTGTTTTGAAGTATTTTTGTGTAAATGTACTGACAGTTCTACTTTATGGGTTTTTCTTCCTGATGGCCATATCCGAATATTATTAGACTCCTCCCACTCTGTATTTTGATTGGTTGGAGTAGTATACCAATAATAAAGGTACATAGGAGCTCTGGAAGCTAATCAATATTTCAATATTCGGAATTTGCATATGATTGTCTACAGGAACATAAGTCTATAAGGTAGTTGATATGTATGCAGCATAATAACTTGGAAAATTAACATATTAAAAAAAGAAATCTAAAACAAACTAATAGAATTAAAAGAGTAATATCGAAAAGATTATATATATATTATTTTTTTATTTGTTAGAAATTTTGAAATTACTCGATATTGACTTTTTACAAAAGTTTCTGGAGTTTGTCGGGGAATGTGCCTTTAGTATTACAGAGATCTCATAAAATATATAATTAAAATCCACCGGCTTTAACTTTTGCCCTAGATTGGTCATCACAGAAAAAAGCTTGGTAATCCTAACATACAAAAATTTTTACTGTTCCTTTAAAACAAAAGAACCATTTTTGTGAATGGAAAGCAGACCAAGGACCAAGCAAATGATGGATCTCCAGCTGTTTAGATATGCCTTACATTGCATTCAGCCCATTTAGGGCAATGGGTGTTTTGTTGGGTAAGAGGTGTGGAGATGCTGGGACTTATATCCCAACAGAAGCCATCAGATGGAATTGTTCTACATATCATTTTGTCTCTAATATGATCTAAAAACATTCTTATCCATGGAGACTTCATGACCCAATACGAGAACTCTCACTTCTAACCCTGCAGGGCTTCACTTGCATTTTTCAGTGTATTGTTTAACATATTGCCCAGTGATCCACAAAGTTAAATTAATAATTACTTGCTAATCCGGCAAATGTATTAATCTTTTGCCAGGACATTGTCTTGGAGGGCAGAAATGGACAGTGGTGTTTAATTAGGGTCATCAGTTTATGAATTTCAAAAGCCGTATTAATGCTTGTGTTTGAGAATTAATCTAGTATAAATTCCAGAAATAAACATTGTGTCAATAATCAGTTAACTTAGTATTTTCTTGTGCTGTGTTTGCGGGCCTAAAAATTAGAGCTCAGCACTCCTAACCTTAGTTACTATGTATGGAAACCCATGGAATGTTCTGTTGCCTGTTTTATCACCAGAGAATGCTAATCAAAGTGCCATTCTCTGGAAAGTGAAGGAAGGCTGTAAAATTGGGGTCATCATCAATGGAAAGTTCCTTCTGAATTCCATTGGGTTTCATGGTGAGTCCCCCCTTCCCCCCACACTTTTTTACCCAACCTTTCTGATGATAATACTTTGATAAATCTCAATCATTGCCTCTGAGGGATTAAAATGCCAACACTCTCTCTTATATTGTGTGTAAAAAACAATTCTATGATACACCTCAGAAAAGCGATCTCTCAACCTTGCTGTGCTAAATTCTCTCTGGGCTGTATACAATTACAGCGTATTAAGTACCTTTAATAATCCATTATTGTGTGTAGTCTTGCTGATAGAAGGATTTGCGATATATAGAGGAGTCTTGCAATGCAGGTCACTCTAACAGCAAATTGATGGACCTTATGAAACGCAGAGAGGTCTTCAAAGCATTTCTGGAGCTCAAAAATATATAAATGGATGCCAAGAAAACAATGTACATATATATGTTTTATAATATGGAAATTATACATAGCAAATTCTGTACACGTAACCTTTTCATTGTTTACGTGACAATGTTTTTTTAATTATATTTTGGGGTTGAGTGGCTGAAAATGCATGATTTATATAGTATATATATTTTTTGTATATATATTTTTTTGTACACTCTTTGAACTTTTTTTTGTCACTTTGTATCTTCTCTCATCTTGTAATGCATGCGTTTCCCTTCCAGTTCTCTTAAAGATAGGAGGGCTAATTTGAAATGTTGGTGCATTTTGTCATGTTTCCATGTTCCAATACTTTCATGTATGCAGTCTTTCCATCACATCGAGTACCAATCCTGTCTGTAAGTGTTACGTGCACACTACGAAGACCTAGCATGTAAGGTAAGAGGCAGACCGGATTGTTAAAGGTTAAGGTTGGGTAGGGCACTCTAGAGTTCCATAGAATCGCATTACTGATGTTTAACTTCCAGGGTCCATTTACCAACACTATATAAGGTATTAGACTGATCACAAGAGGTCTATTCATTAACCGCTTAAGGACACAACTTCTGGAATAAAATGGAATCATGATGGAATATTTCCGTCATGTGTCATTAAGGGGTTAAACCATTGAATTGATACTCCTCAACTGATAATTGTTACAGTTTTTGCAGTTGACTTTTTGGCTCTGTTAAATTCAATATTAAGCCCATAAATGACTTCAGGGTTAAAATGACCCTCATAGGGACTTGGAGTCGATGGACACAATCCGCAATAAAATAAAATTTATAGTGCTAAAAATCAACTTTTATAGATATTGTTGGATATGTTGAAAAATGCTGTTTTACAAAGTTCCAGGGAGCATAATTCTTTAATTTAATCAATAAACATTTGTCCCTTCCAGCTTCTCTTCTCTTGATGGTATCACTCATAGGGAGTGAGGATCTGTGTTCCTCCTCTAAGCAGTGGGTATCGGTCATGCAGCCCTCATTACCAAAAGTTAGACAAGGGCTCCTCAAACTGCGGCCCTCCAGATGTTGCTGAACTATAACTCCCATAATTCTTTGAATTACATAGATAGCCAGAGAATCATGGGAGTTGTAGTTCAGCAACATCTGGGGGGCCAGAATTTCAGGACCTCTGAGTTAGACAAACCAACTGCTGTCTGTAAAATACTCCACAAACACAGTAGCTCACACTGGACGGAGGACATTTAACCAAAACAAAAAAAATCGGAATATTATTTCAACTTAGCAAAGTAGCATTTTTTATATATATATTACAACATATCAAACATTTATTTTTATAGCAGTTTGATGTTAAGTTGCAACATGCCATTTTACTGAGCCGGCCTGTTTAGAACTGCTAATGAGCTGTTCCAAACTGTCTCCCCATCTGTCGACATTGTTACTGTTTTTGGAGGGACTAACTCCCATTGTTGCTACCATGAAAATTCACAAATTTGGCTGTAATGAGAGGGAAATATTCACCCTTAAACTGAATCTGAAATTCTAGTTAAGATCTTTATTTAAAGATAAATTATTTATCAAAATATGTGGCCGTGAGTTGGTTGATTACTTGTTTTGGTTATGCTCGTATAGAGAGACGTATAGCCTTCTGCATTAACATCCTCTTAAAGCAATGCTGCAGTGTTAAACACATTTTACCTAAACTGAGGCTGTAGACCATGGTGCTAATTTCTGTGCCAATTGCTTGCTGGAAAAAACATGCTTGATTATTTAAAATCAACATGTATTTCTTCTTTGACAATTTTCATTCTCTCGTTCTGGTTTTCTGCCTAGTGGAAATATATTGCCTCAACAAAACTGAAAAAGATTAAAATGTAAACAATTAAGTGTAAAAGAAGATGATTTTTAAACCACCAAAAAACTAAAGGATATACGTGGACTTCTCGGCAAACGTATAAATATAAAAAAGCTAAAATAAACTGGGGTATTAACCCCTTAAGGACACATGATGGAAATGTTCCGTCATGCTTGCTTTTGCCTCTGAAGCTGTGTCCTTAGGGGATTAATCTCTACCACTGAACTTAAGGGTTACAGTTCAACAGCTGCTGTTAGCCTCCATGCCGTGCATGAGCAGTGATGGCATACCTCTGCACCTCTAATGAAGCATCATGGGAAATGTAGTTTGCAAACATTGGGTAGCAGAGATTGTGCGTACCTGTTCTAGATTGTTTGTTGGCCACTGTCTGCTGCCTCTAGGGACCTGCTGTGCGCATTTGTGTGGAACCGTAATCCACCATTGCATGCGATCGACATTTGCTGCATGTGGCATGTTTGCTGCACCTGTGCATGTTTGTTTCATTTATAGTTTTTTTTATTTGCAGCTAAAGTATATCATTCATAGTCTTAGTTCATATCCCTAACACCAGTCTCCTATGAATTTGTGATCGAAGCTACTTCTAGATAGATTGTGTAGCTGAAATTAGAGGCCCACATTCATCCTCAAATCCAACTGCTCTCATAGAAAAATTATCTCCAGTAATAAATAATCCAGGTTTTACACACCTTTTTAATGTAGTTCTTCATCCCTTTCCATGATAATTCAGAACAAAGTATTTAAGTTACCAAGATATACCCACATCCTGTTGATAGTTCAGAGAGGTCAACCTTTGATTACAACCAGAGATTAATATCGGAATAGCTACTTTATATGTTGTTTCTCTTGAATGGGATGTAACAGTAATCATTTTTAGGTAACGCTTGCAAACAATGGAAAAACTGCAGACTTCAATGCTGTAGTGGAGGAGCCACTGGACGCGTGAGATCCCACTGACCACAGCCTGTCCACGAGGAGAGAATACACTAAGAAATGACTTCTCATAACCCCTTTTAACGTAGCACAACTTATAGCGCCACACCACTGAAAACCTTCTGGCATCGCGTTTCACTTTATGCAAATAGAGGAAATTCTAAGACCATTTGGTTCGGAGGTGCAAAGAATGTACGAGGGGCAATGCATCTCCTCGTAGGGACTCAGGTAAACACATGCAGCATTTTGGGATGTTATGCTCAGAACAGTGTTCAAAATATTCAGTTCAATGGCTGATGTTGTGTGACGTGTGACCTATTCTTCGGATTCCAGGATTTTCATTCCAATCTATAACGATGGTGTTAACTGTAATTATTGTCCACCAACTGACAGACATATTTATTCTGTGTTCTATATGTCTAGTGCTATACCTCCTCCCCATCTTATAGTCTTATATGAGTTATGTATTGTAGCGTAGATGTGGTTATCAGTCTTCCTTCTTTCTGATCAGGTGCAATATAAGTGTAATACAAAAAAACACAAAACATACAAAAACAAACCTCTATGACAAATCAGTGGATATTTTTGATATACCCGCAGTGATTTTATTTTCATACATTAGATTTGTTTCAAAATCTTTTTATTTTTCAAGACAACGAGCAGATCTTACAATAGAGAACATTTCACGTTCCGCTGAATTAAAAAAATGTTGGTAGTATTATAGATAGCGTATAATTTAGACATTAACTGCAGACTAAATATGCTTATTAAAAGTAAATGGCATATATTTTCGAAATATTATTGTTATATATAAATATATTTGCGTACAGTGCATCGGCAGTTCTCGTTTGCACACAATTGTGTGTTTGAATCAGAATTTGAATTACGTCACTCATAGCACAAATGTACAAGTTATTTACAGCACAAATGTAAAGAACAAGTTAGCATAATGTCGTTTTAGAATCTCAGAACATTTGATTTACTGATGCACAGGGCCACAGGGTGCTCACAAACCCATAGCACAAACCTGTGTATCCATACTTCTTGATGGATGCAGGATGAAAATAATTATTTGGTCCCAGCTACTCTGGAAATGGTTGCTACGGTAACCTCTATATTTTTTTTTACCTGCCGTGGAACACAGTGATACTGCATTTAGACACGGAATGTGATGCTATAAGCTTTTAGTCTTCGAAACAACTCCTAAAAAGCACATACTTTTTAGCTCAGCTTTTTACATAGTCTCCTAAAATCTTTTACTTGAAATTTAAAGCCAAATCATCGTCATTCACTTAACCAAGCATTGTTGAAAACTCATCAGGGAGCTACAAAGCTCAGGTCATAACAGCCAATTTGAAAGATTGCCCAACTTAATTAGCAATTTTCAGATAACTTTTTTAAATTTTATTTTACAAAAAGCACTATCGGTAAAGATCACTAGTAATGGGAAAATGACATTATTTTTCTTCTTAAAAAACGTGTTTCGGAATACAGATCAATATTAATATTCTTAATTCTTGTAATGGATAAATGGCAGCTTTAAAAGATCACTGGTAGGTGGATCTATAAATTATTTTAATGGAGAAAAATGGGTGTCCAGTACTCAGCAATCTGAACAAAGCACAATATGAATAAATGAGCACATGGCACAGAAAGCCGAATTAAACTATTTTCCCATGTTTAGTACGTTATATACATCAATTACGTCATTTGTAGCCATTACACTCTTCTTTGAATACAGTGGTCTCAGACAAAATTGTCCAAACATTTCAATATTGTTGCCGCTGATCCCATCTCTTGTGAACCCTGAAATTGGGAAGCAATACGACTCCGGATAATGTGTGGATAATTCCCTTAGTAAATGCTATTCCTGATTTAAAGCACAAACAATCTGTTGTTAAAATAATAATAATAATTTTATATATATATATACACGCAGCAATACCTTCATGAAAACCGCAATATTCAGTGATTCTGCATATATATAGATGTACACATTATACAGGAAGCATGCCCAATCCTGTAATATATATCTCTTTTTTTCTAATCCCCTTTGCGCCTGTGAATGCTCATGTGTTCTCCTTTAAATCGTCTGTTTGGGAAATGACAGACAGTAGATAATCCCTGCCGTATCCTGCCGTTGAAAATCTAATGTTATTAAAACTCCCCTGGAAAAATCCTCATTTTGAAAGCTATCAATGGATTTAATCAAGAACACTGTAGTGTCCTGAGCTCATAGATTTATTGACAGAGCACTGCGTTTACAACTGATGAAATTAACGCCAGTGTTGTCGCCTACCCTAGAAAAACGAAAAATTTTACTCCAAAACTCTATTTATTTTTCAGCTTCTCTTTGTAACTTAAATGGTGCCACTATTGTAAACCCACCACACCTTCTGGGCAACGTACCCATTATTATATATCTCTCTTAGTGGAGTTGCTTGTTGTGATCAAATTAAAATAGTAAATGTTCTTAAATTATGTTCGCCGCAACAATGTAGAAAAACTCAAATGCTATGGTATAGTTTGGTAACACATTTAGAACACACGCTGCAAACTGCCACATAGATTTATATCTAGAAATATATGCACTGTGTGTTTTTCATTCTTACCAATAGACTCAGAAATTAAAAGGATCCAATATTTTCATCTTTGACCTTCTACAACATGTTTAACATTCTAAGGATTAGATCATCCTTGACATTATGTCCGTTCATTCTATGTCTGACTCTTTCCATAGAAAGATAAGCAGTATATATAATATTGGAGAGCAATATCTCAGTCCTACCTCTATTTTGATCCTTTTAGGCTGAAAATTTAATATTTTCACTTTTTGAAGAAAGGGATATGTTACACATCTGTTACTAAAACTAGCAGTGTACTACTGGGAAATTAGGGCCGTACATTGGCCTCGATTTGATATTTTTGCAAAAGCAATTCATATGATTTAATATTTATGGATAAACTTTTAAAATGTCTTTTTCAAAATATTCAAATATTGAAAAGCATATAAAAAAACATTCATATATATATATATATATATAAATAAAATCTAAATATTTTTAATATTTTGAATAATATTAAATAATAAGTTAATAATAATTTGTTTATCCATAAATATGAAAATCATTTTTCAATATATTTTTTTAAGAACTACTACCTCAAACCGTTAATTTATTTATCCTGAGGTCAGGTCTTCCGGTCTATCAAACAAGCCAGAACACGATATGATCTATTCCGTTATTATCAGATTGTTTTTATTTACTAAATATGAATTGTAGACAGTTGATAAGGTTACTGTAAATTTTACACGAAAATAGCTGAGCCAGAGAAATCACAATTTTATTTTTGTCTGATATAGCTAATTTGACTCAACATTTACAATTCCCTTGTCTACTCAAATACAAGTTTATTAAGCCCCATTTGTTTTTTTGAAATGCATGTGTTCTATTTACGCAGTTGAACCCATTTCATCATAATTGGGACATCAATAAATTCTATTTTAATGTTTAACCCCATTAGGACAAAAAGAGGACCACAGACTAATCTCGAAGGACCAATCAGTATCCATCAATTAGCTGCAATATATTAAATACATTAAAACAGCAATACGAATTTGTCTACATTTGTGTAATAACCTCTTGTCTACGGGGTTATGCATTATAATGTGTTTTGCTGATTTGACAGATGAATTGCTCAGCTGAGTTCTAAATAGCATGATGGAGATTTTGGAATAAAAAAAATTGGTTTCTTTTTGGTGTAAAATGTAACGTTAAAAAGTCAGTTGTCAGCTCACCACAGATTCCTGGTTTGTGACTATGCCCAAAAAAGCAAGAACAAAGTTATGCTATATAAGATATGCAGAACTGAGCCGATCTAAAACAAATATGACTTAGGACATATTAAAGCACAAGTGGTTCCTTTAATGCAAGGTTTTCTATCCTATTGCCCCTTAATTTATGTGATTACAAGCATTCAGGCCAGTGAAACCTTGCAAAAAGGTCTGTTCACTTTGCCATCTTGGCTCCTGGAGTGTCCTAATCCTTTGCTTGGCAACAGATTATGCCAGCAAGTCTTCAGAATAATAAAGAACATTTGTTAGCAAACACTATGTGCAGCTATTTTTTTGTTAAAGGAGAAGTCACTCTAGTGTGTCACTCTAAGTATTTGTAAGTTTAATATTTGCATGAATTTCCTATGTTTACACTTCCTTTATTGCAAATCCTGTATAATTTAGAATTTCTTATCTCCTGCTCTGTAAAAGCTTGCTAGATTCTGCAGGAGTCTCCTTTATATAATTAAAGTTCAATTTTCAGAGCATGAAATAAAAACTTTTTAAAGTAAGTTACATCTGATTCGAAACTAAACATTTTTTTCATGCAGGCTGTGTGAGTCAAAGCTAGGGGAGATGTGGCTAGGACTGCATAAACAGAAACAAAAGTGATTTAGCTCCTTAATGGCAATAAATTGAGCAGTGAAACTTCAGAGGCGTGATCTATACACCCAAACTGATTCATTAAGCTAAAGATGTTTTGGTGACTACCGTGTCCCTTTAAACTTAAACTACACTGGTTAAAGACAACTTGCTGTATTTAACCCTGTTAGGTGTTCAGTAGCCTGATTACAGCTATGAGAACAAGGATCTTGTTAGCACAGTATAGGTTTTAATTATATACAAATTTCGACCAACATTTATAGCTTACAGAGATATTAAACACAATTATTTTAAATTCGATGCATCCCTTTACTTAAAGAAACACGGCAGTGAAGGTGGGGAGCAGCTCCCAGTGGACTCCAGGTAAGAAGTCAGAACGTTCAAAAATGGTTTGACTACTTACAATACAGAGGGGGTGTAAGTGGACTCCCGGCACCATCACCACTGTAGCGAGCTGTAGTGGTTATGTTGACTGTATTGTTCCTTTAATATTGCTCAGGTGCACACTGCTTAGTAACCCAACACATTCATTTCTTCCCAAAGATCATGTCTTTGTTTCTGCATTAAAATATATGTTCTTGGAATTAACGTTCCCGGTCTCAAGACCCTGTTTTTCTTAATAGCTATAAAAGAATGCTAAGCGATGAGCAATCTGTAGAAGTTAAATATTTCTGTTAATCAAGCCACATGGAGCAGTTTCTGCTTTGTGCTAGTTACATCTCTTAGATCAACACCTTCTCGTGGTTTTTATAACGGTCATATGGTTTTCTTGGAGATTTCAAAATATAGGTTTTATAGGGTTAGTTACTAAAGTAAGACTTGTTTGGAATGAGCCCATCAGATAGAAATAGTTTTACTCGGCTAGTTTGGAAAAAGCATCTGTAGTGGCTGACAGAGGGACAGCCACTAGGGGCATTTAAACCCTGCTATGAAAACACTGCCATTCGACAATGATTGATATTGCAAGATTAGGCAGACAAAAACATGGCGCCCAGACTACTTCATCTCAATACGTGCCTATAGTGTTTCTTTAAACTGGTTATTTTATAATTTAGGTAGAACTCCTCAAAGTTATGGGCAATATCTTAACAAATCCTCATTTTACAGTTTGGAGAATGATTTGCTTATCAGTAAAGGCTAGAAGTAGCAGATTGGAGAATTTATTCAACTCTAATATTTAGCCTAAATTTTGTGAATTGGTTGTCCATTCTTTGCAATTCACTGTATAGCATGGGAACGCCATTACCGGAAAGGGATAGACATTCTCTGAAATGTCTGTGTTCCGTTCAGAATGTCTGAATTCTAAGTACTTTTCCTTCAAGTGTGTGTATGTGTGTGTGTGTACTCTGTATGTAGATATCGTGACAGTTACCCTTCCACATATCACCCACTATAATCTTTTCAAATGATGGGCTGCCGGTACATTTGTTTATATCCCTAACCCATAACTGTGAGGTTACCATGCTTTGTAAATATACCTGAATGCCAGTTATGGTCGTTTAGGCAGCAATACATGTGATTTCACAGTATAATGGAAGTGACATGGATTACAGCGTGTAATAGACGTTTCATAGAATTTATACACATTTTTATTTGTTAATATATGACTAGTGATTTTTGATGTGCAATAGAAATTTAAAAAGTGTGTAGGCTTGGTAGAATTGTTATTATATAACTTGGCATGTTAGAGCCGTAGACAGATATGGTTAGTGAAAATAGCACAAGTAGTTGTGAAAACATGTTGACCTCAAGGCTATATGTCATTAACCCTTCCCTCCCAGGGATGTGTCAAATTCCACTGGCCAGGGAGGGACTACATGCAGTTCCAGGCAGTCTGTCACACCTGTGTGGCAATGGCAAGTTTAGTTAATTGGGTATTGAATATTTGGTGAATATTTGTGCCCAAGATACATTTAAACTATTTGGAAAGTACGCACATATGAAAAACATATAGCTTCACTTTCACAATGTAGAATGTTAACAGGCCGGTTTCTGTAGATGTCTTGAGTAGCCAAGGAATGGCTATGTTCAATGGATCCACTTTACACCTAAACTATGTATTACACTAATGCAGGCATTAGAGAAAAACTCTTGGCCCAGCCGTCCAGCCCACCCTTGTATACTGGTAAATAAATCTCAAATAACAAGCCTATTGGAGTCTGTAGCTACTTTACAGAATTCTGGCTCAGAATGGACTATAATAAAACCAATATAAGTTATATAGTGGAAGCCTGTCATCGGTCGCCAGAATTCTAAACTAGAATTTATTTGATCCATTGGGAAAGGAGAAATTCAGATATTTTATCTCCTAAACAATTTAATAAATATTTGTAACCTGACTTTTCATAATTACGTTAATAACATATTAACACCGATACATTGAGTAGATCGATCCATTTTACCTACTGATCGGGATATAAAATAATGGACTGTTATAATCTGTTAGAGCTGGCATAGACAACCTTCGGCACTCCAGATGTTTTGGACTACACCTCCCATGATACTTTGCCAGCATTATGGGTGTAAGAGTATTATGGGGGATGTAGTCCACAACATCTGGAGTGCCAAAGGTTGCCTATCCCTATGTTAGAGTAACAGTATTTTTTTAAAGTAACAAGCTTTTAGAAGCCTGCGCGTTTATCAAGTCTAACAACCTCAAAAGCCTGTCGTTCCAATATAATGTTAGTCTGATATAAACACACAACCTCAAGGGTAATGTGTTTTGAAGTATTTAGAAGGTATCTCGTAACGGAACAAACCAACTTGTGACTAGCTTCTGCTTACATCAGTATGTTCTAAATTTCATATTTACAATATAACATGAATGAGGTAGTCTTTCGATCTGCATTTTTCTAGCATCTATCGATCACTGCGCAAAAACAGAACAAATGCTGTTTCTGTTTCTATGTGCATTGCGTCAAACTACCTGAACATTACCACCTGATGTTATTTGACTTCAGCTCCCATAAATATTATACCCATACACTGCCAGGATAGTAGGAGTTGCAGTCTAACAATTAATGTAGCAGGTTAGTCATACCACCATTTGTTCGTAACATCAGAGCTTCCTTTAAATGGGAAAAAGAGATTGTACATTTAATTTCTTGGGTGATGTCATCTGAAATCATGGTAAATATTATCTGCTGGGTTGATTCAGCCACCATATAAATATATCTTAGCTGTTGGTTTCTCTGATCTATTCAAAATAAATGGAGGTTGTATAAAAATATGATGTTCACTCAGTTAAACAGATCTGCCAAGCAATAAAACGATTCGATGCTAAAGTGTAAAAAATATCACCATCTTACATATTCTTTTGTGAAACTGATATCATGTGACATCGGGAGTTCTTAAAATTTGAAATCTGCACTGTTAGCACCAGAGTTCCCAACCGGTATTTAAAATTTTGCAGAAAACAGGATCAATTGACTAAACGGGTATTGTGGATAACTGACAAGAAAATTACATTTACATTTAAGGCCATAATAGTTCAGCTTACAAAATAGTTGCGTTGGGGCACATTTTCCAAAACTTGTGAAAAATGTGTTGATTATCAAAAACTCCTGGTTTATTAAAGAAAAACAAACAAAAAACAAACAAAAGCAACACGATGTTCAATTTTGCAATGTACAGCAAAAACACGTAATCTTTTATAAAGCATACACTAATAATACAGCAATGATTACTTAAGAATTAAGAATTATCACACTTCTGTCAACCTCTATTTCGGAGTCAGATTTTCTAAGTCATAGAAAAAACTTGGAACTGGAAACTTGTAAATTTTTAAATCAAAATACAATTAGTAAATTGTACCTGTGTAAAAATATTGAAGTAACGTAAAACCTCCTAAATAGTCCTGTTGCTTAGCTAGAATAGCTTAATTAGAATGTGTATGGTTCGATATTGTGTGGATGACTAATCAGTGAGAATTTTCTCCTTAGCCCCATCATTTATGTTGTCATAGAGAATTCTTCCTTCGTGACGCGTGTGTTTTTAATGTGACTTTTCTTCCATGTCTGACTTTCCTAGGGTGTTTCAATGATGCTTTATAACCGTTCCATTATTTTCTGTACCTTATGTATAAAACTGAAAATTATTTATACATGACAATGTGAATATAATATACTTTGCTAAGTGTTGTACCTCTTATGTACATATCAATAAATGTTGGTATATAAAATGAAACGTGTCTTTCTTTTCTAATTGTCTTACACAGAGACGTGTCTCTTCTGATAATGAAAAATACCAGTTTCTTTTTCCACTTGTTAAGAAAACCATAGCAACTGCCAATATTTCGTGATCATTTACATATTGTTATTTATAGAGTGATCAAATATTTTGCAGTGCTGCAAAAGTTAAACAAAACAGTAAATGTATCAAAACAAATTTGTCGTACATGATCAAGATCTGATGAAGTTCTGTAGGGACTAACTATAGTCTAGCTTAGTGGATCCCAAACTTTTTATGAACCAAGGCACACTTCAATGAAAGAAAAAAATAGGAATGCACATCTACTTCTTTCTTTTACCTTAATCAGACACTTGGAAAGTGTGTGTATAGGGAGTGGGGTAAAGTGACACAAAAGGTAAGGGAAGTATTAGGGAAGTAGATAGGTAGCATAGTATTCAATGAAGACTTAGTGTGGAGTTTTTTGAAACCATTAGACGTTTAATTGATATGCTTTTGTGAAAAGGTGAGTTTTTAATGATTTTGTGAAGGGGTGGAAAATGGGTGAGCGTCTAACGTAAAAGGGAAGGGAGTCTCACAGGAGTTCCAAGTCAAGAGAGGACAGCACCTTAGCCGCATCTGGCGGATGCGTGCAATGTTTTTGAGATGGAAGCAGCAGGATTTGCAGATAGACTGGACATGAGAGGTGAAGGAGAGGACGGAGTAAAAAAAAACAAAAAACTAGGCAGCGAGCCTGCGTGGTGGAGGTGATTGTAGCACCATTGACGTGGAGGGATACAAAAAACCGGAGTAGCAAAACTTGAGGTAGGAAAGACCAGAAGTTCTGTTTTGGACAGGTTGAGCTTAAGGAAGTGGGCAGCCATCCAGTTGGAAATAGCAGAGAGGCAGTCATAGACACTAGTCAACAGGGGCAGGGAGAGATCAGGGGAGTACAGATAGATTTGCGTGTCATACGCATAGAAGTGATATCGGAAGCCAAAGGAGCTGATGAGTTTACCAAGGGAGCCAGTATAGATGGAGAACAGTAGGGAACCAAGGACTGAACCTTGAGGGACACTAACAGAGAGAGGTTGGTAGGAAGAGGCAGAGCCAGAGAAAGAAATACTTAAAGAGCGTTGGGTGAGGTAGGAGGAGCACCAGAAGAGAGCAATTTCAACTTTGTCTTTTCTAATTTTCCTTTTTATACATTTTAATAAATATAATGAATAAATATTATGAAGAAGTCTGAGTACATACATATACCTGTCAAAATCGTAATTCACAGTATTGGCGATAACAGAACCCCTTTTCTGGTCTTACATTTTATCCTGAAACCTTTCTTCAACCAAACCAAGCACTGAAAACAAGTCTAAATTGAACTTGTTCCAAATCCAAATTCCATGGAAAGTGGTTTTGAAAGTATTGAATGTGTTTAATTTAAGTTAAGTGTATCCAGAGGCATTCTCATGGAACAGAATATAATATTTTTTGCCAAGTGAATATTCTCTTATTTGTGCAATACTAGATCCTAAAATAAAGTGTTGTATACACCCACCAGAGGTCCAGTAAGTAGAAGGGTATTGTGGTTATACCTGGTAGTTTGGGAGTTAAAATTATAACTTTTTAGGATGCCAGTGGTACTTTTTGTTCCTTTCCGGAGTATTCAATATTTCCAGCACAGAGTGTTTTTTTTTTACTTGTTTTTCCAAAACCCCATTCTTCTTTCGGAAGGCCAGTTGGCATCTGGCCTGGAGAAGCCTTTTAATCATTTGTTTTCAAGCTAAGACATGGCACCTACGTCAAGAGGTCCATCAAATGAGTCCTGAAGTTGCTATTGAGTCAATTCTCTTTAAAATGAGTCAATGTTTAGACAACTACCTACTGAGCAAAGTCATTTTAGTTGGAGTTTTCTGAGAACCACATTATGGTTAAACACTCCAGCTAGATAGGGAACCTGACTACGGTGAGTCATTGTTTCCACTCTGTTTGTGAATCTTGTGTATCAGACTTTATGCCATATTGACTGAGCACACACCAGTTGTAGATCCTATGTATTCAGGTAAAACATCACCAATTTACTTTCATTTTATTTAAGAAAATTAAAATATAATGGTGCACTCACCATCAGAAACTGACACGATGTTCTTCATCTTGTACATCACCCAAGTTGTTGAAGGATATAGAAGAATATCCATGGGGTATAAAGACTAGTAGTGCCAGAGTACATTAGTACCCCTATCTTTGCTTTTGACAGCCACCATAAGTGCTGCCATCAGAAATTTTGGGACCCCTGACACAGATCAAAATCTGGGCCCCTGGGGCCGACCCCCGAGTCCGCCCACAGGGACGTAGTGTGTATGTGTTTGTATATAGTGAATGTTTGTGTAGTGGATGTAGTGTGTGTGTATAGTTAATGCAGTGTGTGTGTTTGTGTAGGGATGTAGTGTGTATATAATGGATGCAGAGTGTGTGCTTGTGTAGTGGATGTAGTGTGTATAGTGAATGCATGGTGTGTTTGTGTAGTGGATGTAGTGTGTATATAATGAATGCAGAGTGTGTGCTTGTGTAGTGGATGCAGTGTGTATAGTGAATGCATGGTGTGTTTGTTTAGTGGATGTAGTGTGTATAGTGAATGCATGGTGTGTGCTTGTGTAGTGGATGAATTGTGTATAGTGAATGCATGTTGTGTGCTTGTGTAGTGGATGTAGTGGGTATAGTGAATGCATGGTGTGTGTTTGTGTAGTGGGTGCAGTGTGTATAGTAAATGCAGTGTGTGTATAGTGGAGGTAGTGTGTGTATAGAGAATGCAGTGTGTGCTTGTGAAGTGGGGGTAGTGTGTATAGTGTGTGTTTGTGTAGGGATGTAGTGTCTATAGTGAATGCAGTGTGTGTGTTTGTGTAGTGGATGTAGTGTGTATAGTGAATGCAGTGTGTGTATGTTTGTGTAGGCATGTAGTGTTTAAAATCGGGGCTGCAGTCAGTGGGGAAAGGGGACATTGCATCCAGAGGCGCTGTTCACAGTAGTGGGGGCCCGCAGCACACTCCATCTTCCCTTCCCAGCAGCTCCTCTGTCTCTAATCCTCGCAAGAGCGGCCTGCATGCTGTGCGGAGCGTTGCCATGGTAACCCGTGGCAACGCTCTTACGACCGCGGTGCTCTTGAGAGTTAGACACAGAGAAGCATCTGGGAAGGGAAGATGGACTGCAGGGCCCATGACAATCGTCATGGTTGTCATACCCTGATGGGGTCCCTGACTACCATTGTGGTATAACATATTTTAAATAACTAAAGCAAACAGCAGCTGCTCCTAGCTAACAGTACTTTCATTCATATATTTTTTCATGAATTAAAATATTCATGCCAGTAACATACGTAATGATGAATGCTACCGTCATGCAGATTTTTTTCTCACACCTCACCCCTCTGTCAGTCATTAAATAGAGTCCCTGTACCCTAGGAGTCAATTCAAAATACCCACCCCTACCTATAAAGCTCTGAAAATTAAACAATTCTAGCCCCTTCACTAATTCATAGTGCTCATTCACTCCACTCTGCCGGTGACTTTCTCTTGTCTGCTGCTTGTACCCTTACTGCCTGCAGAACTTCTCAAGGGCACCTCCATTCCTTTGGATCAGCCTGCCTACCCTCAGACTCTCCTCTAGTCTTCAATCATTTAAGACGTCCCTCAAAACCCATCTCTTCAAAATAGCTTTTGGCCTCCTAGGGTAACTTTTATTTTACAAATCGTCTCTTGCTCTCTCTTAAAGGTCCACACAACCTTCCAATGTAAATTATCACCTCATCAATGGAGCTTTAATGAATGAATCCATCAACCTTGGAATAACCTTTAGACTTTAGAAAAGTGCGAATTTAAGATCAATGGATTCTTATTTGCACATTAAAGGTCTGTCATTTAGCATGTGTTTTCTTTCTACTGTGATGAAATCTGACATATCGACCTAAATCATCAGGAGTATGGTGGTGATGGAAGAACATTGTATATCTAAAACAAAATTACTATACAAACATGCATTTCTTCTTCACATGTCAACCGTAAAGTGCTCAATACATCTGTTTTCACTCTGTAAAAAAAAGAAAATATATATATTTTCACACTTCTACATTGTAATCTGATTGACCTCTCTCACCCACACGTGGGATTTCCACCACTTCACATTTGTCATCTTTACTGTTATCATATCTCTCATTTAAAAGGATTTGGAGCGAGTAGATGCTTTTAACACCTACCTCCGACTTCCTCCACCTTGTATACAGACATTCCTCACTTACCCCCCCAAACTTAAAGATTGCAGTTTATTGAGGAGCCTTCTATGTGGAACAGTGTCAAAAGCCTTACTGAAATCTAGGTAAGCAATGTCTACTGCACCACCCATATCTACTATTTTAGTTACCCAATCAAAAAAATCAATAAGATTAGTTTGGCATGATCTCCCTGAAGTAAACCAATGTTGTCTCTGACCTTGAAATCAATGTGATTTTAGATGAATAGAAGAATAATTCCCAGTTATGCCAAGGCTCCTAGTGATGAAATGGTCTCTAAATGTTTTCCATACTTACTTTGAGTCTTGGTTGGTATGCTGGTCTAAAAGGGCATAAATAATAGAAAAAAGGGTTATCTGGAAGGACTGATGGCAAACAGGTGTGGTGGCGAAGCTCGAAATATCATCAAGCTGAATTTGGTGTAGGGGGTCACAAGATAGCAAAATATCTAGAGCCACCCTATGTCCACTTCTGATCTATTAATGGATGATCTTAACCTGATATTATCCTCCCAATTTTCATGTTGGGATATATATAGACATTATGCTGGGAAACCAGAAGTTGATGTGTGCTTTTCTCATTTTATGGTGTGCTCCCTTCCCTGTTTTTATAACTTGTTTTCAGTTTTAAACTTTTTTTTTGCATTTTCCACCCACCTATCACAGGACAGACAGACAGATTTTGGCATGACATTAGGTTTCTTTTCTGGGCTAGCTAGCTCTTCCTCTCCATGATGATG